AGAGGGTCCAGAAGACGTGTTTCCGTTAAGGAGCTTTTATGTTGGAAGCGATTACGAAAGCAACCACTGTCGGAATCTGCTAGTGACTAGAGGAGCCATGTCTGAGGGGCTCCGTCACAGACAGAGGTTTGTGGACTTGAACAAACTCTGAGGGGATACGATTTTACGCACAAGCAGCTCATCATCCCATCACACATATTTTTAAGAACCCAGCTGCTTAGTGTGGCAGAACTTGCACGTTGGAACTCCCCGTCTCTTGAGATCAAGCAAGCGACTTCACTGCACTCTTCAGTGCCTGCTAAAAACATTCTTGCTTAGACAAGCCTACCAGATATTTAAAAGTTGAGTCAATTTTAGTCTCTTTTAGCATTTTAGCCTTTGCATGTTTGAAAGTACGGTTGTGCATTTTCCTTGATTTTATTGTTTCACCTTTTTGCAAACTGCTTTGAGGTTTCTAACCATCAAGCAGTATAAATTTTTTACAAAATAAATAGTCATATACAAAGCACATACAGTGGTACCTCGGGTTACATACGCTTCAGGTTACATATGCTTCAGGTTACGGACTCCGCTAACCCAGAAATAGTACCTCGGGTTAAGAACTTTGCTTCAGGATGAGAACAGAAATTGTGCTCTGGCGGCAGTGGGAGGCCCCGTTAGCTAAAGTGGTGCTTCAGGTTAAGAACAGTTTCAGGTTAAGAACGGACCTCCGGAATGAATTAAGTACGTAACCAGAGGTACCTGTATTCAGCAATATCACCAACAGTCCACATGGAAGAGCCATCCTCAAACCAAAACAGCATAAGTAAAAACCCCATAGCAGGAGGAATCAGCTTCATTAGGTATCTCCTGGTGCACTTGCTTGGTTGCCCATTTGCTGACACTGATGCCACCAACAATTGGAAGCATCTTCAGCAGAGGTCTGCTCCAAGCCAGTGCTTGGAGATCCTATCTTGGATTCTGACAAAATCGGGGGAGGTCATTGGTAAAACAACATCACCACCTAACTGCCGCCTATGAGAAACTGGTTAGGGGTATTGTTTATTTCCCACTATTGCATTTGCAGATTAAAATATAATAATAATAATCTACCTGCATTCTAATAATGCAGCCCAGAGCCTTACTATACTGGTAAACTTAGACAGGTTTAATGTTGGTTATTACACAGTAATATTTGAAGTGTATATAGAGAAAGACAATAAATGCCATGATGGTGCCAGGGATGATCTTGGACAATATTCCAGGGTGTTCTCTAGAAAGAAAGAAGGAAAAATGCAACCAGTTAGGAAATGCATTGCCTTTTCTTTAGCTCATCTACAAAATGTTTCTTTAGGGCTTTTACAGACAGTGTTGCTTTTTAGTATGAGGAATGTGTAGTTGTTCATACCCATTTGGTCAGGGATGTAGACTAAATTCCCTCCAGGAAGCTCATCTAATATTTTGCTTCTGGTAAACCACATTGTTGAATTAATACTATTATAAATTAATATGTATGGGGTGTTAGGAGAGGGGTAATACCTCTGGTGGGGGACAAATATGCTCCTTTGGGGGGTACGGTAATTTGTCCAGCTTTGGTCTCCACCCTGAACTCAGCTCTCACCTGAACTCAGCTCTCACCTGTGGCTCCTAGAGGAGAGCGGCCACACCATAGCAAAACGGCTTCGACTGGCTGGCTAAACCAGGGGAGGGTCACCAATGGATCTCAAACCCTCAGTGAATTAAGGACTTCCCTTGCATGTGAAGACAGACTCTTGAGTGGATGAGACCAATAGTGGGTCCAGCAGTCAAGATGGTGGTTTCTGCACATGCTGTAGAGCAGTGGTTCTCAACCTGTGGGTCCCCAGATGTTGTTGGACTACAACTCCCATCATCCCTGAGCTCTGGCCTTGCTAGCTAGGGGTGATGGGAGTTGTAGTCCAACATCATCTAGGGACCCACAGGTTGAGAAAGGCTGCTGTAGAGGGAAGTGAGGGGCAGGTGGGGCTTGTTAACCTGGGAAGGTAGCCTGTCTCAGAGAAGGAAAACTCTGATCCTAACCTCTGCTGCCTTGCAGGACATCTTTGGGAGAAGAAAAGGCTAAGGAGTAAACCCTACACAAATCAGGAGTGGAGTCCCTAAGACGGTTGGATGGTGCTTGTATACCTCCTTCCAGAAACTCCTGCAGCCAGGCTGGTGCCAAATGTATTGCTTTGGTTTCCTTTGGACCAGTGAGGCCAAGAGGGGAGTCTTGTCATTTGGGCAGTCAGACCTCCAGACACACTGCTCAGGCTTGTGCCTTGGGAGGTCACTTCAGTGCTGCTAAGGCAATGGCTTGGCTTCACCCCCAGAGGCGCACTCCGTTGTTTCTCGGGACAGATAGATGCCAACAAATGAATATTACAGTGAATGGCAACTAATTGGTGGGTGGGTGTGGATCATGGTGGTGCCAGAAGAAAAAGTCTCTCTCCTGATCCCATTACCGACATTGTCAGTTGGAAAACATTGCCATGTCAGTTGTCCTCTCCCCTTACTCTTCCTTGTTCTCCACAAAAATGTCTAAAAGGTGACTTGCTTAATTCTGCGGCAGTGCATTGGCACCGTGTACATTGGTGACGTGGTTAATTCTCTGCCTGCTGCAGAACATTGCTGCTTGGTAGGAATTTGAATTAACAATGTCTTTGCTGCAAAGCAGTTGGCAGGTTAAGGTAAGGCTACAATCCTTTACACGCACATGTGGGAGTAAGTCTCATTGAACTCAGTTGGACTTACTTTTGAGTAGACATGCATAGCATTGCACTGTAAAATTTTGGCTGGAATTACAGCTGTTTACTCTGCATCCAATACATCAACTGTTGGTTTGGGAAGTGATATACACCCAGAGTTATCTGCAATCCATGCATATCCTGTATTTATCCTGTCCTTTCTTAGGAAATACTGCATTTTGATGCCTCCTCCAGCCTCAATCCAAACTGAACAAAAGAACCACCTAGCTGCTTTTTAAGCCAGCAATGTATACATATAGCCTTTGTTTGCTGGACAGGAAGAATTAGGAAGATTCTGAGTGAACAAGCTTGCAGTGGTAAGGGAAGAAGAAGACCGAGGCAGTTTGCTATAGGGAAATAAATGGGGAATGGAAAACTGCAAGGGGACTCACTTGTTATATGACTGATCTAAGGCATACAGGATTAAAATAGAATGGTTTTAGAAGAAGCTTAAGGCTTTTGCAGATTCACACATGCTCCAAAAAGCATGCAAGTGTATGCTAGGCTCCCACCTTAACTTGCATGGCATGAAAGCAGTCAAGTTTTTGTAGCATCTTACATATTGTGCTCACTTTCAACCTCAAGCACCCATGCTTTCGGCTTTCTCTGCAACACTGACGCTGAGGGGAGCATGAGGGCGTATAGCGGAGCTGGCCCAAGACATTTTGCCGCTTGAGGCAAAACAGAAAATGGGTGTGTCCCCCTTCTGCTGCCCCCTACCACTGCTGCCTCCTTTTCCGGCAACTGGAGGCAGTGAGGGAGAAAAAAAGGAAGAGGAACAGGCATTGGCAGCGTCAGCCATGCTCTTTCCAGGCAGCAGTGAGCAGAGGTTCTCCTTAGGGGCCTTCAAAGATGTTTAGAGATGCAGAAATGTTATGGACTGGCTGGATGCAGAGAAATGGTGGGAAACCCGGAAGGGAAGAAGGCTCAGAAGCAGGGATTGGTGGAGTGGCGAAGGTGAGTGGTCAGAGGGAGGAGGGGGAGCAGATTGGGGAGAGAAGGTGTCAGAAGCTGAGGAGGTAACACTGTTTGGTGAGCAGGAAGAGGCTGTGGCAGAGAGCAGTTCAGAAGCAGAGGCTGTTGAGGAGGGGAGGCAAGAGGCAGAGTTGAGGCAGGCTGCTGAAGAAGCCAGGGAGTCTCCCCCTCCTACTGCGACCAGCTCCCAGTAGGAATCTCAGATTGCTTGAGAAGGCCTCAGGGGAGGAAGAGACTTAGGGAGCTGGGGGAAGGGGGGACCTTCAGTCCTCACTATTGCCTCATTGGGGCAAGATCTACTGGGAAGAGTTGCTGTGATCTGAGCTGTTTGGTTTCTTTGAATAGAGTTCACTGACACCTTGTGAGTTCTTGCTGATCTGCTCCTGGCATCTACCCTGACAAGAAATGAGTCTGGGTGAGCAGGCAGCAGAGGGACCTTCCCCCTCATGGGGTGACTGCAATGGTGGCGGCTCCAATCCGTGGATAAAGGAGGAGTGGCAAAGGCACATGAGACTCCCTTCTCTGTATCTGCCACCCCTCGCAGACATCCCCAGCCTGCCGCCTGAGGTGACTATCTCAGCAAGTCTAATGGGTGGGCCAGCCCTGGCTTATATGGTTCTCAATTTAAGGGGAAAGTCTTAGCGCACAGTTGTGAAGCTTTTTGGAGCACGAGTGAATCAATAAGGGCCCCCTTTTCGGGGGGGGGGGGGAATTACTCGGCTGAAAATCTACCTCCTTTAAGTGAACAAACAGAAAGATACAGTGACAAATTTGCATCAGTGGACTTGACCACTGATCGGTTATAACTTGCATTTTGTGTGTTTGTTTGAGAAATAAAGAAATCATTACGACTTTAACTCATATGTTACATCGATAAGTGTCATTACACAACAGATGAAACATGTACAAATGGTTTTTCGAAAGCTTATTCTTTCTTTATGCTTCCACCCCCCCCTTATTTTTATTCAATGCCCCCCAATTGCACCTGAGGCTACAACTGCCCCCCGGATTATTCCAGCGCCCCCCAGGAGTGGGAAACACTGATATAACCCCATCTCCATGCCTCCTTAAGCACAAATAATCATAATGAATGCACAATAAAAAGGACATCTAGGATGGGCCCCACATGTTCCCTTTCCTCATTTCTTCCCTGTTTTCAAAAAGAAGCTTCACCGGTTTTTAAAAAATGCACACAGAAAGTTAGCATCATTTCTAGAAACACAAACCCCACTGAACAGAATCTTACTGAGGTGCTCCAAGATCATACAGTAAGGCTGTGTGACGAGGTTCTCCTCCGCCATCTTAATCTTTCTTTAATCTTTTAATTCATGCCTTGATTTTATTCTACTTTCAAACAGTATGGGCTCCTTTTGACATTGTACACTTCGTGGTGAAACATTAGGAAGCTTCTACACAACCTGACCTGAAATCAATGCTCGCTACAATACGGCTATCTCAGAAAGACTTAACGTACCTGTACCAGCAGATGATGTTGCAAAGCAGGGCCATTAAAAACTACAAGTAAATTAGAAAGGGTAGGAAAAGAGGAGGGTGTTAATACCCCAAAAGGCTGTGGAGCGACGTTTAGCAGCTAGTGCAATAAATTACCTGATTAATTTAACAATGGTTAATTCTTTGATATCACCATGCAACCTCTTCCCAAAACACACAGCCTTGGGGGTTTTCTTTTTCTCTCTCTTAATAAAATGGCATTTCTTTTACAGAAACGCAGATAGGCTTCCTGTATCCACATGCACAAACTGTGAAGATGTAGCACCGATGCATGGATGGTTATGAGTTCCAAAAGCAGACCTAAGATCTCACAGGTGTGTTTGCAAGTAAATGTCCAAACTCATTCGGCATTGTATAGATGCAGCTTCTACAAACCCCAAGCAGATTCTGTGTCCCTTACTTGGATCCCGCCTGCTTTCACCCTAAGTGTCAAATGCGATACAGAAGTTAACACACCACTCTTAGTTGTGTTGTGCCTCTTTCTCTTTTTTACTCTAAGTAGCCGCTGGGGAGTTGTTGTGGGGCTCTGCCCCTCCTCAGGAGCTGAAGCTCCAATCCTCATTGGGCCCCCAAAGCAGCCGCTATTTAGACTAAAAAATTAAGGAGAAGGACACATTTAGTCCAAGAGAGGAACGAAGAAAGCCGCTGTACATCAAGTCAGACCATTGGTCAAGCTAGATCAGTCTCCACTGACTGGCAAAAGCTCTCCAGGATTTCAAATGAGGTCTTTCTCAGTCCTACTTGCAAGTGCCAGAAACTTAACTTGAGACCTTTTGCATACAAAATATGTTCACTGAAGTTCGGCCCTTTCCCCTTCCTAATCTCCCCAATTTCTTCCATTATAGCTGAAACTCTGATTTCATCCTCTGTAACTTCTCATTTTGCTTGTTGCAATCCCTCCTTTTGGGCTTTAATCTCTCAGGTGTTCATCCTGTCAACTTTTCATAAAATACTTTGTTTAATTGTGTGTGTTTTTAGGATTCCCCCCTAATGTGTCCAGTGGTTCTTATTTTTATCTGTGAGCTACATTGAGTCCCATCAGAGGAAAAGGTGTATACATAAATCTATAGAATCATAGAATTGTAGAGTTGGAGCAGATCTCAGTATCTGGGGAGGTGCACATGGGAGAAAGGAGTTCCCAGTGCCAGATTTAGGGCAATGGGGGCGGTTCCCCCACAGAGGGCACCAAGCCAAGGAGGTGCAAAATCAAGAAGATCCATAATTAAGAAGATCCAAATTTTAGCCTCACACAGGGTACCATACACTGAAAGATTACTCATGTTTGCCCCTGGAATCCTTGAGGTTAAGTTGGCCCCAAGCTGTTCAGGGTTCCCAAATTACAGGAGTCGTTGGCTCCTTTGATGCAGGTTTTAGAAGTGAAACATGGGGGCACAACTGTAGCTTAGTGGTAAACCACGTTTTGCATGTTAACAGTCCCAGAATCAATCTCTAGCAGGGGTCAGCAAACCTTTTTAGCAGGGGGCCGGTCCACTGTCCCTCAGATCTTGTGGGGGGCCGGACTATTTTTTTTGTGGGGGGAATGAATGAATTCCTATACCCCACAAATAACCCAGGGATGCATTTTAAATAAAAGGACATATTCTACTCATGTAAAAAACATGCTGATTCCCAGACCGTCCGTGGGCCGGATTTAGAAAATGATTGGGCTGGATCTGGCCCCCAGGCCTTAGTTTGCCTACACATGATCTAGGGCAGGGGTCAGCAACCTTTTTCAGCTGTGGGCCGGTCCGCCATCCCTCAGACCATGTGGTACACCAGACTATACTTTGAAAAAAAATAATGAATGAATTCCTAGGCCCCACAAATAACCCAGAGATGCATTTTAAATAAAAGCACAGATTCTACTCATGTAAAAACATGCTGATTCCTGGACCGTCCACAGGCCGGATTGAGAAGGCGATTGGGCTAGATCCAGCCCCTGGGCCTTAGTTTGCCTACCCATGATCTAGGGCCTCCTAACACCAATCTGAATCCCTTGAGAGCTGCAGTCCAGGCTTCACTCAGCAAGAGGGCCTCAAGACTCAGGCCGCTTGCCTGCCACCTCCTCCTCTGATGCACCACTGGCCAGCTGTTGGCTGCCCACCAGTAGCAACCAGTCTGGAAAGACCAGACTGGGAAACTGGTCTCAAATTTCAGCAGTGCCACCCCTGTGCCTTCCATTCTACATAATAGTTGCGGAATTCACTAATCTCTGTGTTTGCTTTGACTCTTTTCATATACCTGTTTTCCTCGCGAAATAATTCCTTCAGGCACTTCTGGGTATTCATCCTCAAAGCTTGTTTCTTCCTCCTCAAAGCTTGTTTCTTCTTCCTCAAAGCTTGTTTCTCCCTCCCAGATTTTCTCTCTCTCCAAGTTTCTTCCTCCCTTCCAACTTGTTCTGTCCTCTTCAACGGTTGATCTGCTTCCTTCGCTTTCCTCAACTATTTGACCTAGCACTGATTTGGTTGGCAGAAGAGGCATCGAATACCTTTTCATTCTGGATACATTGCGTTTTATTTTCGGTACAGAAATCTTGGTGTTTGGAGTATATCTGGTTATGCCAGTCCAATCCCTGTTGCTTGCTCTAGATGCTGCAATACTTTCCTGTTTGAGGTTTGACATTGATGATCTTATGAATCCCTGCAGGTTCCCTTTGAATGCTTCGGGTCCTACCTCCTGGAAACTGTCTGTGACTTCTCTAAGCCATTTCTCCACATCCACTCTAGCTTCTTCAGCACATACCTCATTGAGGTGTGTTTTGGATTCTTCAAGCCATTGCTTAATATTTTGCCGGGATGCTTCCGGGTCTTCTTTGAGGTACGCTAGGGATTCTGCAAGCCATTCTTGAGTATTCAGATTGGAGGCTTCCTCTTTGAGACTCTGTATCGCCGATTCAGCCCACCCCTCCACATTTACTATACTTTCTTCAGAAGTTCCCTCTTTAAAATTCTGTGCAGATTCTGCAAGCCATTCGTACACATTCACCTTAGATGCTTCAGGACCTTGCTCTTGAACATTCATCATGGCTGCCTCAAGCCATCCTTTCACATCATGTCTTGATGTTTCAGGACATGTTTCACCCAGGTTTCCTATGGCCGTTTCAAACCATTGCTGTAGGTCCTGTCTGGGCATATCAGGTCCTTCCTCTTCCATGGTTTTCAGGTTTTGTTCAAGCCACTTTTGAACCCCTAGTCTGGAGGCTCCCCTTTGGACATTTGCTATCGATTCATCAAGCCACTGCTGCACACTTTTGGCAGTTGCTGGAGGAATGTCCTCTTTGAGGTTCAGAATGGATGCTTTTAGGAATTTGTTCAGGTCCTGCTTGGATGCTTCAGGACCTCCTTCTTGGAGCCCTTTTCTGGTTTCCTCAAGCCACTCTGTCACATCCTGTCTGGACGCTTCAGGCAACTCATCTTCAACGTTTCTTAAGGATTCTTCAATCCAGTCCTGCACATTCTCTATGGATGTTTCGGAACTTTCTTGTATGCGGCTTATTAAGTTTGACTGAAGCCACTTCCCTACATTCAGCATGGACTTCTGTTGGTTTTCTGTGAATGGTTTCTGCACCTTCTTACTGGATGCCTTACCTTTCTCCCGGATGCTTTCCATGTCTGCTTCAGGACTTTTCTTCTGGATACCCTTCATGGGTGCTTCAGGAATTTCTTGGATGTTTTTCATGGATGCTTCAAGCCATTCTTGTATATCTAGACGGGACGGTTCAGGCCCTAGATCTTGCAAGTTTCTTATGGATGCTTTAAACCATTCCTTCATATCCTCTCTTGATTCTTCAGGATATAGCTCGTCAATTTTTTTCATGGATGATTCAAGCCATTCCTGCAAACCCTCACTGGAATCTTCAGGACCCCTTTCCATGAAGTCCTTAATGGATTCTTGAAGCCATTTTTGCATATTTTCTCTAGATGCTCCATTGCCTTCCTGTACGACGCTTCTCATGGATTCTTTGACCTTTTGCTTCATTTTCTCTTTTGCTTCTTCGTTTTTCAGACCTTTCGATGCTTGAGGCCATTCTGGAACAATGAGCTGGGTTGTTTCAGGACCTTCCTGCCTGGATGCTTCTGGAGGTTTCTCCATGGCTGCTTGAAGCCATTCTGGCACTACAAGCGCCTCCTGCTGAGCATTCGGTTTTGTTGCTTTGCGACTTTGCCCTTGGATTTCCTGGATGGCTTTACCGGATGCTTCAGCCCACTCCGGCATACTTAGGCGGTCTGTTTCAGGCCCTGCCTCTTGGAGGTTACAGGTGGGGGCTTTTATCCATTCGCTCTCCTCCTTTCTAAATGCTTCAGGACATTGCTCTTCAATGTCCTCCATGGTTTGCTTGGGTGCCTCAGGACTCTTCTCTCTGAGGTTTTCCATAGGTTCCTGAAGCGTTCCTAATACATTCTCTTTACAAGTTTCAGAAGCTTCCTTTGTGGATTCTTCAAGCTGTTTCTTCTTTAGTTTACCCCTGAGCAACTTAGGCTTTGCTTCAGACTCTTGAAGACCCTGGAGGCTCTTAATGGATTCTTCATGCCATTCTTGAACACCTAGGTGGGATGTCTCGGGACCTTCCTCTTGGAGGTTACTTATGGATATGTCAAGCCATTCTTTCACATCCTGTCTGGCTTCTTCAGGACATTTCTCTTCAACGTTTTTACGGGATTCTTTGAGCCATTCATCAATAGCTGGTTTGGGTGCTTCTGAAACTTCCTTTGTAAGGCTTTCCATGGATGCCTGAAGCCACCTTACTACTTTCTTCTTGGATGTCTTGGGATCTGCTTTCCCTTGGACTCTCTCTATGGATTCTTCAAGCCATTTCTTGTTTAGGTTATATCTGGACGATTGAGGAACTGCAGGAGCCGGGCTCTCGCTTTTCTGTGTCATCTTTTCAGGCTCTTGCTTTTCTGTGTCATCTTCAGGTCTTTTAGCATGTGTGCTTGTTTGCCATATATAAACACAGCTTCTTTTTCCTGCTCCACTCATCTGTGCTTCTAAATGTTCCATGCCTACTTCATACAAACATGGTTCATAATGGTCTTTACTCAGCTCCTCTGCCTGTCTATAAAAATAAGAAATTTATTAGAGACGGCTTGAACAAAATAATCTAAATTAACATTAACTTCCTTAAGGCACTAAATCAGTGGCTTCTCAATCCAAAAGCAAATTCAATTAAATGAAATGGGTCGCACATTATATTTGAAAATTTACTGCTAGGAGCAACATGTCTATATCTTATCAGAGGAGCTAAAAAAAATTCTCTCCAGTTTTGGAATATTTTTACAGAATTTCAGAAAATGCAACTATGACAAAACCCACCTATGTTGTTCCAAAGCATCCCTCAACCCAAATATTTTCATTGGCTGCAAACACTTACAATGTAGCCTGTAGCTCAGAGTCCTTGAGTTCCTTCTGCAGGCAATTTATTTTCATCTGAAGACTCTTAAAAATCAAAACACACATATGTTTACAGGTGAATAACAAAATGCACTTATCTCTCAATCACACTCACTTTGTCCCTGTCTCTCTCTCACACACACACACATTTTGGGATTCTGCAGCTCTTGTTATTATGAAAAGAAACATCTTTCAGAAGGGGAAAACTTGTGGTCTAACAATGCAGGGAGCACTTTCACAAGACCATTTCTCTGTGGTGCAAACAGTGAAGGAGGCATCCCCTCAGCAACTTCAGAAATGTTAATGGGGGATGGCTGGCTCTTTTCTTCATTGTGTACCCCAGACTCATAACAGCCCTCATGCAAAATAATCACTGATCCTCTGAATGTGTGCGTTTGTTGGGGTTGACAGCACACACACACACACACACACACACACAACTCCCGCCCAACAGACCACTATGGAAATAATCAGGACTTTGGATCCTGTCTGGATAGGACCCTTAGATCCTGAGCTGTGGTAATGACAGCATCGCTCTGCCCCAGGGTCTGAAGGCCACGGTCTCTGCTGTGATGGTTAGACCAAAAATATGCTCTTCCCAGTGGTGTGCGTACTTGGGGGACTGGGATAATCCCCCAAATGTTCCCCTGGTGCCTCCTTCCCAAAGCCTGGGAAGCTTCTGCCCAGGTTAGGGAGAGAGGGGTTATGGTCATGTGTGCAACATCAGCACGTCAAGATGTCACACGTGTGACGTCACCCCCACCCCTCAATCGCCCTCACAAGCTGGTGCCTCTGGCCCTGGCTGTTCTCCTACAAAAAGTTAACTGCACGCCACTAGGTGTTCCCACTGCCCACTTCATATGGGGTGGGAGGTGGAAGAAGGAAAGAGTTGTCCAGAAGAGCTCTGGTTTGGGCCATGAAACTGCTGCAAGGGTGAAGACCTGGGCACTGGCGTCCATAAATAGTGTGTTTGGGAAGCTGAGCAGCACAGGAGCCCAAAGGCATACCCTCCAACATTTCTCCCGATGAAAATAGGAACATCCCATTCCTTAATGATAATTTTACTATTTATATCGCACACAACTTACTGGGTTGCCCAGTTCAGCAGAACGAATCCCCGTGACGGGGTGAGCTCCTGTTGCTCGGCCCCTGCTCCTGCCAACCCAGCAGTTCGAAAGCACGTCAAAGTGCAAGTAGATAAATAGGTACCGCTCCGGCGGGACGGTAAACAGCGTTTCCGTGTGCTGCTCTGGTTTCCAGAAGCAGCTTAGTCATGCTGGCCACATGACCCGGAAACTGTATGCTGGATCCCTCGGCCAGTAAAGCAAGATGAACGGCGCAACCCCAGAGTCGGTCACGACTGGACCTAATGGTCAGGGGTCCCTTTACCTTTACCTTTAAGGGAAAGTGGGACATTTGAGGATCAAATCAGAAACCAGGACACCTTCTCTGAAACAGGGACGTCCCTGGAAAATAGGGACACTTGGAGCAAAGGGCTTTTTCCAGATCCATGTTTAACTGTTTCCAATCTAGTAGGCTACTTAAGAGGTACCAGGGGAAGGAGATTCTCCAAACTGGATTAGGATCTGGGTTAAAACGCTCTGCCAGCGTGTGTGTGTGTGTTTATGGGTACACAGGTCAAAATGGTTTCTTGCATTTGCAGAGCATGATTCTAGGAGTAAAGAATGAGCCTTGCTTTTATTTTAAAAAACCATTAAAAACCACACATCTCATAAAAAGTCCATCTGATCTCCTCTCTACCAGGCATATATATTTAGGCCTGGACATTTTAAATAAGTAGTATTTCCATTTTAAACTGTCATGGCTGAACTCCCTTTTGATTTGCTAATGAGGTTATGTCACAGCCAATCTCAACGCTATTTAATCAGAGATAGTCATACTAACTTCAAGGGGGAAAGAACTGTATTACTGAATACAAATATCCTTGATGTACCTCAATATGCTTTCCTTGTTCAATCAAAGCTGCTCTTGTTTCAACCATAAGTACTTGTTCCTGTAGTGCAAATGAAATGCAACATTTTAAAGAAAGAGTGAAACCCATAATTTCCATTACACAAATGTAATGGTTTCATATTTTGTTATTAAAATACTTCTTAGATAATTAATGTGTGATTATTTTTTATCTGTATGTACATATGTGTGACACACACACACACACACACACACACACACACATATATATTACACTGCCTTTTTGCCCCTTTTATACAAAGGCGGCTTGTACTTGTACTGTCTATCTATCTATCTATCTATCTATCTATCATGTCAATAAATATAAAGCAAGAAAACAACAAGACTTGAATGAAAACAACAGCAAAAAAAACCCTTTACCCTGCCGCCCTATGCATGTTTAACATGGAGTAACCCCGCTGAACATAGTTCAATTGCAAAAACTCACAGCCTGTCCAAAGCCTGGTAGAATAGAATGGTCTTTAATTGAAACACCAACAAAGCAGGTCCCTGGGAGTTGGGGTTTTGCAATGGAGAAAGTTGTGTCCTTGGCAGCCACCCATCTGAGGGTGAGGGTACCCATAGCACAGTTTCTGCAGGCCAGGGAAGAGGAATCTGTGGCCCTCTCCAGGTTCTGTTGGACTCCTTTTTTTTATTTAATTTTTTAATTTAATTTTATTAGCTTAATATAATTATTACAAAATCAAAATCAATTAACAAAGTGTTACAATTACATACATATATCCAAAACTCTCCATAATGCTGTTAATAAAAAAGAAAAATATAGAAGAGAAAAGAAGAAGAATGAAAAAAAAGGCAGGAAAAGGAAAAGAAAAAGAAAGAAAAATTAGAAAAAGAAAAATAGAAGAAAGTAGGAAGAATTTCTTCCAAATTTATTCTACATGTATTTCAATAAACAAATAATAATAAAATTTCATTGAATGATTTCCACTGCTTACACTGCACTTCCTATAGATATTTTAAACATAATTGTATCTGTTATTCCATAATCCCCCCCCCCCCAAAAAAAGAAATCTTATATGTTGGAGCTGGTTGAAAGAGTGAATCTTACTTAAAAATAGGGAGGTTTTGGAATTGGAAGGTTGGGATAAAATTTATGGATGGCATGGCTATTTATGGGAAAATACAAGTACATAGAAGAATTATGAATCATTTGGTGAGAAAAGCCTTGTTTGGAGTATGGGAGAGAACAAAGGAGGCAAATTATAGAAAAAACTCTGTGGTGGACCTCCCCGGTAGAGGCAACCTCCACACTTAAAAACAGGTTCTGTTGGACTCCTAGACAGCCTTGGCAACGGTCAGGGATGCTGGGAGCTGTGGTAGAACAACATCTAGAAGCCCATGTGGAATGAATCAGCCTCCTGTAACCAACATGCTTAAGTCTAATTAATGCACGAAGGGGGTTAAGACCATAGAGTAAGCTGTCCTGCCAGGCTTAGCTAGGTCACTCCTCCTCACCTTGGGAGGAAGGGTTACCAAACTCTTTGTCCTCTCACTTCCACCATGTGAACCCTACCAGCAAGAAGGTCTAACCTGAACACTCCAAGCTTAGACTGCATGGCTTAAGGAAACCATCTTTGTGTTTCTGTACAAATAATTCACAAACCTTTACCATATTGAAACCTAAGTTATACCACCTGCCTTTTCTTGCCGCTGTATGGAAAAGCACATGATTCAGACCTTGGAAGGGTTTGTAAGTAAACCATTTTTAATTAGCCAAATGTGTGGTCTAAGGGAAGTGGGGAATTTTAGAAACAGCTTAGAAGGGGGATATTTTAAAGGTCTAACTGGGTCTATTTCCACACTTTGCTTTGCTGCATATCTTATTATTTAAAATTGTTGCCGGGGTCCTCTCACCAAAGAGTTCTTGCCGCAGACCTGGATCCAGATGTCCAGAGAATTATTCTTCTATTTTTCTTTTAACCAAACCAAAACCCAACAGTCCAAAGGTTTTCCATTCCTGGACAGACTGTGGAGAAGCAGGCAGTCCCAGATCCTCCAGCTAAAAACCAGCACACAGAACTGCCTTCAAAAATAAACTAGGGGTCTAGGAGTCAATGAAACTTTTTAAGCACCAGCAAAATGTGGCCAATCCTATAGGATCCTGCTGTTGAGCTGGTTGCCATATCCTTGAACCACTCACACATTGAGGAGATCCACTATAAAAACATCTGTGCCAGGTTATGTGTGCTGTACTGGCTTCCCTCTTCACTTCAATGACAAGAGAGTAGGAGCTGAACGCACATAAGTCTCCAGATCATAGTGACATGTTTATATTCTGGTTTTATCTAAACAGATTTCAAAATGCTGTTACAGGATCATATTGTGGTGAGATACTGGTAGCATAGCAGGGATTTTAACACTTTTGAATCTATTTAGAGAAAAATAAATTCATTTTGCCATCAGCTTAACTGCAAATTAAACCTGATTTCTTATTCTCTGGGGGAGCGGGGTGAATATTCCATTATAGCTACTGCATATATATTTTCCAGTACCTTGAAAAGATCTCCCTTTTTTTCTTCCATCTTCTTTTCCCAACATTGCAGTGTCTTCTTCCAAAAGAACATTTATCATTGATGGAGGAGAGAGAGAGAGAACAGATTTTATAAGTCTTACATCCTTTTGGGGAAGCTATATTCCATACTTAACGATTGCAGCATCCACAAAAAGTGTCTTCACAAGCAGAGCTTTCCTGTTAGCCACAAATGCAACACTTTTCAATGGAGTCAGCTAAAAGTCATCATGTCTTGAATAATCAAGTGATTATGTACAAACAACGTACAGTTTCTCCCTACACCTGTTATTTGTGTGTTTTCCCCATTGATCTGCCCAGAAGCCAAATTTTACAACAGCAGCAAAATACAACTAAAAATGATAACAAAACAAAGATAAAATACTAATCTTCAACCCAATATAACAATTAAGCAACACAAACAACATTTAAAATGGATGTGTGACACCCCACCCTACTCGCTGAAGGTACTGTGGAATGGGAAAATCCTACTTGCTTCCTACAGGTGGTTAAAGAGCTAAATGCATTTATGGACCCCAGAGGGGGTGAAAACCTCATGTCTGCTTAAAACAGGGAAGTACTGGTGGCATCTTTTACTATGGCAGGAGCTTTTGTGCTTTAGATCATAGTCCAGATGAAGTGGACCCACAAAAGCTGATATCATAATAAATTTGTTCGTCTTTAAGGGGCCACAGCAATTCGCAGAAAAACCAAATTGCCATTTGCTCCGATAGAGTGCTAAAGAATGGTTTTCCCCGGAGGGAAACAGAGGGACAAGACAAAGTGTGGAGAAGCCCACTGTCAACTATCCCTCTGGAAGTTATTCCTGGGATGCGTTATTGGAATATTTGGGCAAACGAGGGACTTTTCTGCAGCTCACGCTGCCTAGTGACTGGAGACGGGTGGTTGGGAGAAGGGTTGGTTGGCCTTTTCCATTGTGCAAGGCTTGGCTTGCTTACTTGGATGCTTCTGGCACAGAGCTGATGGAGTAGGTCCAGCCTGTACGCAGTGCTGGTTAGTGCCCATTGGACTGGTAGGGGCAAAGGCAGGAAGACCAACAGTAGGGAGAGCCAATGACTGGCACAGCCACCCCATGACTGCTTGTAAGTAAGGCAGCCAGGTGGCAGTGCCCCATGCACTCTAATGGACCAGCTTCCACTGACTGCGCATGCCCAGGAGCGGTCCTGAAATCTCCACCCCTCCTGGCCTGGATGAGGCCTTGTCCTCCTTCCCCACAGCTGACAACATGAAGCCTGACCCATTTGTAAACTGCTCTGATTTTTAAAACAGATTGGTTTCAGACATGCAGTGGATGCCCGCAAAATTAATAATGTTTTCAGACAATCAGTTCTAAAGCTTCCATCCATCTCTAGGTTGAACCATGAGGTCAGCAAACAGCCTGGCAGCCACATGAACTTGGAGGGTGGATTATAAGTGAGATGGTTTATAAATACTGAATGCTGACAAATGCGGCAACAGGAGCAGAGCGGCAATGCCTTGCGGTGAGCGAGAAAAGACCGTTGCATTAGCACATTTTTGTAAAGGAAATGATCAAAGTGGTTCGGCGGGAGGGAGGACGGATTGAAGTAACATCTAATTATTCATGATGGCACCAGTGACCACAAAATCACTGTTTACTGCCACCCAGGATAGGATATTAATAGGGGGGATGTTTGTTTCTGCATGTCAAGAAAATGGATAACGCTCTTCCATTTTGTCAAGAGTAAATGCTGCTGGAAAATTATAGGCCCCCTTTCCCCAAGACAGGGAAACACAAGCCAAGCCGACTGATATAACACACTGCTTCCATCACAAGCTAGTCAGCCATACTGCTAGTCAGCCAGAGAACTAGGAATACAAATCTGATGTAACACTGTCTTCATTCCCTTGCACTGAGGATGCTTCACAGCCAGGGTGTTATATTGAATCATGTCTTCTGTAGGCTGTGTATAGTCCTCCTACCTTAACAACACATTTGAAGCACATTCCCCCCCCCTCAGAGAATTCTGGGAACTATTGTGAGAGAGAGAGAGAGAGTTGCTGAGCAATTGTAACTCTGTGAGGGTTAAACGACAGTGCCCAGAATTCTTTGAGAGAAATAATGTGTTTTGAACATGCTTTAAAGGGGCAGTATGTGCACGGCTAGTTTAAACCTGCTCAGTATATTTTGATAATGATCATATTGTTGCAGGCGTGATCTTTGCATAGCTGTCAATTTTCAGATTTGAAAATAAGGGATCAGCAGCCTCGAAAATAAGGGATCAGCAGCCCCACCTGTCCCGGGGACAGTCTATGGGATATCTAACAATCCGGGATAGCAGCAGGAAGCAGTGGGAAACGGCGCTGGAATAAGGGAATTTCCCGCAAAAAAGGGGAAGGCTATGGCTCTTTGGTTGTGCAATATCTTTTGTTTGGGCTTTTGCGTAACTTGACAGCCGAAGGTTGTAGCTTAATAACATTTGACCCTAGCCCCCACCTGGGCCTCTGGACAGAAGCAACGCCTCATGGATCCTTTTAACAGGATACACTTAACCAGGGCTTTTTTTCCAGCCAGAACTCATCAGAATTCAGTCCCAGTGCCTCTCAAGGGGGCACCATTGCCATTATAAGAGAACAAGTTCCAGCACCTCTTTTTGTGAGGTTCCAGCACCTCTTTTTCTAGATAAATGGCACTGCCCTTAACCAAAGAGGGGCAGGCAGTCGCTACAACCTTCCCTCCAGCCAAGACTAAGGCTCACCCTATGCCTAACCTCACAAAGTTGTGGTGATTGCTATGAAATGGACAAAAAACAAAGTATGAAAGCAAAACATATGAAAAAGGGAGGGAGGATGGGAGATCCAACAAGGAGGCTGGGGAGGAGGGCTAGGCAGGCCCCAATTATTCTGCCCCCCCGGAGGGAAGCCAAGCTACACCCATTGGCTGGTTGGGCCTGCCCCCTGGGGAATTCCCCCACCTAAGCATTTGGCCAATGCACAGGCAGGCTACAATCTTCCCCGGCCGGCTGCCAGATCACAGGCGTGGCCATGGCCAGGTTACAGCACTGCCTGACCATTAAAGGTAAGCAGACCTATGTCACACCCTACCCTCAGTGAGACCTGAGATTTGTGTTTGGGCTGAAGAGGTAAAAGAAGCCTGACTGTAAAAGTAGCTTTTGGGGGTTGAAGTGAGACATGCAGGTGTTTGGATGAGCCTGGCGTTGCTCTACAGACTAGTATTGCCAACCTGCCCACTTGCCGCCATCCTCAAATTGTCTATCTGCACATAAATGGATATTGCAAAAATGCCATAAGATTCCAGCGCGCTCGCTCTCTCTCCTCATGAGGAAATTGCCCTATAATTTCCCGCCGCTTTGGGAAGTGGAGACTCTGTAACAATATTTCCTTTTGGTCCCTTAGGTGATTTTATTTCATTGACTACATTGGAAATGTAAAATTGCATCCCAAACTGTGTAATGGAGCGTTGACTCGCTGAGGTGCTAAATGACAGTGGCACCTCTATGAATATAGAATTGCTTTGCTCAGAGTTTGAAGAGTATAGGCTCACAATGCATCATTAAAGAAAATTAGATATGGGTGCTACTGAGTTCTTTCAACAATATGACTATGCATAAAACTCAATACTGTCAATAAAGGACTCTTGAGATTGCCAGACAAATAATATCTGTATACTAGCTTGGATCACATTTTGTTGCTCTTTATAGACTTGATTTTTGGAAAGAAAATGTTGGTCTGAACAGCAAACTTGGTGCAGAATCCTGCCAGCAGTTACAGCCTAATAGAGTTCAAAGGGAATTATACATGGGTTTAGCATTGCACCCTTTGCTTCTCTCCCCCCGCTCAATTAATAAAACATTACTATTCATTTATATAGTATTTGAACAGGGCAGAGAGCTTTACTATGGACTCCTTCGCACATAACACTACCAAACCAAGGTTTAGCAAGAACAAGAAAGTGTGCAAGTGTTGTACAGGAGAACTTCCCCAAAGTTGGTGCCCTGCAAAAAGAATTCATCTGGTGAAAACTGGGATACCTTTGCATTCCTTGTTAGTTCATGCTCCAAGGGTTGCCAGGCTTCCACATTGCTTAGAAGATGGTGACGCCTGACAGAATCAGAGATGAGAGAAGAATCACAGCTGGCCATTCCATGGTGAGCCATACTTGTCCTTAGGTGTTCTTGATGCCTGGCCAGCTGACAGTCACACAATCTAGACCACTTAAAGCAAAAGTAATTATACAGCTATATTTTTAAACAACATACTGAAAATATACTGAAGCAGAATGTGTACACTTCTGTCAAAGAAACGGTTCTTCTTTCTCTGTTCACTATATGTTCAGGGTCACACCAGGCAAATGCTACCACTTTCCTGGAAGGAAACATGGCTGGCCAACAGGGCCACTTGATGCAGGACTGAGACTGGATCAATTAAATGTCCCAAACATCTTCTGCTTTGGGTAGCTTAGCGCCACAGTTTACCATGAAGATGACAGAGTTGGCAGCTATGAATGGCAAATTTTGTGGAGGAGGGAGAGGGAGATGAGGTGGCAAAGGGCAAGAGGGAGACATTTGTCCCCAGTCTGGTTCTGGCTATGCCCAATGTTAACTCTGGCTCCCAGATTACTCTTCCCATTAGTCATCAGCCCATTGTAAAAAAAAAGATTCCCCACCCTTCTTTAAAGGAGCTCAGAGTGACTCAGATGACACCAGCTCCCTCATGATCGTTAGGCTGCTACTCAGCTTCACAGATGGAACTGCATCAAGCACCTTCAGATAATTCTCGGACCCCATATCTGCCCCATTCATTCCCACTATTCCAGTATGGCAGGAAGCAGAAGAATGGACTGGACATATTTTGTGCCTGGAAGCAACCTTGCTCCAACCTCCTGGATTGCAGGGTTGTTGTAGCAAATACACAACAATGTGGAGAAGATTTGGCCCACAGACATGTGCATGGCTGACTCTGCTGCTTTACACCTGTGCAGAAATACCTCGATGTAGATATTATTCATTTTAAATTGTTTGCTAAGTGTTGTGCAGGTGGTTGAGAAAATATTACTGTTCTGGTGGCTTTATAAAATGTACACCAGTACAATGGCCCCTCCCCCACATGGTGTATAGCATACTCTCCAAATGTCCCGATTTTCTAGGGACAGTCCTGGAATTATGAACGCCACCCCAGTTTCTCAAATGATCCCGGAATGTCCCTATTTCCCCCTCTAGTGCCACCACCAAGCTTGGAAAGGTAGATGAGCTGGCGCTTGTTCTGAATGGTGGTGGCAGCAGTGGCAGCTGTGAGGGAGCTTCTCCTCGCCTCTCCATGGCCGCTGCTGCTGGCCTCCTCCCTTGGGCAGCTTGTAGCAGCTGCTGGAGGGCAGGTGAGGAGGAAGAGAAGCTGCCGTTGCCAAGACCCAGCCCCATGTAATACGCCGGCTCTGAGGGGCAGACAGAAGGCAGGACTGCCCTGGGTGGAAATAAAAGGGGAGCACAACAGAATACAGGGAGTCTTGATTTGGGGGGGATAAATGCTTTGTGCATCCAAGTCTAATCTTGCCCCTTTCTAAAATTTATCTATTGGTGTGTGTTTTTATTTTGTAAAAAGAATAGAAAAGAATAGGGATTAAGGAATTTCTCAGGACAGCGGAGGGTGAGTATGCTTTGTTCCATTAGTGTAGTGCTGGTGGAAATGCTCTGTGAGTGGGGGTTAAAAATGGTGGAGGGGTCAAGGAGGGTCAGTTTCAGGGAGTGAGAAACGTCCCTCTTCTCATCTGAGGAATGTTGGAGGGTATGCTATAGCCCCACACGTTTTGGGTGCTGAACACCTGTAGGGGATCTCCTTGAGTAAGCTCTCATCTAAATTGCACGAGACGCTGACTCAAGTAGGGCATCGTTGCCACAGCTGCCATTCAGCCGCCAACATGGCGGGGCAGCATGAACATTGAGGGCAGGACACTTCTCTTTCCCCCTCAGGAGAGGGGAATCATATAGGGGGGCAGGAATGACTGAACAGGGGACAACGGCATTCTGCCTAGTCTTCAAACAATCAGATTTCTCTCTCCAACCTCTTCCTGCTGATGCTTTATAGCCTTTGGCTTCTTGATCTTGATTCCGTCTTCCACCTCTATCTCCTCCCAGGTTCTTTTTATGTAACGCTGTGGATACTGCAGGCTGCAAGACATAATAACAGGCTGGAACACGGCAGGCTGGGGAAAATGAGCGCTGAAAGGGTTTTTTAAAAGCGCCCCGGGGTTTAAAACGAATGTGGGGAGACTTCTTCTCACTCTTTCTGCGATCATTTGCGACTGTCATTGTACTTATCAGAAATATTGGTAATTAGATATCTCTGTGGACTGCAAAAGCATTTAGAGAATATCGTGGTGGTACACAACAACAAAATAAAAGCAGATAGAACAAATCAAATACAGTTCTCATGGCAATGTCAGCAATTACCCTTCCAAATATTTGTAATACAAATATTCTTAATAATAATTTACTGTAAATATGGATTTGTATAGTGAGATCACTGGTGTTTTTTCTTTATCACTTAAAGTTTCTGAGGGGTGGAATTTGCACTGGGCCTGTGACCCTGGCAAAAGGGGGTTCAATCCTCTGCCTTTGCTACTTCCCAAACTTCAGTTCCCACCAGAATTACTACCTGCATTGCCGTCTTCAGAGCTAATAGCAGCTTCAGGGGTTATTTTATTTCAAGACAGCACAGCACAGGCCGTAAGGCTCAGTCCCTTCCCACAATACCATGGCACCAAGCTAAATTACCTCCACTAGGCAATAACTTTTAATCAAGGGAAAAGATCCAATAACAGATTTCCTATGTCACACATGTTGCTTGGCCGTGAGCTCCCGTTGTCTAGATATTTGTCATTTTACTAGCTATTTGCAGCCCAAGGATCCCGTCACGGAAGAACCTCCTATGCTCTAAGCAGAGAAAATACTAAATATGGGTCACTTCTGCTTCCTTCATTAATTGTATGGCGGGAGTCTTGAAGGTGGGGGTTTTCAGAGAGCAGCACCTGGCCTGACTCAGAGGCTTCAAGGTGAGGGTGGAAAGGGAGAAGACGAGGCACCAGCTTTCGCCAATCCCAGAGAAGGCAACAGGGCTGGACCTAGAAGGCTTCATAATGCATCTCCTGTAGAGGGAGCCAAACAGATGAAAAAATAGCACCGGAAATATCTCTTACCTCCTCATCTCTTGCCTAAAATGCTTGTTTTCTTTCAAGAGCTGCTGGTTCTCCCCAACGAGCTTGATAATCATGTTGCTAAGGAATCTCTTCTCGCTTTTGAGCCTTTCTGTGGCCAGAAGCAGATCCGCAAACATCATCTTTCTATACAACATCAGGACCAGAACAAGATCAACCCCAACAGATGTGATTTTTTTAAAAAAGCTTCAAAATACATCGCCATGTGTTATTATAATTCACAATCAAAATTTACACAGCACAAACGGTATAGGTTTCCTGCGTATACCTAATCCATTTTTATTAATCCAATTTGATAGGCTACTATCATTTCTTTTTGGACAGATGGTGGGGGGGAGGTGTTTCTTAAGCCAAGACTCAATGTTCAGCATCTCTTTATGGGATCTGAACCAAGTTCAGCGTGGCATCTAATGGTCAACCCTGCCTCTGCTTACAAGAGACTCTTCGTAATGATAGAGCCCACCCCTAACATTAATCGTGTTAATGACGCAGTGACATGGGTGCAGCCAGGATTTTTGTTGGAGTGGGCAGAACCTCAGTTTTCTATGAATTTTTATTTTATTTTATTGATTGAGGGGAGCAGCTGCCCCCCCCCCCGGCTACGTCCATCAACACTGATGCGATGTATGGGATCATTGATCTACATTAAACTGCTCATGTTTAGACCACTATACTGTTAAGTGGTTTGTTTGTTTTTTAAAAAATTGATTTTGACAAAGTAATAATAATAAAGAAACAAGAATAAAAACTTGCACCCCACCCCCGAGACCATTCCATTGTAACTATCCAACCTCCCAAAATTTCCACACCTCTTGAGATGGTTTGACCCTTTTCTGTTTTAACAGTACAAATTCTACAAACACCTTCCATAGCTCCTCAAAATCATTTCTCCTGCATATAACCCGTCTTACCTTAATAGCACATGTTAATTTATCATTAATAGCTATTATTAAGCACCATTAAGTGTTTGACAAAGCGACATTTGACAAATAAATGCTTTGGAATCCCCTACTTATTAATATCAGGCAGGACGGGAGTCCTCAGTTTACTGTTTTAGATGCCTGCTAACAGGGCCGGCCCACCCATGAGGCAAGATGGGGCGTCGCCTCGGGCGGCAGGATCCACAGAGGCAGCAGATCTGGCCTCCAAGGAATGCCTCGCCTGCTGCTTCTTGGAAACTCGATCTGCCTTCTCCTCAGCAGACCCCTTCCATGCTGCCGGCCTCTTGGCCCTGGCAGGGAGGTGCCATTTTGTGCTTCGCCTCAGGTGCCAAAATGTCTTGGGTCCGCCCTGCCTGCTAAACACTTGTTTCAGCAAACTGCAAACCACACACCAACAGCATATCCATCTTAACAACATTACTGTTGTTGTTAACAAGGAAAGTGAAAAGATTTATCAGGGACAGCTCAGTCGGTAGAGCATGAGTGTCTTAATCTCAGGGTTGTGGGTTCAAGTTCCATGGTGGTCAAAATATTCCTGCATTGTACAGGGTTGGACTAGATGACCCTCATGGTCCCTTCCAACTATACCATTCTATGAAATGATGTATAAATAAGAGAATATGGGTGTTTCAAAGGATAGGATGATTTGCATTCAAAATTGCCTTTGCTTTTTGGCAAAAGCTGAATACTATAAAGAGCTGCTTTATCTCATCTAGGCATATTCTAAAAGGTACACTAACCCAGAATAATTTCCAGAAGCAAAATATACTCTGGGATGCGGAGGAAGAACAAGGCCCTCACTTAGCTCCCAGGTGTAGAGTCAAACTGTTATCAGCCCCAACAAGCTGCCCTCTAACCAGCCCTGGCAGTTGCCTTGTTTGTGAGGTGGCGTGAGATCACAACTGTGTAAATAATATTAGCAAACATCAAGTGAGATTTCATCCCTTCCCCCAGCATTTCAACACTGAGCATTTAAACCACTAGGACCTGTTATTTCCATGACTTTGGTGGAATAGCATAAGGTTCCTAACCTTCCTTTCAGATGGGACCACAAACCTTCTCCTTGCCCTTGGCCTGGCAGAAGTCAACAGCCTTCCCCAAACCTCATGGCCCTTTTATTTTGAAAGATTTGTCTTTGATACATTTGGGGAAGCTCTTTTATCTCCTTGGGGAGGTTATTTTGTTAAACTAAAGGGCCCTGGCTGTTTGTGCAGTGCCACAATGTACTCATCTTTGTGAATTAAGATACCTAGAACCATTTATTTTTTAAAATCTGATACTAGCTACCTACTAGCTACCTTTGGGACGCGAGTGGCACTGTGGTCTAAACCACTGAGCCTAGGGCTTGCCGATCAGAAGGTCGGCGGTTCGAATCCCCGCGACAGGGTGAGCTCCCGTTGCTCGGTCTCAGCTCCTGCCCACTTAGCAGTTCAAAAGCACGTCAAAGTGCAAGTAGATAAATAGGTACCGCTCCGGTGGGAAGGTAAACAGCATTTCCGTGCGATGCTCTGGTTTCGCCAGAAGCAGCTTAGTCATGCTGGCCACATGACCCAGAAAAACTGTCTGTGGACAAACGTCAGCTCCCTTGGCCAGTAAAGCGAGATGAGCGCTGCAACCCCAGAGTTGTCCGCGACTGGACTTTGTGGGATGTAAACACAGGAGCAGTCAATGACAACATTCCTAGAGTGTACATGTTAGAACATGGGGAGGGATGTCTGTCCAGCAAGCAGGTAAACTTCCTGGGGACGGACTTCCTCCGCATGTGACCAGAGGTGGGTGTGGCCTCACCTGTGCAGGTAATGACAAAAGCACAGGGCAGGCAGCCATCTCTCTCTCTCTGCCATTTTCTTTCGATGAGGAAACATCCAAGGATGCCCTCTTGGCTCCCAGACAAGAGAGGAGATAAGGACTATCTTGCTACAAGACAGATTCTGAATGTATGTAACCTTTTTAAGCTGTCTGCCTTCTGGGATCATATTGTGAACAGAACGTGAGTAAACTCTTTTATACTTTTATAAAGACTGTGTCGTGTCTTGTATTTTAAGAGGGAACAAAGGGGAAATTACCAGAGTAATTATTATAGAGGTTCTAGCGAACCTGTGCACACGTTACCGTTGCGAACTAAAAGGGGAATGTCTATAAACTCTGCTGATATTTTGGGAACTTGTTAGCACAAGTTGGATAAGGATATAATTAGTCAATATATCCTCTCCTGCACCCCAGAACATTCCCACAGACTTAACTGTCAGGGGTCCCATTACCTTTACTACCTACCTTTATGGTGGTTTCTGTGTGCAGGAAGGACTTTGGTTATGTACACAATAACCTGCACAAAAATGCTGTTTCTCTCAACCTGGAATCATTTGTGCTCATCCTCAAGACGCTGCTTTCAATCTAGATTGATTCTAGATCCTGCCACCCACAAGGGCAGGGGTGGCTAATTGATACACATTTGAAAAGCCTCCTTGATTAGATTATCCACATTTTTTTCTGCCCTGCACATTCCCCAGGCGAATGAAGAAGGAAGTGGTGGTTGCGATTTTGATATACGCTTACCCACAATGCCCTTGGCAAAGGGTGGATATACCCTCCCCCCATTGCTGGGACCACCTACAACTGTTTTAATCTGTTTTCAAATGGGTAATGCAGAATCAATCTTCAATGAGCATTTATTTTTGGAGAGAAACTGGTGTCCCCCCCCTCAAGAAGTGCTTTTCAGGGCAACAAAATCTGCAAAATATTAGATTGTTCGTGGGCTATGTGGGGAAAAAACCCCAATACTCTGTCTCCACTGATTCTTGAATAAAATGCTGGGTGTATGCAGCCTTTGTTTAATACTTTATTTATTTGCAATTCATGTGAACCGAAGACAGGAGGCTCTCTAGCATTGTGGGTTGGGTTGATGTTGTCTGTTACAGTATTTTGCTTTCTTATCACTTACACACACACACACACACACACACACACGACAGATGCTCATGGACTTAAGGTCACTGATACCCTCATTCTTTATCACTTTCTCCTTTAACTCAGGTACCCTACAATGAAAGGGGCTGCAATGGCCACTTACAGAATGGCACACAGTCGAGAACTTTGTGGCTTCAACTGTTCTTCTTCCCCATTCTCTCTTAGCCCTGCCTGGGGTGGAGGAGTGTTTGTGATATAATCTGCCTCTAGAATATTGTTCGCAAGGCCCACTACCCCTGATGTTTTGAGTACATTTTAACTAAAAACTCTTCTATTCCATTGTGTAGTTCAGGGTCATTATTTGAATTCTTTTAAACGTTCTTTTCTGTGTGCTAGGCTCAGAAACCATGACAACCGCTTACCAGGCTCCAAGCAGTATTAAAAATACCCCTTTTCTGTCAGGCATTGATTATCTCTTTTATCACAACTGAAAAATTTGAGGACATTGGTTATTTGCTCAGGGCTAAATCCTGCTAGGCCCATAATTTCATACTGAACAGCTGGCCTTCATATTATGACCTGAGGGGAGGTGGAGAGAGAGAAAGCAAATGGGAATAGTGTGGAATAGTCTGCATTTTGACCTTCCTTCTGATTGACTGACCTCAGCCCACATCCACCCACCTAGGCCAGGCACTTGTGGGACAAGACGAACCTGAAAAGTAAAACAAAAACAAAAGCCACCTGCAAAAGACCCGTAGTCGTGAGCCTGGCAACATTAGGTGTCTGCACTAATAATTGCCATTTTCTGCAACAGCCTGGTGCTAACCTGCAAAGCAGAGAAATGAGGCCACCCAAAGATGGGAAAAAAGCTCCTGCTTATGCAAGGAACCCCCAGGGATGTAGAAAATATTAACAATAAGCATCTGAGATGTCCCACCCATGAGGCAAGTTGAGGCGGCTGCCTCAGGCGGCAACATCCACATGAACGGCAGATCCTGATACAGATTTTTATTCCCCTGCCTTTGTTCCTGATCTAGATCTCCACTCACCCTGTTTTCCCTGGTGGGAAATGGCCATAACACCATTTTGTGGTTCGCCTCAGGTGCCAAAATCCCTTGGGGCATTCCTGTTAAGCATTCCTATTTATTTTTAGTTAATATTAATACACACCGATTGATCTGAAGACTGAAGGCTATAGGCATTGCCTGCACACTGCCATGTCCTCCAGTGGCATGAGGGCAGAGGGCATGCGCTAGACCCCTCCGTGGGCTCAGTGGCTCTTCAGCTGAAGGGAATAACCATAACCCATTGGCCTAGCGCCCAATGGCATCCTTTGTTCATTGACCCCGACTCATGCTGGTAAAGGAAGGCTTGAGGCAACTAGCTGAGAACATCAGCACACTGTGGGAGCAGAGGGCAGAGGAAAAAGTCTCAGGAAGGCCGGCAAGAAAAAATATTGGCTTGGATGGTGTGTTTGCACTGAGTCCCTACCGCTTCTCCTTCCTGCTAAGCAGCAGTGACTCAGAAGTTGACTAGCAACCAGCTGCAAAGATGCACATGCCGTGTCCTCATTCAAACCTGGCCTCCTTACTGTCAGTAGCTTTCTAGGAGCCTACAATTGCCATTTCAACCTAACTGGTTGTCTTTACCAGTGAACAGCCAGCCATTCAGTTAGCTATTCTGTTAGGGGGCAGCTGACGAACATGTCCCGTTGCTGCCTTGCTTGCGGCAGCAGAACCCACTGGTGGGAGCAACGCTGTGCATATGACAGGGGAAAGTGGGAGAATTGGCACAGTGCAGAGGGGCATGCCAGTCTAGGATCACAGTGAGTGAGGCGGGAAGGAACATGCCCCATTGAGAGCACCTTGTGGCCTCGTAGGAAGAGGAAACCAAGCGCCACCATAAGGTATTTATTGTTGTTGATCTACGTGTTTTGCAGACCAAAACTCCTCCTTTAGGGTTGAGTCCAGTCTAAGTTAGTTGCATGTAGACACCATTGGAACTCACGTAGAAAGTTCGTAATGAGTTAAGGCCTGTTGATATCAACACTCCCATTGACTCAGCATCTATGGCACTTGCTTCTTAGGATATTCTTATGTGCTTTTGATCTGTTTTTCTCCAAACCATCTTTGAACCAAATTGAGGAAAAGAACAAACTAGCAGCAGCTTAAGCCAGTCATGTGCACACAGCCCCCCACCTGCTAAATCTGCTTGTCCTTGTGAATCGCTATCTGGTGCAACTATTTTGTTTCTTTTAAAGTGAATCCTGGCCAGTTACCACAGTGCATAAGCAACTTGGCTTACAAGCCACACTTTAACTTGGGCTAGATCTACACTGATCTGCTATCAAAGACTATTAAAAAATTATATAGCAATTATACACCATTTTTGCAGTGCCCTTTGGTGTCACATTTTTATAACACATTTTTAATGTCATAACCGACCAGTGTAGATTCACCCTTGGTTTTTATTTAGTTTTGCTGTGCTTAGATACTCCTCTAAAGCAGGGCCTAACCCCTCCAAAACTGTCCCTGGTTATATCTTTTTTGGTAAGGAAGCCATAACTAATAAAGAAATAACATTACAGTGGTACCTCTGGTTACGTACTTAATTCGTTCCGGAGGTCCGTTCTTAACCTGAAACTGTTCTTATCCTGAAGCACCACTTTAGCTAATGGGGCCTCCCGCTGCTGCCACGCCGCTGGAACATCATTTCCGTTCTCATCCTGAAGCAAAGTTCTTAACCTAAGGTTAAGTGGAGTCTGTAACCTGAAACATATGTAACCCGAGGTACCAATGTATAGTTCTAGATTTTATTGGGAATTAAACACTGTTGTATTCTGTTTGGATCAAACATAGGCAGGCAAGACAGTAATCTGAAGCCACAGAGTCAACTTCCTTCTGCCCCAAAAGTCCCCCTTAGGTCATCACTCTGTGGACATCGATTGCGACACTCTCCTTGGGACATCTATGGGGACATTTCTTCACAGACAGGCTCTTCCTCAGATATCAGGGTCACTGGCTCATGAAATACTTCTCCTTCCTCACTGAGGAGCCTGTTTCTGCAACACTCTCTACAGAACTAGAAACTGGGCTGTTTGGAGGCATGTACTCAGAGAGTGCACAGATTCTCTCAGGGTTAGCGTAGGGCTCATTCGCACTTCTGTTTGCCCCATGATTTCCTGGCACAGGTCTGAGAGGTTTTTCTTTTCTCCTGCTGTTTTCCCTGGGAAAATCCATTGTTTACTACTGAATTAGAACAAAGGTCATTTGGGGTTTCTGCACGGATGAACCCCAAGACTGGACATACCAGGAGCAATCCAATTTGCAACAACGAGTCTAACATCACCAGGTAGAAGAACCTGGATCTGTCAGAAGAAATACGGCACATACACCGAAATAGATTAGGTCTTCAACAGGTCTCTTCTGATGCTGCAGGAACTAGGGCAGCATGTGGAGGAACAGTATCCAAAACCTGCAGAGGCTTAGAGTCAGTACTCACAACCAGAGGTACCACTGTACAGGATACCATAGCCAACAGTTGAAGACAAGTGACCATGGATGCTCTCATGTGCCCTGGCTCAGAGGCAGCATGCCCATTTTCCAATAAGTGCATTGAGTTGGTGGGTGGGGGGAAGACCCCTCCATATTTGCTCCTATTGGTCAAGGTGTCCCTCATGCCTTTGGGGGAGGGTGGTGGGCCATCCACATTCCTTATTTCTACTGGCAGAGCACTTCAATATGCCCAGGTGCAGTGGAGAATTTCAAACACTAGGCTACATCTGAAGCAGGGCTCTCCATACACCCAAGGGGTGAGATATAAAGGGGAACAATGTTTAGGATTTGTACCCACACCATAGGCTGGAAGAACTAGAAACCTATGCCCTCAGATTGAGAGCAATGAGACAGTCACATACATATGTGACACAATACCCTAAAACAAACTCTATCTATCTATCTATCTATCTATCTAGATATAAAATTTATATGGAAGGGTGGGACTTCTGATAAAAGGGGTGCTACTTGGAGTGAAAAGTGGGTGGGGTACCTGACCCTTTTTGTGTGTGATAAAGGATGGTCCCTTCGAGTCTTCTGCCAGACCTGCAAATAACTTCCATGGAGAGGCTGTGGAATGGGGACATCACCAACATTTTCTGTAGGTTGATGTATGGAAGGAAGTATTTCTTGGGAACGCCAACAGAGAACTGAAATGTAGAGAAGCAGTCTATGGGCTTGTCCACGCTGGAGCAAAATGTGGATTTGCACTGGCTTGCGTCCTCACCAATGAATGGGTGTCAATAGGATGTCCTCCCCATCCCAGTGTTGGCCTGCAGCTTTCCCCCCTTTAAATGTGAGATTTTATTTATCTTTGGAAAGTGAAAAAGGAACCTTGATGTAATATTGTAGTATTATTCAGCCAGTGGGTAAAACTGGGTTAGTGTGAGATGAGGGCCTGGGCAAGCAGGGTCCAAAATGCCACTCAGCCAGGAAGCTCACGGGATTTCCCTGGGCCAATCATTGCCTCTTAGCCTATCCTACCTCACAGGGTTGTTGCAGGGATTACATGAGGAGGGGAAGAAACGTACACCTTTCGCTCCTTGAAGAAAGGGTGGGGTATAAATACAAAATAACTACAAAATAATGCATAATAAGATAATATTTGCTGAACATCCCTGCTTACTAGCCTTATAAGACTATAGGCACCTGGTAGTCTCCGAATGCACAGTGTTTGTCCCGGTCACCTGGGTTTTGGTGGTGTCTTGGAGTGTTTTTGCAAATAGGAAACATTCAAGTGGACATTTTTATCAACAGACTGTGAGATCAGACCCACACTGTGGGCGTAAGCTCTTTGTGGTTTTGTGGTTCTTGTCGCAGTTTAGGTACAGCAACAACAAGAGCACTTGGTCACAGCACTTGAGCTTTCAGTTGCCGGATTAATTTTTGACTCCTTAACAAAGCCGGATTTTTCAGAATTATGAGAACCAGGTAAGCACTTGCAAATATGTTAAACAAGGGCAGTGTAGCTTGCTTTCTCAGATATAAAAAACAACCGGGGGCGGGGCAATAGTATGTTTGTTTCAGCATAAAATGTGCAACAAGTGCTCAGAAACTTGGGAGGAAGTGATCATGTTCTCCTGGGTTTCAGAATACAGAGGCAAGGGAAAACTGAGTGTAGCTGGACATGAACTCTGGACTTTAAGAAGGCCAATTTCAAAAAGCTGAAGGAGCTACTGGGTGTGTTCCCATGGTCAGAAATACTCAACGAGAAGGGAGTCCAAGAAGGATGGGAGTTTCTAAAAGGAGAAATATTGAAGGCCCGAATGCAGACGATACAAGAAGAAAGAAAAGTGGGAGGCATCTAAGGAAACCGGTGTGGCTGCATAAGGAGCTTACAGATGAGCTGAGAGTTAAGAAGGGCATGTATAAGAAAGGGGAAATCACAAAGGAGGATTATACATGAGTAGCCAACAGTTGCAGGGGGAAAGTCAGGCTGGCTAAAGCTCAGAATGAGCTCAGGCTTGCAAGAGAGGTTAAAAATAATAATAAAGTTTTCTTCAACTATGTCCGAAATAAGAGGAAAAACAAGTAAGTGGTAGGTCCTCTGCGTGGGGAACACAGAGAAATGCTATTGGGTGACAGAGAAAAGGCAGAACTCCTCAACACCTATTTTGCCTCTGTCTTCACCCGAAAGGAAAGCGACACCCAACCTGGTGATAACAGAATAAATGATGCAAGGAGGGAGCTGCAGTCCAAGACAGGAAAAGAGGTAGTAAGGGAACACCAGGCTACTTTAAATGAATGCAGATCTCCAGAGCCTGATGAGCTGCACCCAAGGGTACTAAAGGAGCTTGCGGATGTAATTTCAGAGCCTTTGTCTATTATCTTTGAGAATTCTTGGAGAACAGCTGAGGTTCCTACAGACTGGAGGCCAGCAAATGTTGTCTTCCCCATCTTCAAAAGGGGAAAAAGGAAGACCAACCAGTGAGCTTGACATTGATACCAGGGAAGTTCCTAGAACAGGTGATTCAACAGTCAGTCTGTGAGCATTTAGAAAAGGATATTGTGATTACTAAGACCCAGCATGGGTTTCTCAAAAATAAGTCATGCTAGACCAATCTGATTTTTTTTTTTAATGGAATTACAAACTTGTGGATCAGGGAAATGCTGTGGACATAGTGCATCTTGATTTCAGTAAGGCTTTTGACAAAGTCCCCCATTATATTCTCGGAAGGAAGCTGGTAAAATGTGGGTTGAACGAGGTAACTGTTAGGTGGGTTTGTAGCTGGTTGGCCGAACCCAAAGAGTACTCATTATGGTTCCTCATCATCCTGGAAAAAAGTGGGGTGCCGCAGGGTTCTATCCTGGGCCCATTGTTGTTTATCATCTTTATAAATGACTTGGATGAAGGAATTGAGGGGATGCTCATCAAATTTGCAGATGACACCAAACTGGGAGGGGTAGCTAATGCTGCAGAAGACAGAATCAGTATACAAAATGGCCTTAACAGATTGGAGAACTGGATGCAAGCTAACAAAATGAATTTCAATAGGGATAAATGAAAGGTTCTGCACTTAGGCAGGAAGAACCAGATGCACAAATATAGGATGGGGGACACCTGGCTTACTGGCAGCACATGTGAAAAGGATATATTGGCCTCGGCCCAGTATACCTGAAGGAGCATCTCCACCCCCATCGTTCTGCCTGGACGCTGAGGTCCAGTGCCGAGGGCCTTCTGGTGGTTCCCTCATTGCAAGAAGCAAAGCTACAGGGAACCAGGCAGAGGGCCTTCTCGGAAGTGGCGCCCACCCTGTGGAACGCCCTCCCATCAGATGTCCAAGCGATAAACAACTACCTGACATTCAGAAGACATCTTAAGGCAGCCCTGTTCAGGGAAGTTTTTAATGTGTGACATTTTAGTGTATTTTTGGTCTCTGTGGAAGCCGCCCAGAGTGGCTGGGGAAACCCAGCCAGATGGGTGGGGTACAAATAATAAATTATTATATTATTATTATTATTGGTGGACCACAAGATTAACATGAGTCAACAGCGATGCAGCAGCCAAAAAAAGCTAATGCTCTTCTAGGCTGCATCAACAGAAGTATAGTCTCCAGATCAAGGGAAGTAATAGTACTACTCTATTCTGCCTTAGTCCACACTGTGTCTAATTCTGGCCACCACAGTTTAGGAAGAATACTGACAAGCTGGTACATGTGCAGAGGAGGGCAACCAAGATGATCAAGGGTCTGGAAACCAAGCCTGATGAGGAGCACTTGAAGGAGCTGGGTATGTTTAGCCTGGAAAGAGGAGACTGAGAGGAGATATAATAGCCATCTTCAAACATCTTAAGGGCTGTCACATAGAGGAGGCAGCATGCTTGTTTTCTCCTGCTCTGGAGGGTAGGACTCGAACCAATGGCTTCAAGTTGCAAGAAAGGAGATTCCGATGAAACATTCAGAAAAACTTTCTGACACTAAGAGCTGTTCAGCAGTGGGACAGACTCCCACGAGAGGTGGTGGACTCTCCTTCCTTGGAGGTTTTTAAACAGATGTTGGATGGCCATCTGTCATGGATGCTTTAGCTTAGATTCCTGTATTGCAGGGGGTTGGACTAGATGACCCGGGGGGTCCCTTGCAACTTTAAGATTCTATGATTCTATGAACTGAACCGTTGAAAGACTGTTCTTTTTGTAAAGGAAGGGTAGCTCCTATTTGCCTTAGGCTGCAGTGCTGCACCAACTTACACTGGAGTAAGCTCCATTGAATTCAGTGGAAGTTACTTTTGAGGAAAGATTTAGCATTTTCAAGTAAGTACTGGAATAACTAGTAAGTGACCTTAAACTGAACATGTTGAAGTGACTCATCTTCTCTTTTCTGAGGCAGTTGTGTTACTTTTCCAGTATTTGAGGAAGAGTCAGGAAAAGAACAGGACCCAAATTAATTAGTTATATGTTAAGTGAATTAATTAGTGGGCATGCAGTTAATTATGAACCACCATTCACCTGTGGAGTTTTGTTTTTACTATTTGTGTTCAAAAACCATGCAACTGCTTGGTAATTCCTAAATGTCTGTGCATATTTCTGTTTAAGTAAGTCTGAGAGCTCGTTGTTTGGTTGCCTAGATAGAGTACTGTAATATTTCTATGACCATCACTACTAGAGATTAAAACTAATTTAGAGTTTTGGAATTGAAACCACAGTTCTTTGTGCTGCAGCAGACTCTTCACCATGGCAAGACAAATAGCTACACAATCATAAGAAGTTACAGTGGTACCTCGGGTTACATACGCTTCAGGTTACAGACTCCACTAACCCAGAAATAGTACCTCGGGTTAAGAACTTTGCTTCAGGATGAGAACAGAAATCGTGTGGCGGCAGTAGGAGGCCCCATTAGCTAAAGTGGTACCTCAGGTTAAGAAGAGTTTCAGGTTAAGAATGGACCTCCAGAAAGAATTAAGTTCTTAACCTGAGGTACCACTGTATTGACCAAAAGGAAATAACAAGCAAGTTGGAGTGCATTTTTTTTATATATAAAAAAACTTTATAAGTGGCCAATTTATTTTAAGGAAATTAAATAGAGTGTGTGTGGGGGATCCATTAATCAATAGTGATAACATTGTGGATGTTTTATTCTGCAATGAAGTCTGGCACACACTGAGAAGTACATAGCAAATGAACAAAACAGGATGGTCTATTTTAAAAAGAAACATGTTATAATCATAGGTATTTGGTGGTTTGTCACTCCTTAAAAGATACTGATGATGCATGAGATCATTCTCAAGGAACACTTAAGACGACAATTGTGGTTTTAAACAACGTGAGGTTGGATGAGTTAAAGGACAATGAGGGCTCATCCACACTTAACTTTCACTCCCTGCTTTCCCACTCAGTATCTTGGAGATTTTTGGGTTTTCTTGTGGAGTGTTCAAGAGTGGCAAAGTGGCAGGGGAAACAGACCAGAAAAGTTCAGACCTGCGTTTTAGAAAGCACAGAGGAAAATAAGTTGAGATGAGCCCTGAGAGAGGAAGGAAGGAAGGAACCAGTTTTAACAAGAAAAATGGCAGAGATAGGTCTAACACAAAAACTAAGACCGAAAAGCTAACACAACAGAGCCTTTCCCAGCTTCATTCCCACTGAACTCAAACCTTGTTTTAACATGCCATTCCTCACTCCGTGATATCCTACTGCTTACTCTACTCAAAACTATGCCATTGTTCAAAATTGCTTTTTTTACTTTCAGTGTCCTTCCATCCCTACTAAATTCAATCCTCTGCTGTTGTTTAAAACTGCCATTTTCTCTCTGCCATTCCCTTAACATTTAGCACTAGTATTATTCAGAAAGGCCTCTCTTATCTTTTTTGCTAAGAGCTATCCTGTAGCTGATGAACTTATCTGCATTAGATGACAGCCTTTTTATCTTAAAATCAGCGGGTTGGCCTTCTACGAAGATCTGAAACGGAAGAATAAACGTAACCCTTGGTGGACTATATGAAGGGCAATATAGAATACAGCTCACCACATCTTCAATTAGAGCTGTTCTGCATATGCAAAAATGTTTCTTTACTGGCCTGTTAGAAAATCTATTAGCCATCTACTCAGTAGTTTTCCTCCTCCCTGCTTTTTTTAAACCTCTACTGTTGTTTAAAACCACAATTTTCCTCATGTTCTTCCACCTGTGCTTTACTCAATCTTCTGCTGTTGTTTAAAACAGCCACTTGTTTCCTTTCATAGTCTCTCCCTTGTCACTGTGCTAAAGTTTCTCCCTCTTCCATTTCTCACCTGCCTTAGGCAATAGATCAGGGGTCAGCAGAGGAGGCCAGTCCACTGTCCCTCAGACCTTGTGGGGGGCCGGACTATATTTCGAAGGGGGAAAAATGAATTCCTATGCCCCACAAATAACCCAGAGACGCATTTTAAATAAAAGGACACATTCTACTCATGTAAAAACACACTGATTCCCGGACCGTCCGCGGGCCAGATTTAGAAGGCGATTGGGCCAGATCCGGCCCCCGGGCCTTAGTTTGCCTACCCATACAATAGATAAAGGATGCAGAGCTCTCAAATATTCCAAAGTAATTTACTCAAACCTCTGCCATTTGCCTCTCAATTCTCTCCATCCCTGCTTTACTTAAACTTCTGCCATTGTTTTAAACAAAGCTTCCTCAACCTCATCCCTCCAGATGTTTTGAGACTACAATTCCCATCATCCCTGACCACTGGTCCTGCTAGCTGGGGATCATGGGAGTTGTAGGCCAAAAACATCTGGAGGGCCGAGTTTGAGGAAGCCTGTTTTAAACCATCACTTTCCCCCTCTTGTGATTCTCCTTTCTCACTCCAGTGCCATGACCACTGCTGTTGTGGAGTCTGCCTTCATTTTTGCTCAACTCTCCTGCCTTGACTCCATACAAATCCAAGATTGTGATGAAGCACTATCTATCCTTCAGTGGGGGCTGTGATCTAACTTACAAGTAAACTTACAAGTCAACCTTTTTGAGTGCACGGCTCCCTTGACCAACTACATTCTTTCTGTGGCACCCCTGTGGGGCTCAGGAGCCCAGTTATGTCACCCCATGGCTGCAGAGCTGACAGCCTCTCACCCCTTTTCAAACACCCTTCCTTGTGGAGGGTTCCCTCATCCTCCTCTCCTCTCCTTGGGAGTCCTCTGGGCAGCTGCTGCTGCCACCCCTGGTCTCTGAGCTGCCCCCACTGCCCCAAAGAGAGGTGCTTCCTCACACTGCCCCACAGAGGCCTGGGACTTGTCTGTCCATTCCCAACAGCAAGGGCTGGTGGACTGGCTGGCTGGGCTCCCTCACCCGCTTGCCTGCTTGCTCCAAGGCCACCTCAGCTCCTGGCAACCAGCACCCCCTGGCAAGCCCCAGAGGCACCATTTGCCCGGGGAGTTTGTAGCCAGGGCTGCTGCAACAAACAGCTATGCAAGCCTTTGGGAGGCAGAGACGTGAGAGGACATCAGAGGAGGGAGGGAAGGGGAAAGGGACAGTGTTGCCCGTAGCACCCCTGACCATCATTCAAGGCACCCCAGGGGGCCATGGCACGCTGCTTAAAAACTACTGCATTATATTAAAAAGGAAAAATGAACATATTAAAAGAATGTAGGAAGATATAGAATCAGGACTGGCCCTACATCAACATCTCCCATACAGTTTAAAAATAAAACAAAAGAAGCAAATAATATTCAAATAAAACATAGAGCCCTACCAGCTTAAATATCCATATTTAACAATTTAAAATATTAGGGCCTGAAAAATATTTGATATAAAATAATATGCATGGCATCCCGTTAACTTTTATAAACCTTTTTTTTGCTTCCAGTTTTGCCACCCTCGTAATAACAGGCAGGTGGTTTTGTGAAGGATACATATCTGCTGTATTGATTAAAGGTAAAGGTAAAGGTACCCCTGCCCGTACGGGCCAGTCGTGTCCGACTCTAGGGTTGTGCGCCCATCTCACTTAAGAGGCCGGGGACCAGCGCTGTCCGGAGACACTTCCGGATCACGTGGCCAGTGTGACGAAGCTGCTCTGGCGAGCCAGCACCAGCGCAGCACACGGAAACGCCGTTTACCTTTCCACTATAAAGCGGTGCCTATTTATCTACTTGCACTTTGGCGTGCTTTCAAACTGCTAGGTGGGCAGGAGCTGGGACCGAAAGACGGGAGCTCACCCCGCCGCGGGGATTCGAACCGCCGACCATGCGATCGGCAAGCCCTAGGCGCTGAGGTTTTACCCACAGCGCCACCCGCGTCCCTGTATTGATTGATTACGTAGGGTAATTTAACGGATAAGTGGTATTTTCCTTTATTTCACCTGACCCACAACCACAGACGTTTATCTAGCATAACAGGACTTAAACCTCCCTTCCACTTCAGCAGACAGCATGCACTGAAATCAGAGGGCTGTGAATGCTTTACTTAAAAGGGGAACTGAGAGTGATACTGAGTCCCATCCATACACACCCTTTTTGACAAAATCAGCTTCAGAATGCAGGAAATACTTGAGCTTAGCCATAAACATCCTATTGTCTCAAGATTCAGAAGCCAGTGAAGTGGAGTGATCTTTAAAGTGCTTGTTCAGTGCTGTGCTCTTTCTCTTCTTCTTCGGAATTAGATAATACCTTTGCTGTTAAGTTGTGGGTGAACATATCAGACGACACAGCGATTCTTCAGACATTTCTTATTTATTCACAGGCCAGAACAGAACTGAACTGAAGGGTTCAGCCAACCTGCTTATACAGAGCTCAACTACAAAGCAACAGTAACAACTGTCTGTAACTATCCAATCACTGAACGTCACTTTCAATTCCTTATTTGCATATGTGGACCTGAGTGAAAACTATCTACAGTATCCCCCTGCTGTCCCAGGGTGAGAACTTCAGTACATAACATTTGCCCATAAAAAGAAAGAAAGAATGCAATTGCTGTTCTGCAATCCCCTTACATTTTACGATCCTCCTTCTAATAGCGAACTCAGGTGGTGAGCGCTAGCAGGATTGTGGCTAAAACAGGGCCACTGAGAACAAGAGAGAGGTATTAGCATTGTCCAGGGGAGCCCTAAGAGCTGCAGAAGTACAAAAAACACTTGGCCAATGATGCAGGCAGGCGGCAGAACTGCCACAGTGTAGGGGTACACCAGTTGAGGAGCACAGTGAGTAAGGCGAGCAGGAGCATGTCCCACCAAGAGCGCCTTGTGGCCTAGTGGCAGGGTCTGTGGACAGGAAGAGGAGGAGAAGCACCACAATAAGTCGGACAAGGAGGAGACAAGCTCTGGTGCTTTTCTAAGAAAGATATTTATTGTGGTTGGTCTCCATGTTTTTCAGAACAAAACTCCTTCTTCAGGGTTGAGTCCAGTCTAAGTTAGATACCATGGGAACATACCCTCCAACATTTCTCTGATGAAAATAAAGCCTTCTCTAGTCTCTGCTAAATTAGTATCTTGAAACTGAATTTTATTTATGAGTTGTAGCAACAGAATGAACCAGTTCAGCCGTGTAAGATTGCACTGAATTTTTCAACCATTTCTGTATGGTATTTCACTCTCAGTTCAGATGAATAAGAGTGTCCAGTATACTGAACAGAATAAGAAATGAGAACATTTTGCATTTGACTATGAAGTATAATTGAAACAGGAACAAGCTCCTGTTGCTCGGTCCCAGCTCCTGCCAACCTAGCAGTTCGAAAGGATGTCAAAGTGCAAGTAGATAAATAGGTACCGCTCCGGCGGGAAGATAAACGGCGTTTCCGTGCGCTGCTCTGGTTTCACCAGAAGCGGCTTAGTCATCCTGGCCACATGACCCGGAAGCTGTCTGTGGACAAACAGTGGCTCCCTCGGCCTATAGAGCGAGATGAGTGCGCAGTTCCAGAGTAGTCCGCGACTGGACCTAACGGCCAGGGATACCTTTACCTTTTATGAAGTATAATTGAAACAGTAATATTAAGATGCAGATTACATCATGGCTTACCAGTGTTATGCCCAGTGCTTTTTTTCCTAAAAAAATGTTTAGGGGTACTCTCATTTTCGTACTCATATTGAAATACTGCCCCTCAGTGAGGCCAAACTTAGATTCACAAAATGTTTAGGCTATGCGTACCCCCAGGAAAAATGCTCTGGGGACATCCCATTCCATAATGATAATTTTACCATTTGTACCCCACACTGGGTGGTTTCCAACATATATAAAAACATAATAAAACATTAAACATTTAAAAAAGCTTCCCTATACAGGATTGCCTTCAGGCGGCTCAGGGCTCAATGCCATACCCTCCAACGCTTCTCCGATGAAAATAGGGACATCCTAAGGAAAAGTGGGACATTCCGAGATCATATCAGAAACCAGGATGCCTACTCTAAATCAGGCACATCCCTGGAAAATTGGGTCACTTGGAGGGTCTGTGGGAATAAATGTAGAATGCGTAAAGTCCCATTTATTTAAATTTGAACTCATTTCAACAAACGTGGACTGGATTCACTCCAACGGAAGGATAGTTCTACAGTCTCTCTGGCTGTTCAGATGCTTCCTTTGACTCTGCATTCAGTGTGCTCCCACCATTGATTTGAGAAGCAGTGCACACAAGGCATTGCCACAATTCATATCTATATTTTATTATCTATCCTTTTGGTTCTCATAAAATATTGTGTTTTGATGCGTCCCCCCAAAAAACTCCCCGACTTTCATCCAAATTGAGATAAATAGCCATAAACTGCATTTAATTAAACTAGTCATGTGTACGCAGCAACCCCCCTCGCTTACACACACACACACACACACACACACACATACACACCACCCACTGAAAATGGTTTATAGTCAAGGAAGAGCAAGCAAAGTCAGACTTGCTTATTTCCCTGCAAGTGTTCTAATGGTAGCCTTAGCAACAGCAAATTTTTATACCTGCCAATCACTCTTTCCTGAATGATTGTGTCATTATGCTTAGATCAGAATCTGGGCTTTTAAAAAAAAAAATATTTAAGAGCATGGTAACACCAACTGCTGTATCAGATGCTTGATGAAAAGCATTGTCTGGTGAGAATCTAATAATATTTGATAGATATGAGCCAGCAAAAATCAGAAGAGATAATATTAGGCTCGTGACAGCTGGTTAGAAATGTGCAGCTGTTAAAAATAAACTTCCCTTCTGAAATTATCACCACCCAGATCATGTGAGTTGGCACTAAGTGCAGATGATTCAGTCTGCCCAGGGTCTCTGCGGTCAAGGCTCAGAGTCAATTCAGAATGCCAGGTTATACGAAAGGGCAGGATGGTGACTGGCCTTCAAAATGCATGTGTGCTCACACTGCCAAGAGTCTTGTTAAGTTCCTTTGTAGGAGAAAAAAAAGCACACTGTTCATTTCAATCACTTTCACCTTAGTCACTTTCAAGGAATTGTTGGGCAAGATCTGGCCTCTCTGATTCAGTTAAAGTCCTGAAAATCTGTGCTTTCATTTTAAAGAAATGTTGGGAGCTGATGATTAAAGAGGAACACCTGAATGCAGGCAAAGTTAAAGTACCGGTATATCCTGCCAGCTGAGATTTCACTGCTTACATCTGAAAAAGTAGGCTTTATTCTTGATAAATACATCGGCAGGCTTTAAGGCACCACTTAACTCTTCTACCCCCATTAAGGTAGTCCAATTTATGTAGCCCCAAAGCTATTAATAAACCAACTATAAGTACAATTGAGCACCTTCTACCCACCTGTGACTATTTCAGTGTTATGCAGAGATGCTGAATACAAAAAGTACATCTCTTGCTGCTTAGGTAGTTACTGATGCACTGCCAAAGAGCACTGATCTGCACTGGCATCTGGTGTGGGCAATTTCTGCCCTGTGGAGTTCTGATTATTATTTAACAAAGGTGGGGGAGCATCCTAGTCTGGAACGATATTGTTGTACACAACCCCAATCTCTGAGAGGTGCGAGATTCCATGGGTTCTAGGTGCTCACGCAGGGTCTGTATTTCCTTTTGGAAGTGAGGCACAGCAGAGACTGTGGTGTCTTTAGGATAAATGGTTTATTTACATATATATATATATATATATATATATATATATATATATATATACAACCTGAGCCGACAACGGAGAGTTCACAGCCCCAACACCTCAAAAGGGTCTTGTTTCTCCCATAGCTGCAGCCTCTGATTCAAAGAGAAATCCACCTTTGCTCCCTCCCTTTGCTTTCTGCTTTCTTGCCTGGTTAAGTCACTATTTCCAGCTCATATAATTCCTAACCTCCCTACTCTAAACTCTGGCTTTGTCTGTTTATTTGATGCTTTGGTATTGACCCATCACCCCAAGACTTAGCACCTCAAGAGGAAACTAGTCTGGCTTAGTTAGTTTTTAACACTTGATAAAATGAGTGATTAAAGTAGTCTGTCACACAGCTTAACACCCCAAGGCTTGATTAAATTCTAACACTTACTAAATCCAGGGATTATAGGAGCCTAGCACCCACAAGCTCATAACATTATTTATACAAATGTGGATGAGAGCTTCTCTGGGCAATAAGTGGCATTGCTGCAGAACAAGTTCCCTTCTTGTGGGCAATGAAACTGCTGGGCTGATGGTGCATCTCTTTCTCTCTCAGTTTCCTCTTTTCTTTGTTCCGCTGAGCTCCTTGTGGAATAGTTGGCAGCCTATAGATCTTGGAGTTATCCCTGCCATCTGTACACCTGTAACCTCAGCAAAATGCTTACACAAGTCCCTAGTTGCACACTGAATCTTGTGGTTTGATTTTCATTTTACTTCTTTTTAGCTGGTCTGCTGTCCCCATCCCTTTTTAAACATATCAACATATTGTGGTCCATGCTTGTAAAAGCCACATGAAATAAGAGGATGTGAATAGCATAAGGTGGTGCGCTGCAGAAATTATTGCACACTTCCTTTCAAAGTCAACATTCTTCATGGTAAGCAGACTTAGAAAGAGGCCATTTCCTGAGGCAAATATATATATATATATATATATATATATATATATATATGACTTAGAAAGAGGCACAACACATTTATACAGTATTGCAGACCAACAGACTTCTGGGGATTAGATACGTACATAGCATTAAACACCTGTACTGATTGATTGTCCCTGAGCCCTCAAGTCCAAACGTGGCACACCTCAATAAAATACAAGAACATGCAAACATACTTACCTAAAACTGCATCACATATTTTGTCTTTAGTTTAAGACGGTTATAGAGTGTAGACCACTGTGTACTGGAAACAAAAGAGGCACACAGTTTGAAAACACGGACGTCTTCAGGTGTTGAGCATCTGAGACCAAAAAGCACTCCTAGCTGTTTATTATGCAGTTAGCAGCATTGCTTCTCAGCGCTGACCCTTTCTGTTCACAGTGTGATCTAGGCACACCTGAGCATCCTGTTCCTCGTCTTGGTCCTGCTAACCATCAAGCTCCTCCAACTTGGGCCATTCAGTTTGACCAGTAATGGACTGAGCCAGCACAGCAAGAAATGCTTTCATCCCTGGTTAGTACTTCCTATCTCTTTGTGCATGGTTAGGCCTCGGCTTCCAAAAAGTTGCCGTCTACAATGGAGCCTTCATTATCTCTTAGATTTAAGAACATAAGAAGAGCTTGCTGGGTCAGACCAATGGCATCTATCTAATCCGGCATTCTGCTCTCCTAGTGGTCAACCAGATGTTTGTGGGATCTGCATAGAAGGCATGTATAGAGAGCACGGGACCCACACCCTACATGTTCCTGCATGTGATGGCCCTGTAGACTCCACCCCCAGCTTTCTTGCATTTTGCTGGAAGGTCTGAAGGAGGCTTCTAAACATGAACATGCTTACAAATCTCCCCACAACTGGGAACCTTCCAGTATCCGGGGCCCTGATCACAAAGAGGATCCTATGTGCTCTCAGCCAAACAGACTAATAGTTCCTTCCTGCTCAGCCCCAGAAGGTTTTGGCTGGCATGCACAACCCCACACATAAAGTGCTTTATCACATCCTGTGTTCTTTGAATGCCTGCAAAGCACGTACCTGGAAGCAGTTTGAGACTTTTAAAACGTAAGACTTCCCCCAAAGGGTCAGTTATGAGGGGAAATAACGCTTGCCAAATATACCTTAAGCAGCATGTAGAGGACTCCAAATATGTTTTAGTAGAAGCAAACAAAGAAAAACTTTCTGTGTTTAGGGTGAAACTTTCAAAATTCTAGAGGAAGCAAAGTGCGTAATGGGGTGAGCTCTATTGCATAAAATAATAACTGCCCATTTTGAAAACTTCATGTATTCATTGATGCCCATGATGAGGTCTCTTTATTTTATTGAATCAGTGTCATGCAAAAATTTCACCTCATAGAGAGATGTTCTTTCCATGAGGAAGCATGCATAGAGATAAATTTCTTCATGACTTATCTCACGTAAGCCTGCATTTAAACAGAAGAAAGTGATTAGTCTTTTTTTCATGTGAGTCTCAAAAGATAACAGTTTGTGCTCTGGTTGCTTTCATGTTCAACCATACCACAGGTAGCCATAAAGAGTTATCTCTAGTACTTTGTCCAAAAGATTCTACTTCCAACATGTGCCTTGGAAACTTTAATGAAATTGGTTTCTTTCTTTCTTTCTGTTTCCCCACTCCCAAACAGGCTGTGATAAAAGAAGATTCTAGAAGCATGGATAGACGGAAAGAGTTACTTCCTAGCTCAACGTCAGAGCCTCAACTGAACTTCAACTCAATAGATTCCGCTCATATCGCCTTGATCACAATATACACGGCGGTGTTTATCGGAGGTGTGTGTGGAGTCATCAAAATGTCCTTTTTGCTACTGAAAATGAATGCTTTATCGGTGACCACAACTGCCATCATAAACTTAGTGGTAGTCCACAGCCTCTTCCTTGTGACTGTGCCGTTTCGCGTGTATTACTACGCCACCAAAAAATGGATCTTTGGAACAATCTTTTGCAAAGTTGTGAGCGGAATGCTACACTTCCACATGTACCTCACTTTCCTGTTCTATATGATTTTCTTGGTAATCAGGTGCCTTATCTTTTTTCAGTGGAAGGACAAAGTGGAATTCTATAGGAATTTGCATGCTGTGGCGACCAGCATAGCTGTGTGGGTTCTGGCTATTGTTATTGTGGTGCCAGCACTATTTTGCTGGTATGGGAAAACGGGGGTTTATGCAAATGTGACGTGTTTTGAATTTCAGCAGGAGTTCAACAGTGACCCAGTGAAAGCAGTCAACTACATTGTAATTGCTGTAATGGTTGCAATAATTTGCACCCTCTTGGGCTTACAAGTGTTCATGATTCGAAAGGTGGTGAAAACCCTTTCAGGATCCCTTTGGTCATATCAAGAGTTTCAGGCGCAGCTGAAAAGCTTGTTCTTTATAGGGATCTTAATGTTTTGCTTCCTCCCTAGTCACTTTTTCCGGATTTATTTCATTCAGCATGCGGATGACAAGCGACTGAATTCTGTCAATGAAATCTGCTTGAGCATAACTGCCATCAGTTGCCTTGATTTGTTTTTGTTTGTGATAACTGGAAGTAAAACCCTGAGGCAAAAAATCAGTGGACTTTCATGCTGCTGAAACTTTGCATTCGTATGTAAGAAAGTCTTGGCGACAAGGTCAGCTGGGTAGATGAAAGATATATGACTTAAAGTTTCTCAGAATAAAAATTTATAAATTGTGGGTTGCGTCTGACGGCTATGTAAGCAAAGGCAGATTGTAAACCCAGTCTACCCTGCCAACCACTGGCCAGGCTCCCTAATGCTCCCTGTATCCCTGCGAAGTCTCTTCAGAGAGTCACAGAGTCCTTTAACAGTGTCACACAGTCTCTTTCTCTCGGTCCACTGCAGTTTTGTGTGAGAGTCCACTCTGCTCAGGACTAGGGAAGGAAGGATCTGTCCGTTTTGGTTCTCTCTGTTTCTCATTTTACTAGTCCTTAATTCAGTTCTTCACATTTTGAAGCGACTTGCGTTTGGTCTTTTTAGATTCACATGAAATTTCACAAGCGTTTTACTGTAGATTCCCCCAAACATATATTTAGGTGAGGGTTTTTTTACTAATGTACACATCGTTGCAAGTAATTTCCCCGAATGTGGTGCTTTTAAAAATGCTGCTTTCACTAATATCTATATTTCAATGCAAACCTCCCCCTAATATATGCATTTTTGTAAAGACTGGTTGCAGAACTGCACCACAAAATTCTGATAAGTATGAATTTCAAAGGGGAGCTATGTTTCAGTTTGCATATTGTTTCGGAAAGTGTTTTTTAAATACATGCTGAATCAAATTTCTCCTCCAACCCTATTCAAGACCCCCTCCCAACACTCTGGAGGCGCTTTGGGGGGGGGCAGAAGGTGGAAGGAAAGATTAGTTGCACAAGCTACCTTCCAACTGTGTCATCAGATACAAAGCCAGGGGTCAGCAACCTTTTCCAGCCGTGGGCCGGTCCACTGTCCCTCAGACCATGTGGTGGGCTGGACTATATTTTGAAGGGGGAAAAAATGAATGAATTCCTATTCCCCACAAATAACCCAGAGATGCATTTTAAATAAAAGCACACGTTCTACTCATGTAAAAACACCAGGCAGGCCCCACAAATAACCCAGAGATGCATTTTAAATAAAAGGACACATTCTACTTATGTAAAAACACGCTGATTCCCGGACTGTCCATGGGCTGGATTAAGAAGACGATTAAGCCGGATCCGGCCCACGGGCCTTAGGTTGCCTACCCCTGTACAAAGCTCTGAAGTCTATGTAGGAGAAACTGTGGAGAACTCTAAGTGTGCATCTGACTACATTAAATGGATCTTGCACAACAGTTATGGCAACTGCATCACAGCAAGAGATTTTAGTGCCATTCCTATATTTAAGATAAACAAAACCTTATTGCAAATAAAAACATATCAGTGAAGGAAAAATAACAACATGAAAACATTTAAAGTCTCTGGTGTTTAATCTGCCTATATTCCTGTTGATCACAAACACCTCTGGCAATGCCAAGAATTTATGGGCAAAGCCCGGGGCTTAGCTTAATGAGCTACGCAGGATTGTGGCTGCTCTGGTGTAAGGTCTTCTTTAAGCAAAGAAGGAATTAGCACTGTGCAAAATCAGTGCCTGAAACTGTCCAACAAGTTGAAGTTTCTAAGTCAGCCTCACCGAACCTGGTGTCTTCCCGATGTTTTGGACCAAAAGGTCCCCCAGGGAGGGGGACCCATGGTTCTCCAGATGTTTCTAGACTATAACTCCTATCATGTCTGGCCACTGACCATGTTCACTGGGGCTAATGGAAGTTGGAGCAACATCTGGAGGGCGACACATTCCCTGTCCTTCAACTAGACAAGCACCTAGCCACCTGTCCTCCCCTAGTCAACAGAGCGGTATTTTGTTGCCTGCCTGGTACCCTGCAGTTTGCAGCTTAAGTGTCCCCTACCAGCAAAAGCATCTGATTGGCCACTATGAGAGAAGGATGCTAGGCTAGATAGGCCGCTGGTCTGATGCAGCAGATTCTTGTGTTCTTAAATGTTTCATCAAAAATTAGAGGGGTTGAATTTTTAGGGGCTTGAGCACTGAAAGGTATAGTCTTCACTCTTCTGTGTGGACTTATCACCTTTGATATTATGGGGTGGGGTGGGGGTACAATGACAAATGTTTCACGGATCATGCCCATTTCATCAGATCATAGAATTGTAAGTTGGAAGGGACCAAGAGTAATTAAACTTTTAATTAAAGTTAGCTGCATTTACATTCTCCTTGTATTCCTGTTGTTTAATTTTGTAAAAGTCAGACCCATCCTACTTTTGCGATTGTAATTTGTTTTCAGCTGCTTTTAATGTTATATTCTAAATGGCTGTAACCCTTAGGGTGAGGGGCGGGTAATAAATTAAATTAAAAACAATAATTAGCTCCTTGAACACAGTGCTTTTGGGGCCTCTGGATCTTTTCAGCTTATTAGTTTGTTCATATGATCAGGCAGAAGAACCCTACTTTACACATTCCAAAAAACATAGCATCAAGATTGGGTCAGAATGAAAAAAAAATAAGTGTGAGGAACTCACCTAAAAATGCTGGCACTTCATTTGGCAAGCCGATCCCCGGTGGGTGGTGAACAGCCATGGGTGCTACTGTCTGTGGCCCTAACTTGGCATGGTCCTGACAGGGAGAGCTGTGCTAGGTTGATAAACATTTCACCCTGTATCTTTTAAGACCACTTTCACAAGTGATACTGTTATGTACTGAGTTGAATAGGATCCAAACTGCAGCAGTCCTAGAACAATAGGATCCAAATTGCAGCAGTCTGATTGGTCCAAGAACAATGCAGCAGTATGATTGGTTGGCAGGAACCACCCAATCATGCTCCAGATATAAGTGAATCCACAACCTGATTGGCTTACAGTAGAATTCCAGAATTAACCAATCATGTGCAGCCCATTGTGTAAATAATGTATATAAAGCAGATACTTTGAGGGGGCATTCATTCCTCCTCACCACTATGAGCTGAATAAAGAGCATGAAATCACTTTGTGACTCTGAGTATATTTCAGATACCATTTGAATTTCTGGCTCCTACACAATGGCATTCCCTCCATTTGCATTAAGATTCTCCAAATATTTCCCTGCATGTAGAAATATCACACCTATGGTTTATAATGTAGGGGACACAGGGGTCGGCCTAAGACATTTGGCTCACTGAGACAAGATGGTCCATGTTCAGGAGTTGGGTTGACTGGACTGGCTCATAGAATCATAGAGTTGGAAGAGACCACAAGGGCCATCGAGTCCAACCCCCTGCCAAGCAGGAAACACCATCAGAGCACTCCTGACATATGATTGTCAAGCCTCTGCTTAAAGACCTCCAAAGAAGGAGACTCCACCACACTCCTTGGCAGCAAATTCCACTGTCGAACAGCTCTTACTGTCAGGAAGTTCTTCCTAATGTTTAGGTGGAATCTTCTTTCTTGTAGTTTGGATCCATTGCTCCGTGTCCGCTTCTCTGGAGCAGCAGAAAACAACCTTTCTCCCTCTTCTATGTGACATCCTTTTCTATATTTGAACATGGCTATCATATCACCCCTTAACCTCCTCTTCTCCAGGCTAAACATGCCCAGCTCCCTTAGCCGTTCCTCATAAGGCATCGTTTCCAGGCCTTTGACCATTTTGGTTGCCCTCCTCTGGACACATTCCAGTTTGTCAGTGTCCTTCTTGAACTGTGGTGCCCAGAACTGGACACAGTACAGTACTCCTGTTGAATCCTATTTCAGCTTTCGTGACAAGACTACGTCATCCGCCATAGCCAAGGAAGCAGGCTAGCCTGAGGGTATCTGTGGCAAGGCAAGTGAGGCAGGTGACCCACTCTGCTTCACAGAAGGGCTATCATGCTGTCACCTGGTCGGACACCGTCTTGTGGTTCTCCACTCATATTCTTCCTGGCTTGCACAGTTGCCACAAGAACAAGTAGAAGAATGAACATTTTCATTTTTCAACGGATTTGGCTGGGTCTGAACAATTGTTGTTGTTCACGATGAGGCACGGTGCCATCATTTGAAACTCAGGCAGATCTGTGGGCCAGAAGATATGAATCAGGACAGAAGCAACACTTGCCAATCCAAAGAGAATGTGATATGTTTATCCTGCCACAGAGGTAAGTGAATGGTCACTGGAGGTTCAATTCAGCCTTCGAGGCTGAAGGGTCCCATCAGACCTCCTCTATTACCCAGAAACAAAACAACATGGTGGCCTCGAGATGGTGTTTGACTCCAACTCCCATCAACTCCAGCCAGCATGGCCAATGCTCAGGGGTGATGGGCACTGGTGTCCAACAACATGGGAAAGATCACAAATTTCTACTCCCTGGCATAGTCCATGATCTCAAGGACTGTCCTGCCCCAATATGAGCCAATTTCTCGTACTTAAGTTGAAATATAGGCTAAAGTCCTATTAATCCCCACCTCCCCTACATTGAACAGCAACAAGTCCTGTCAGAATTCTCCTTCCTTTGACACTCCTGGCTTACAAAACTAGGTTTCTACTTCTCTAAAACCCAGCTACTTCTTGTAAATAAGAGAGAACTTGTGACAGCTTTACTTCTGTCTGAGACATTTTGCCCGGATGACTGATTTGCCCCCAGTGCCCAGGTTAGGGCCGGCCCTCCCACCGGTCAACACTCTTGAGCTCCTGCACAGCTGGCAATGGAGGAAGAGCTTCGCAGGCATGTGTGCGAGGGAGCCAAGAGGTGACCGGGGAGGAGCCTGTCTGCCAGCAGACGATCTTCTGGCCAAGGTGCCACAGGGAGCTCCAGAAAGGAGGATGAGCAACATTCCCCCACATTCTCAAAGGCTGTTGCACAAGGCCTGTTTCCTATCAGTGGTTGGAATTGAACCTGCCCTGGTTCTGCAGAAAGGAGCAAGCCGGCCAGCCCATGAGGTGGACTGGGCCAACCACCTCAAATGGTGGAATCCTGCAAGCAAGACCCCCTGTGGACAACCCACCTACCCTTTCCACTACCGCCAGAAAAGCCATGGCGGCAACTTCTGACAAGATCTCATGAGAGCTCCACAAGGTCTTGTGAGATCTTTCCAGAAGCTGTTGCCGCAGCGCAACTCCAGTAAGTGAGGGTTTGGTGGAGGAGCAATGGCGGGGCAGCACCTTCCCGTTTCGCCTCAGGCGGTGAAACGGGACGGGCCCCTCCTGGAAAAGAGGAACGGGAGGGCTGAATGCCAGACCTCATGGGCTCCAAGCCATGCACATTTACTCAGAGGGGGCTTGCTCCCGCATCAGTGAGGTCACCATAACAGCTCACAAGCCCAACTAGCCACTTGCAAAGACGTAAGCCCCATTGAGGTCAGTGGCTCTTTACTTTTGAGGAAATGGGCTTGCAGACTGCTATCCTGCATGCACTTACAGGATGCCCCCACGTAAGTGAGGGCAAGGAAGAGGCAAGGCAGAAAGCTAACAAAACAACCACAAGAAGAGTGGTCAAGAAGCCAAAACAGAGAAAAAGGCCTGCGCTGCTTTGTCCTTCTAACTATCTATGAGTTGAGGGAGGAGCCTCACCCATTTGACATCTCACACAGAGCCCCTTTCCTTTGTTTCATTTAATGGACCATCACCCAGGCGATCATCTCAAAACAGGAAGCTATCCTGGCTTTTATTTTATCACTTGCTGGATCCAGGGGTTAGAAGGCCTCTCATGCTGCCGACTTCCTCCCCCACAAACTCATAACATTACCTTAGGATGAGTCTTTTAAAGGTCTTCCCATGAAAAGTTAAACCATTATTCTGTAGACAGATTTATTGCTGGAGGAAAAGGCCTGAACTATCTTCTCTGAGATGCAGAAATTGTCTCCACTAATTCCATAATGCCAAGGGAATATAGCTAAATGTGATAGTTCAAAAGAAAAGCCACTCTTTTATATCCTTGAATCGCACATTTGTGTAGTTTCTCCTAACAGAAAAGTCATTAAGTTTAGCCCAGCAAATCATTTGATTTAGATTACTCTCCAGGCTATTATTCAAACAGCAGTTGTGTTCTTTGTTAAGGTCACCGTATAGTCACCAAGGCAACAACATTTCCCCCGTTTCTGTTATGCCGGGTGCATTTTTATAGGCATAACTTCCCCATAACAAAGTTCACTCCATAAAAAGCCCCCCCCAAAAGGAGAAATAAAGACTGACTGGGAGTGGCAAACTTTTGAAATGTGCGTTAAGCAATTTAGATCGCCTTGGAAGGAAGTCATGGGGAAATAGCCCTGAGGTTGGCCAAGAACACACCCACACCCACACCCTGTGAAGCAACATATGTGAAGAGACAGTGGGGGTGTTTTTTCTTCCTTCATCCTAGCCTTTAAAGAGAAAGTAAGTGGAGCCCATTGATCTCAAGCCCTTCAAATGGCTCCTCCGGGTGACCTGTTTACTGAATATTTCCTTCCAAAGCACAGTTCATTAGAGCAGCTTTCTCTCTCCTTCCTTAAGTGGCCAAATTAAAGCCATCAAGAATCTTTCCCTGAGCAGCAGGGCTGGCCCACCCATGAGGCAATGTGAGGATTCAGTGGGGGGGATCCACTGCCAGGATCCACTGGGGAGGGATCCAGCAACACATCAAGCACTGCTGTCTCTGTGGCCCCAACCGCAGCTGGATCTGTTGCATCCATTGCCAGATTTACATATAAGCTAAACAAGCTATAGCTTAGGACCCCACTCTCTTGCCCCCCCAATTCACTATTAATATACTTCTTCTTAATTATATTTCAGTTCAACAATTACTTTGATAAAATACATATTTTGCTATGTGCAAATGGCTTTAGATACCTATTAGGTCCATAAATTACCATATAGCATATATTCAACACAAAAATAACAGTGACAATTTGTTGACAAAGGACAGCTGGACATATAAAGGGCCCCATTGCCTTCAGTAGCTCATCAAACCTAAATCTGGCCCCGGTTGCATCCTCGGCAGCCCCCTCCATGCAGTCTCCACAGCGGTCTCTCGATGAATAGGGGCCACTGCTTCCAAGCCCTCAGGGAGGAAATGATGGGAGGGTGCCCTCTGGGATCTCCTGGGGTCTTCACTCACCCGGCATGATTTGGAGCAGGCCCGATTCAGCCCATGACAGCCTTTGATTCCCAGTTCAACCATTGGGTAAAGTTGATTTGATTCCCTCCCTTGTTCCTAAAGTAGATCTTCACTCTGCCCATCTTCCCTGGGGGTGGGGGGCATTTTGTGGTTTGCCTCAGGTGCCAAAAGGTCTTGGGCCAGCCAAGCAGCTCTCTCGCGGCTCCTTGGTTTGGCGAGAGCCTTCATAGTCACCTCTCAGGAACCAGGTCCATCTGAGGGGCTGCATGTCCACCAGCCAACTGAGCCCAGGCTGAGTGCAGGTCCTCCCCAATTCATTCCTGACCGTTGGCTTCTACCTGAATGTTCTTTGGTGACCATAGCAACAGCCGTAACCGCCTGCACCTCATCTCCCATCCTTCCTGAAGGTTCATTTCGCTCTATGGAAGTGGTTTCCCTGGACCAGTTAACACAGTGTGTATAAAGACATGGCATGCTCATGGCGTCTGTGTGTATGGAAGTGAGATTTATGTTAACGCAGTGGACACCGTGTGTGTGTGTGGTTGCAATTACATTTATTGCTATTTTGCGTGGCCTGGATGACCTTGCTGTGGTGTTGGGCCTTCTCAGCCTAAAGGACAAAGAGAGACACAGTCACAGGACAAGGTTATAGGAGATAGTCTGTTCCAACCATTAGCCACCTGTTCCCAAGAAGATGCTTCAGAGGTGCACAGGATGACAGGGAAGTTTCATCCTAAAATTAATCCTGGGGAGTTGAGGTGAAGAAGTGGGATGCTTCATCCCTAAAATAAACATGGCAAAGAAGTTCAGATGAGCTTTAGCCCTTGCTATCGTTATCCAGATCTGACCTGCTTGACACTCAAAAACACTTCACTGAGGCCCAACAAAAATTTTTCAACCCTCCAGAACTGGAATGAATAAACTGTAACTGATGGGCATTGCTAAAGATGTGTATTATGTACTCATATTATTATATCTAGGATGAATACATATTGGCTTTTGTCTGTCTGTGTGTATCAGAATTAGTAATGTTGTTCCGTGGGCACTGAATGCATTGTGTTCTGCAAGCCAGTTGCAGAAGTGGAAAGTCACACAATGTTCTGTCAACATCATTTCCCCCAGAAAATAATGTGAGCATAATAATGGGATTAATTTATATTGTTGGTTTGAATCGAGTCTTTAAAAATGACAAGATATATGTGAGATGACTTCAGGTTTTTTAAATCAGTAATTTGTGGAAATAGACTAGCAAATCCTTGTTATACTGTTGATCTCAAATTTCATTGTGGGAATTCCTACAGTTATTTTCATGTTATCTAACCCACTCTACTGGTGTAGAAAAGATCGATGCCAGCAGAATAGATACTTTGAAATAAATATATTGAGAACTTTGGTGCCCACCTAATGTTTTGGAAGTTTAGAGTTGTTGTTAACTCTGTGGAGGTTGAGCTAATGGCGAATAATCTGTTACAGGCAGTAGAATAACCAGTCTTAACACTGAGAATGTCATAACTTAATTTCCTGCTTCACATATCTAATGAAGACGACTGTGGTCCATTAAATCTTTTGCGTCAATAAATTTCTTTAAGGTGCTACAAGGTTCTTCTTTCTTTTTTGCTTTCCCCCTCAATGTTTTAATGAAAGACAAGGGTTGGAGACAGATGACTGATTAAGGGAGTTGCAGGCGAAGACATCATTTCCCTTGCTATGAACACCCAGGGTGGTACTCAACCAGTTTTTACTTGGAGTATATTAATGACTCTTGGTCATGTTCATTAATTTCAACGGGTCTGCTCTGAGAAAAACTTAGGTGAATACGCCATTTTATTTTTGTCAATTCGAAAAATCTGAAAATTTTATTTTTCAAGATCTGGATGGGGGCATACCCTCGTTGGTTTGCAAGCCCCTTTCACAGAGGCTGACCCCTCTCACTGTCCTCGGAGCTTGCATACCGGTAACCTCCTCTGGCTGATATCCAGACAGACCAGGGAGATTTTGGTAGGCGACATTTTCCCAAGCGTGGGTAAAATGCACAACCCCTCCCTCCTGCTTCCGCAGGGGAAAGAGAATAAGTCAGAAATCTATTTACATGATGTTTATTTCTGACATTACAGCACTAGAGAAAAACACGTCCTTTCTTTTCAGTTCTTCTAGCAGGTCTGACAAACTTCCTGAACATGCGCAAATGGAAGGTTTCAAGTTACACTCTTCACAAAGACTTATCCAGCCTGCGAACGTCCTGGGAAATTCTTCTTTCCCACAGATAGGCACATCATGTGATGTCAACAATCTGGCTGTCTGCAGCAGTGATGTTTCCATATACAGTGGTGCCCCGCAAGACGAATGCCTCGCAAGACGGAAAAACCGCTAGACGAAAGGGTTTTCCGTTTTGGAGTTGCTTTGCAGGACGAATTCCCCTATGGGCTTGCTTCGCAAGACGAAAATGTCTTGCGAGTCTTGAGATTTTTTTTTTCGCTTTCCCCTTTATCAAATCTGCTAAGGCTTTAATAGCCTTTAATAGCCTTTTAGCAGCTAATCCCCAAAGCCTTTAAGCCTTTAATAGCCGCTAAACCGCTAATAGCGCTAATCCGTTAAGCCGCTAATAGGGTTGCTTCGCAAGACGAAAAAACCGCTAGACGAAGACTCTCGCGGAACGGATTAATTTCGTCTTGCGAGGCACCACTGTACTGACAACCCTATAGACAATAATGAAAACGCCCTAAAATATGAAATGCAGTAAGGGATGAACTGCTGTGTTTTCACTAACTGAGGAAACTGGGGGAATTGATATTTAATGGCCAAATGATCACATTGTCTGGGTTTGCTGCTGCATAGAGCCGTAAATAAAAAATCCAGCCACATTAAAACGAACTGAAATTTATATTGACTTTTTTTGCGAGTGTGTTAACGGGTTGCAATGGACATGAATAACTGAGGCTCATTCATTTCAGTGGGACTACTCTGAGTGGGATTTAGTTATAATCCAATATCTTTCTCAATCGGCTGTTTGTTACATTTACACAATTATAGGGAGTAAGATGGCAAGCAAGAAGAAGGAAGTTCAGCTACAGGTAGAGATTTTGTCTTTTACCTTAATTATTCAGCTGCTTGCTGGAACACCCAGCACTTTAAAGCTGACAAAACTCTATGTTTGCTTTACTTTAGGCAGTAATACTTACTCAAGAACAATGGGAAGAAATGTTGCTGAAGAAAGGTCTAACAGGTACAACTGCCCCCTTTCCTCTTATATACTAAAGTGTGTGTGTGCAAGCATGTACGCACCAGTGTTTAATTGCGTACATCACTGCAGTGCATTTACAAGTGCATGTACTTTGTAACCCCTTTACTGGATGTTGTATCCTCACAAAAATAAATTCCTGTATGATTTTAACTTTTCAGAACTTATTTCTTGTAAGTAGTCCAAAAACATGCAGTGAAATAAAGTGTGGAAATATAGGCTGTTATATCTTTAAAATATGCCCTGCCAAGTCAGTTCCAAAATTTCCCTCTTCCCCCAGAATAGGAAAAGATCACACGTTTGGTAAGTTGAAACTTGGTTTACTTACTAACTCTCCAAAGGTCATGTTCATATGCTCTTCCATACATCAGTCAGAAAAGTGGCACAGGCAGTAAAACTTAGTTATAAAGTGGTACACGTTTCTGTACAATTGGTGTAGGAACTTTAGAGTGGCTAGTAAGAGCCATGCGGTTGAGCTGGAGCAATCGCCTCAAACCTCTTCACATACTGAGCTGCTCAGGTAGACTGGGGGTGAACAATAGGGTTTATTATCTATTTCCTCCCAAAGTAAGGGGAAGTGACATAGCCAAGCCTGGAAGAACAGTTTACTCTATGGTATTAACTTCTTAATGCATTAATTAGAGTTAAGCATGTTGGTTATAAGAGGCTGGTTATCCCACAAATATTCCCAATGATTCTAGGTGCATTTTATTTTAAAAAATGGGCACCTTAAATGCAAAGAAGTTACACTTACTGTCACATCTAGTCTGACTACCGGGCATAGTAGCACAGAAAGCCAATGTCTGATTTGCAGGCTACAGAGCTCTTGATTTGAACCCTAGTGGCACCTGACATCTGTGTACTGTAAAATTGGACTACAAAGGCATACATTTTTTGAGTTTTCTGATTTTCATTAAATATGTTTAACAACAACAACAACAGTAATAATAATAATAATAATAATAATAATAATAATAATAATAATAATAATTTTATTATTTATGCCCTGTCCATCTGGCTGGGTTTCCCCAACCACTCTGGGCGGCTCCCAACAGAACACTAAAAACCTCCCTAAACAGGACTGCCTTCAGACGTCTTCTGAAAGTCAGATAGTTGTTTATTTCCTTCACATCTGACTGGAGGGCGTTCCACAGGGCGGGTGCCACTACCGAGAAGGCCCTCTGCCTGGTTCCCTGTAACTTTGCTTCTTGCAGTGAGGGAACTGCCAGAAGGCCCTTGGTGCTGGACATCAGTGCAGTGGTGGAGGAAGAGGAGTGCGGGGAGAGCGCAACATCCCCGGCAGCGCAATCCTGGTAGGGTGCCATCGGGGGTGCTCCCCCGCCTGCGCTGGGCGCCACGCCCCCAGGTGGCATGCCACGCCCATGGGGCGGCGCACCACGCCCCCAGGATGCCCGCCACGCGTGCCAGCCCCGCCCCTGCCTGCTCTCCGCCCTCCCCCCAGTGCCGGAGCATGAAGCTCTGCCACTGCCTCAGTGTCCGGGCTAAACGATGGGGGTAGAAATGCTCCTTCAGGTATACTGGGCTGAGGCCATTTAGGGCTTTAAAGGTCAGCACCAACACTTTGAATTGTGCTCAGAAACGCACTGGGAGCAAATATAGGTCTTTCAGGACTGGTATAATATGGTCTCTGAGGCAACCTGGCAGTCACTGTTCACCTGTGCTGGGCCTGCGTCTACCACATATGGCAGGCTACCTCTGCTGAAAACAAGTATTGGCATTCTGCCAGTTCTTGAAGACATGCCTAGACTTGGCCTTTGGGTCTTATTTTTAATTATTTTAAACTGTTTAAATTGTTATGCCTTTTAACTGGCTTGTGTATATTTTAATTAAAGGGGTTTTACTGCTTTGATAAGCCTGTTCCATTGTGTATTTTAATTATGTATGGATTTTATAATTGATTTTATGCTTGTAAACTTAGAAGCCATTTTGGATACAAGTGGTGTATAAATAAATTTATAGTAGTAACAGATGTAGTAAAACTTAAAACATGTGTTAATTCCTGGAATACGATTTCTTACTATTACTGATACACCATGCCTATTATTAATTTGTGATCTTTCCCGTAAAACCTGGTAAAAACATGGTTTCAACAGAGGGGCATGTCCCTGCCCCCAGATCAGAAAAAACGATATCACCCATTTGAAGTTACACATTTTATTTAGGCACTTTGTTGTCTGTTTCCCAGTAGTAGATGTGTATCAGGCTTGGTGCGGACCTTGCAAAGCTGTCTTGAGCTTATTCAGAAAACTAAAAAATGAATATGGTGAAGATGATCTTCTGCATTTTGCAGTGGTAAGGATCCGGATATGAAGCCTTCCAATACCAAACATTTTGAGGGAAGTATACTTTTGTGCTCTGTGATTTATTTCCTTATTGCAGTTTCAGCAAAACATTGAAGACTACATTCCAAATACAGTGGTACCTCGGGTTAAATACTTAATTCGTTCTGGAGGTCCGTTCTTAACCTGAAACTGTTCTTAACCTGAAGCACAACTTTAGCTAATGGGGCCTCCTGCTGCTGCCGCGCCGCCAGAGCACGATTTCCGTTCTCATCCTGAAGCAAAGTTCTTAACCTGAAGCACTATTTCTGGGTTAGCGGAGTCTGTAACCTGAAGCGTATGTAACCTGAAGCATATGTAACCCGAGGTACCACTGTACACTGTCATTATTTTATTGCTAGGTCGACTGATTTCAGCTGCTGGAGAAATCCTGTAGTCACATATCAGGGTTGCCATACATTCGGAATTTCCTGGACATATCCAGAATACTGCAGTTGGAAGCAGTGTCTGGGCGGAAATTGCCCCCTCCCCAGTAAAAAAATGTCCAGGAAAATTCAGACATATGGCAACCCATGTCGGCAGTGTCATTTTTGGCAATTATCCTGAAAAATAGCCCCAAAACTTCTTCCTTTTTTTTGCAAATTTGCCAAAAAAAGCTCAACAACTACCTTTCTGCCTGAATTTTCACTGTTTGAAATATGGCAACCCTATCACATATGAAAAGCTACTGTATGGTTACGAAAGAGGGGAGGAATAACAGAATTATAATATATGAACCCTAGCGCGTGGCGCTGTTGTCTAAACCACAGAGCCTAGGGCTTGCCGATCAGAAGGTCAGCAGTTCGAATCCCCACGACGGGGTGAGCTCCCGTTGCTCGGTCCCTGCTCCTGCCAACCTAGCAGTTCAAAAGCATGTCAAGTGCAAGTAGATAAATAGGTACCGCTCTGGCGGTAAGGTAAACGGCGTTTCCGTGCACTGCTCTGGTTCGCCAGGAGCAGCTTAGTCATGCTGGCCGCATGACACGGAAGCTGTCTGCGGACAAACAGAAGCTCCCTCGGCCTATAAAGATGAGCGTGCAACCCCAGAGTCTTCCACGACTGGACCTAACCGTCAGGGGTACCTTTACCTTTTAGCCACCTTTAAGCTAGAAATACAAGAATTAGTGCAGCCGTAGTTCATCTACAAATAGTATTGCAAAAAATAAAAATCAAGCCTTGGGAATACGTAACTTTCAGAAGGAGAGGGTATTCTGCCCTCAAATTTTAGAACACAAAATATTGTTTAACAGATCTTCACTGTTTATTTCAGAGAGTGTTCCACATCCCTAAAGACCAATGTTAAAGATTCTGGATTTTCCAAAATGTTGAAATACTGCTCCCACTGCTGGTTTGGGAAGTGCTGTACACCACAATCCACATCTATCATGCCATTTCTTATTAAATACCAGGTTTTAATGTTTTTACCTGAAACCCACTTTGATCTGAACTGGGGAAAAGAACGACCAAGCTGTCTTTTAAGCTGGTAATGTGTGCAGAGATTTACACATTTTAATGCCCCTTTGATTTCAGTGAAATATTAAGCAAGCATGTGCTTCACTCTTGCTTTCCCTTTAAAACTAATGGGATTTCAGAGTGCTTACCTTTGGCTAGAAGAATGCTATTTATTTCCTTACATTTGCATTTTTCAGTAGCACCATCTATGGTCGCATTAACGGTGAAGTCATGCAACTGGAAACAAGGCAGGAAGCTATCAGCAGACTGCAAATCAAAACTCTCAGTGAGCCAGCCAGCAATACTCTACAGAGAATCTACAGTGGTACCTCTGGTTAAGAACTTAACTCATTCTGGAGGTCCGTTCTTAACCCAAAACCATTCTTAACCTGAGGTACCACTCAGGGCCGTCTTAAGCATATCTGGCACCGTGGTGTGAAGGTCTCTCTGGCTCCCCCCCCCCCCTTTCCCAGAGCTGCCAACCTTTTTTAGGGAGGACAGCGCTGCCAGTGACGCACCCAGCTTTGCAGGACTGGAGGAGGCGGGCAGCAACTGAAGGGCAGCTCTTCTGGCAGGGAAGAGGCAGAGGCTGGACGTGGCAGCTTCTGGCTCAGCTGGCCACTTTGTGCTGTGGTGGCCACAGTAGGGAGAGGCTCCGGGCACAACGCTGCTTCAGTGCGGCATGGCGGAGGTGGGCAAGGGCAGCGATCTGATGCCGGGAGGCGCTGCATCCAACCTCTGCCTCTTCCCTGGCACCCTCCAGAACTTGGTGCCCTGGCGCCCTGCGCCACTAGATTCTATGGGTAAGATGCCCCTGGTACCACTTTAGCTAATGGGGCCTCCCACTGTCACTGCGCCGCTGGTATGCAATTTCTGTTCTCATCCTGAGTTAAAGTTCTTAACCCGAGGTACTACTTCCGGGTTAGCGGAGTCTGTAACCCGAAGTGTTTGTAATCCAAGGTGTTTGTAGCCCAAGGTACCACTGTATATGGGAATTGCTATAGCTTGGCTTGCGGGTATTTTGAAAAATGATAATAATGTAGGTTATGTATCTGTCCTTCATTTAAGGCAGAAGCTAACAGCATTCCAAGTCTGCTCCCCTTTAAAGATAAATGTGAACCCGCTTTTATCTTCTGTGTGGTAAGTACACGGTGAATGACTTTAGTTTTTGTTTTGCTGGTGACTAATTCTCAGTTAATTCTTCAGATTGAAAAGAGGTGCATCACTGAAGTATGGATTTATATGAAATAGTTGACTATGGAGTTGGAACAACTGACAACAAACTAGTGACAGATGTCAAAATTAAAAAATTGTCCAGTAGCACCTTAGAGACCAACTAAGTTTGTTCTGGGTATAAGCTTTCGTGTGCATGCACACTTCTTCAGATACACTGAAACAGAAGTCACCAGACCCTTATACAGTGGTACCTTGGGTTAAGTACTTAATTCGTTCCAGAGGTCCGTTCCTAACCAGAAACTGTTCTTAACCTGAAGCACCACTTTAGCTAATGGGGCCTCCCGCTGCTGCCGTGCTGCCGGAGCACGATTTCTGTTCTTATCCTGAAGCACTATTTCTGAGTTAGCGTAGTCTGTAACCTGAAGCGTATGTAACCTGAGGTACCACTGTATATAGTGGGAGGGTGGGGTGGGGTTTTTCTCAGAAGGGTAGTTGGAGATGGGTGATAGATGTGCCACACATAGAGATCAGCGTATGTAGGAGCACATCTTTCTGCTAGGTCACAAAACATCAAGGGATTCAGAATACCCCAGGTGACACATATGCAGAGTATTCTATATGCCAATAGGCCAGAGGCGGATTTAGGGAAGTACGGCTGGTTTGGTGGCACTGGGGACAGATCCATGGGTCAATGAGGGGGCGTCACAACTATGGTGTAGAATGGCTTATTATTTGAACCATTGCCATTGAGAATCTCAAGCTTAGTGTGTAGACATTGATGTTATCTCCAACTTCCTCTGAACAGTCCTAAACAAAGCAGTTGTCAGATAAGAAACCGGTAAAGGTTCAGTGGTGTAGAAATTTAATTGATCACATAAATCAAACGAAATATTTTGATCATTTGAACCAAGTGCCTCCAATTGTTTGGAGCGGCAGATTTTTAAACAAACAAACAAACATTTTAATACAAAAATAATACAAGAACTTAAGAAACAACTGAAACTAACAGGCATGCATGAATCCCCTGGGTATACCAGCAGCTGCCACAAGAAGCATTTCCCTCTGTGATAGGAGAAAGTGGAATTCCTCATTGAAGGCTGAACCTCAGTTACCTTTCCTCCATTCTTTAAAGTTCCACATCAAACTGCCTCCCCCCCTTTTTTTTTGCCCTGGAGCTTTCACCGCAAAAACCCACTCCTTTAAGCTCAATCAGAGCAAATGTCAGTCCATGGAAAACCTGAATTAACGTTTGCACCCATTGAGCACTAAAGACTGGGTTTTTGCAGGGAAAGCTCCAAAGGGGGGGCGGGGATTAAAATGCTCAGACACAGAGCGTTTAATCATGAACCTGTGCCTGAAAAGAGTAGGGCAAAGAGTGTGGATAAGCCCTGAGATAGTCCCTGCCATCTTTTGGAAGTGTGTGGTGATGCAGAGCTGGGAATTGGTGTCACAATGTTGTGATCATGAGGGATCAGGGACTTCTCAATTTTCTTCCATCGCCTTCCACAGCTAAGTCTCCCAGTGTTCCCACACCACTGACCCCCCCCTCCAGTTTGTTTATGCAAATGGAATAAACAATTAATTATAATGTATAGGTAGATTCATGCTATGCTAGTTGAGCTGAGTTCCCATGGAAATCATAATGGCAAATCATGGTAACTTTTTACATTGATTCCAATAGGCTCAGCTGGAGCTTAACTAACCTTTGGTGCAATCCTATGCATTTTTACTCAGAAGTAAGTCACACTGAGGTCATTGGGACTTACTCCAAAGTAGGTGAATATAGGACTGCGGTCTTACAGTGCCATCTTGTGCAGGTGTCCTCAGAAATAAGTTCAATGAGACTCACTCACAGGCAAGTGAGTATAACAGGCATTTCAAATATAATGATCAATGCTGCTGATTTTTGTTAATTTTAATTATTTTAGATCATTGTGTTTATGGTGTTTTTGTGATATTTTGAGCAGACTTGAGTGGCTATTCTCAAAAAGGTAGGCTATAAAAAAGAATTTTTAAGCAAAGATAAATATGTATAGGGTGATAACCAGTTAGTCATACTCAGAATAGACCCACTGAAATAACTGGACTTAGGTTATTTAGGTTTGAGTGTGACTATCCTTGGATACCACTGATAGGATTGCAGCCATAGTCCTTCAGGTTGTTGGAAGCAAATAAAGCACATAAAACGAAAGGTTTGCACCTGGAAAATATTTGTTGTTGGAAACCAATTAAAACATACAAAACAAAACTATGAGATGTTGCTGAGCACTGTTTTATTTGGGCAAATATTATTTGCAGGATGGCAAAATGGTAGATATTGTGAGAGGCGCGAATGGACCTCTTCTGTGTAGAAAAGTCATAGAGATAGTAGAACGAGAGAGAAGAATCGTAGCAGGAGAAGCAGAAAGACCAGAGGTAACTCTGCCTTGACCCAGTATTGGCATATTTTATTAAGAAGTACGGTTGCCTTCTCTTTCTAATGCTCTGTGTTCTGCTTTATTGCTGATATGATTTTTATTCTTTGTACACATTCCTGTTTTCATTGGTTTGAAAGTGCTACCCTGAGTATATGTTCACCCTACGTACTTATTGATTTCTTTCCCCTGTCGGACCATTTCTCTGTTGCAAACTGCTTTGGAAATGGTGCAGAGAGTTTTGAAAATTAACTCCAATCCTAAGGGTGCAATTCGCTAGGATGCCCATTCATGGTGTCTATGGCTGCCCCACACCATTAAAGCACATTTGAAACACATTTCCCGCACCCTCAAAGAATTCTGGGCACTGCGGTTTCTGAAGGCTAACTGGGAAGTGTAACTCTTGTGAGGGGTAAACTAGGTGGGTGATGATCTACAATGGCTTATGATCTATGGCACTTGTACACGACAATATCAGGTGGAGGCTGAAGTTAATCAGAACAATTCTAGGAAACGTAAATGGACACAGGCATCATTGGACACATATGAATGTGCAGTTGTGGGTGGCACTGTGGTCTAAACCACTGAGCCTAGGGCTTGCCAATCAGAAGGTCGGCGGTTCGAATCCCCATGACGGGGTGAGCTCCCGTTGCTCGGTCCCTGCTCCTGCCCACCTAGCAGTTCGAAAGCACGTCAAAGTGCAAGTAGATAAATAGGTCCCGCTCAGGCGGGAAGGTAAACAGCGTTTCCGTGTGCTGCTCTGGTTCACCAGAATCGGCTTAGTCATGCTGGCCACATGACCTGGAAACTGGCTGTGGACAAACGCTGGCTCCCTCGGCCTATAGAGTGAGATGAGCGCCGCAACCCCAGAGTCGTCCGTGACTGGACCTAACAGTCAGGGGTACCTTTACCTTTATTTCCATGGGTCTTGTTGTGGGGCAGGGTTCCAGCAAATTTGGGGTTGCACAGATGCACTGGCAGGGTCAGTCCAGCACTCCCACTGGTGCGTCGTACAGCCTGGACCTCCCACCCAGGTAAGTTGCAGCAATGCCCGTGTCAAGAGGGTGCCTTTGCAGCCTGCGACACCCACCCTTTGCAAGGGAGTCCTACCATGTTCAATTGAACGTAATCTCAGAAACGTGTGCACCACCTTGCCATTTTAAGCACAGAAGTTCCTATTGGTGCCAAGCGGTGCAGTCATAAACAAATCTACTCCAAATCACACCTCACCAAATTCAGTGGAACTTACTGCCTGTGAGTGGTTATAGGCAGGGATGGCTGGAACCCCTTGGGATTGGTGGCATGGGAAGGCAGGGAGCCCAATGGAACGGAAGCAGATGGAGCCAGAGCCAATTTATTCTAGTTTTGTCACCATCTTCCCTCTCCTGAGTTCTACAAGGGGGACCCTGAGACCAAGGAGCCGGAAGGCAGGGCCACACCCCGGAAAGTTGTAAGTAAGAAAGCAGGCAAGTTAACAGCTGCCGTGGGAGGCCCTGAATTCTGTTAGGATGGCAGCTGGGGCGTAGGGAGCGTGAGAGAGTAGCCTTTTCAGCCCATCCAGAAGACACCCCCTAAAACTACTAATAGTGGGGTGGGGTGGTATATTGAAGAAACACCACAGCAGGGATTATTATCCCCTTCCCTCCAAACTGCAATCCTGAACCAGTGCTCTCCTCCCCATCACTGGCTTTTATCCAATCAAAGCTGCCTTACCTTGCAGCTGATGGTATCTATCCATCAATGCTTTCTTGATGCTTTCTTTCCATCCATCCATCTGCCTATGGAGAATCTATATTGGTGATGTTTCATTTCTATACTGTTTGGAAACTTTTGAAAGAACTGTCTCACGATTGCATCCTTACCAAATATTATTTTGAAATAGCTTATTGAAAGAGGACAAAAAAATAGGATTTAGCGAGAAAAAGTCTAAATATCAAGTAGAAATTCTGGAGGAAAGAACAAAACTTTTGTCTAAAATGTACAACTATCTGTTGGAATGGGACACTAAGGATGAGTTAATAAAAGAAGTAATGGTAAAGTGGGCAATCGATTTTGGTTACAACATAGAATATGATAAATGGGTAAAACTATGGAACGAACGGATGAAATTTACAGCGTGTTCCACTTTAAGGGAAAACTTAGGAAAAATGATGTACCGGTGGTATATTACCCCGGTCAAATTGGCAAAAATGTACAAATTGAGCAATAAAGCCTGTTGGAAATGTAAACTTAAGGATGGGGATCTCTACCACATGTGGTGGGAATGTAAAAAGATGAAAAAAAATTGGGACCTAATATACAATGAACTTAAGAAACTTTTAAAGTACACATTCCTGAAAAAACCGGAGGCTTTCCTCCTAGGGATAATAGGGGAGGAATTAAAAAAGGAGGATCATAAACTATTCCAATATGCCACGGTAGCAGCTAGGATTCTTGTAGCTCAAAAATGGAAGTCACCGGAGATCCCAACGGTTATGGAATGGCAGGCTAAATTTTTTGAATACACAGAATTAGCTAAAATGACATATAAAATCCGACACCAAAAAGGGACAAAGTTTGAAGAAGAATGGGGTAAATTTGTAGCATATATAGGAATTAACTGCAGAAGTTTAAAAACTACAGCAGGGTTAATATAAATCCTGTGATGTGTATAGAAGTGAGTAAGAATCTGTAAGAGAAGATGTATATTAAGAAAACCGCAAATGGGAAGGAAGGAAGTCGAGGCGTGATTTTACGCAGTGTAAATAAGATGACACCAATGATGACTGTAAAGATTGTTTTATTTTGTTTGTGGAAAAATTCAATAAAAAGCATTAAAAAAACCCACAACAACAAATATTATTTTGAAAAGTTGGTATGACCGTCATGTAACAGTGAAAACATTTTCAGTTGCCAGAACTTCTGTTTGTGGAGGAGAAAGAATCCGATGAAGAACTTGTAGAAGAAGAAGCTGTCGGCAAGTTTTCCTGATAGATTTTATTTTTATTTTTGTATAGGTAGCAAATCAGTGGTGTGATCGTTGTTGTTGTCCGTTAACCATTTGTTGGTAGGAATGTCTTAACAGGAGACAGATGCCCCCGCAGCTCCAATGGGGAGGAGTTAAACACGCTCTTTCCCACCATCCTGCCTCGGGGTCCATAGAACTGTGACTCGCTTCACCTCTGGTCAGTCATGCTGCTTACCAGGTGCTAGAGGTGGAGGGGAAAGGCAGTGGTGAGGTTGGCGCAGTGCAAACACTCAGGTGGGTAGTGTGCCAGCCTCTTCACTGCCACCTCCTCCCTGTCTTCCTCCTTATAAGCAGCAACACAACCAGCCAGAGGGTCAGGGGAGTGCCACTGCCCAGCCACACTGTCCGCTGCGGACGGCAAGGCCAGCACCACATTATGGCCATTGCAGGCGTGCCATACAACAGGGTAGAGTGACCTGTGACCTGGCAAGACATGAAGGCAGGAATTGGTATCTGAATGAGGCAGAAAGGCTTTTGAAAGGGAAATGTCTGCACCTGCAGCCCCTTAAAGCAAATTCAAGGAAGAATTTCCCATTCTAGTGGTTTTTTATGATGCCCAGAGTATTAAAAAATGCCAATCTGTCAGCATTTCAGACCAAATTTTCTGATATCTGAAAAAAACAAACCCATTTGTCATTTTCTTTTTACTCATCTTGGGTAAGGATGCAGACAAAAGAGGCAAATGTTTCACGCCGCTGGGGGTACAAATAGGGCCAATTTTTAGTCTTCTGTTCTACTAACTAGACAAACTTAGAGGGAGGTTTTTTGTTTCTAGAAAAATACAAATTGGATAAGGTGGACTTACTGGAACTGATTTTCAGTCAGCTATACTACCAGTGTCTTTTAAACATAGTTTTGTTTGTCCTGATCACATTTCTCATACTTATCTACCTGTATGATAATGTCATTTGGAATCTCCTTCCTGAAGACACAGATATGAAATTGTGATGTGGTGCTCTTTTTGATGGTCGGATGTGGTCAGATGCCTGTAAGAATTTGCATTTAAATACAGTGGCACCTCGATTTTCGGATGTCTCCATTGCCCAATGTTTCAGTTTTCAAACACCGAAAACCCTGAAGTAAATGCTTCCATTTTTTAACATGCCCTGGAAGTCAAACGGCTTCTGCTTGCATGTATCTGTTGTTTTTTTACAGTTTTCTCGGTTGAATGGGCAGACCGCCCTTTGTGCCTCAGTTTTCGGACTTTTTGGAAGTTGAATGGTCTTCCAGAACGGATTACTTTCGAAAACCGAGATACCACTGTAAATGGATCCCACACACAACAAGTGCTTGTTAAAACATTGCAAGCATGTATCTATAAAAGAACATTTGACATAGGAAGTTACTTAGTACGTAGTCTTGTTCCTATATACTGAATGTTGTATACACTCCTGCTTCTCTTTCAGAGGAGGAAAAATACACTGTTGTGATCATAAAACCTGATGCAGTTGAAGCAGGAAAAGTTGAAGAAATTAAACAAACGGTAAAGAAAACTTTTTACTGAAAAATATGAAACAATACTGATTCATTTGAAAACTAGGATGGCAAGAATTTGCTAAGCCAGATGCACAAAACTTCCATATGAAAACAGACCAAGAGCCATGTTTTTGACACATTATCCTGTTTTTTTTCCAGCTTCAGGAAGGCCATAAAGAAGCTTAGTAAGCTGTCTTACATGGCAAGGGGGCTGAACCATTTTGGTGGGCTGTAAATACTTGCACAGTGATGTATTAAATGCTGTGCTAATCTGTATTTCTGTGTGATCTGTAGCATGGATGCTGCTCCCCTGAAAAGCCAGAGAGCTTTGTGGAACAATTTTTGTTTGGCCGCTTACATTATCCATATTTGCTCTGCATCCAACGTGGTCCCACCCCTGGTTTGGAAAGCAGTTAACCATAAGCCATATACATAAGCCATATATATCCTGTACCTGTTGTAGCATTTCTTATGAAATCCTGCATTTTGATGTGCTGTCCCACAAAACAGCTTAGATCTGAATTGAGAAAAGCAACTGCATTTTAGACCAGTAATGTGCACACAGTAATTGTGCCAATAACCCTGATATACCGCTTCATCAAGCACTGTGATAAAACCACTATCTACTCTTGCATTATATGCTTATTTCCCCTCCTCTAGGTTACTAAGCAACAGTGGCTGTAGCAACTGATAACTTTTTTAACAGGCTCAAAACTTAAAGGCAGTATGCCCTGCGTTTTCCACAACATGTTAATTTCATGGTGAAGAGATTTACAAACCTTGCTTGCATGAATTTAGAACACCGTACTTGCAACGAGTCACTGCTTTATATATAATATTTCAGGATTGGTTAAATACTTTTGTGCAAAATCAAATTACTGGATACAAGCTTTTCAGCAAAATCCTATCTGTATATTTAACCAATAGCTCAGCCCTAATCTTCTAACAAAAGGGCCGCGGGTGGTGCTGTGGGTTAAACCACAGAGCCTAGGACTTGCCGATCAGAAGGTCAGCGGTTCGAATCCCCGCAACAGGGTGAGCTCCCGTTGCTCGGTCCCTGCTCCTGCCAACCTAGCAGTTTGAAAGCACGTCAAAGTGCAAGTAGATCAATAGGTACTGCTCCAGCGGGAAGGTAAACGGTGTTTCCGTGCGCTGCTCTGGTTCTCCAGAAGCGGCTTAGTCATGCTGGCCACATGTTCTGGAAGCTGTACGCCAACTCCCTCGGCCAGTAAAGAGAGATGAGCGCCGCAACCCCAGAGTTGGGCACGACTGGACCTAATGGTCAGGAGTCCCTTTACCTTTACCTAATCTTCTAACAGTGCTTAGATGATCAGGCAATTTTGTGGGCATGCTGGTCTGCTGTAACAGAGAATGAAAAAGGGGTAGCAAAGATGGCTTTCCATCCTAAAAATGATTGGTCACATTAAATTGTATGTTGCACCTCCCTGTTTGTTTAAAGTTTTACATTAAGATTATGGTGATACATGAATTTTTTGAATTTTCATTTGTTCCTTTGTTCAGATCAGATAACTGATCAGTTAAAAGTTCTTTGATTGGTTGCACTGCTTAAACACAGCCTTATAACCCAACCTTTTTTCTTCTGAAATGTGCTCCGATAACTGAAGATTACAGAAGCAGGCTTTAACATTCTTGCAGAAGCCCTGAGGACATTAACGGATGAGCAAGTTAGGGATTTTTATCAAGACAAATCAGAAGAGGTAAGAAGAACAGATACATGTGGGAGAACATAGCCATTGATGTAGATAATCAAAATGATTGATTACATGAATTGCATGTTAGCATAGCTGGGGGGAAATAATCTAGTTACTATTTTAACTCACAGAAAAACAATGCTGGCCTTGCTGGGCCTCATCCCTCTTTCCACCGTTTCAGGTCCCCATACTGGTCAACAGCAATGGAATTCCCACCAGTTAGCTTCCAGTTGGTCACATCACTCCTGTTTACTGGGAGGCAGAGGTGCAAGGTGGCACCAAGGTCCACATGGAGCAAATGCACCAGCAGGAGGCTTTTGGGAAATGATTTATAATGAAATGAAAAAAAGAGTAACCTTTGTTAAAAAACCAGAAGCCTTTTTATTAGGTATTCTAGGAGTGGTGATTCCAAAAGAACAGAGAAAATGGTTTATGTATGCTACGATGGCCGCCCGGATGCTGTTAGCTCAAAGGTGGAAAGAGGAAGCAGTCCTGGCCAAAGCAGACTGGCAAACCAAGTTAATAGACTATGCTGAGATGGCAAAACTAACTGGAAAGCTCAGAAATGAAGATGACAAGAAATTTAAAAAAGAATGGGAAATGTTTATCATGTACTTCAAAAAGTATCGTCAACAGGTTAATACATTGGCAGGATTTTAAGAACGCTTGTAATTTTAGAAATAGTGTAGGACATTTGAGATAAAATAATAATAATTTGGAATAGAAATGATATGCAGTTGAAAAAGAAATTTAAGGAACTAGGGAAGGGGTGGGGGAGGGAAGTCACGGGATTTGGAGAATCCCATGTTATGGATTTGATATGGCTTTTACATACATTTTTCTTTGTTTGCGTTTGTTGTTGTTTGTTTTGTTGAAAAATTAATAAAAATATTTTTTTAAAAAATGAAAGACAAATGCACAAGCAGGAATACTGGATTGGCTCTGCCAGTGCATTTGTCAAGTATCATTCTCGACGTTGCCTGGTCCCTGCCCTCTGCCTTCCGGTGAGCAGCCCCAATGCAGCCAGCCAGAGGTCAGCCCACCATGGAACTGCTACTGGATAGAACGTAAACTTCTATATTTGAAATATTTTAGGATCTCAGTAGCATTGCTAGATTAAAGGTAAAGGTAAAGGGACCCCTGACCATTAGCTCCAGTTGTGGCCGACTCTGGGTTGTGGCACTCATCTCACTTTATTGGCCGAGGGTGCCGGCGTACAGCTTCCAAGTCATGTGGCCAGCATGACTAAGCCGCTTCTGGTGAACCAGAGCAGTGCACGGAAACGCCGTTTACCTTCCCGCCAGAGCGGTACCTATTGATCTACTTGCACTTTGACGTGCTTTCGAACTGCTAGGTGGGCAGGAGCTGGGACTGAGCAACGGGAGCTCACATCGTCATGGGGATTTGAACTGCAACCTTCTGATCGGCAAGTCCTAGGCTCTGTGGTTTAACCCACAGTGCCACCCGCGTCCCTATTCCTAGATTACCTAATGAATATAACAATATGTTGTTACAGGCACCTTGTATCTCGGTAATAACAGGGAGAAATGTAGTGCTAAATTAATTGATGGTGAGTCTTCTTTCCTGGCCCTTAATGACAAAAATACTTCCACCCCCCCCCACCCCAGATTGACTTTGAAGAGTTTGTTTCGTTTATGCTGTCTGGACCATGCCATGTGCTGATCGTTTCTGAAGGAAAGCAAACGCACGAGGTTATGCCTTATTTACAAGAATTGGCTCCTGGAGAGGGAGAGGAGGAGGAAGAAGAGGAGGAGGAGGAGGAGGAAGAGGAGGAGGAAGAAGGGTATCGGAAACCTCCAAGTGAAGCGCCAGCCAGGTAGATTCCAACATGGAGTGCGTGAGTATATGGGTGTGCAGGTGGATGGGATTCCTCCGACCCAATATGAGATTGACAGTAATATTGCTTGCGCATTGGATACCATGTGCAGGATTTTTCAAATCCACCCCGGTATTTCAAGTGTGCCTTCATGCTAGGCAATATCAGATTTACTTCACTCATTCAATTATTTATTTATTTATTTATTTACTTATTTCATTTCTATACCGCTTTATATTTTAACAGCATATTAAAACACCAATAAAACAATCCAGAATCAAACATTTCTGAAGAAAGTCAACTATACAGTATACAGTCAAAGCAACATAATTAACAGAAAACTAAAATATTATCTTAAAAAAATTCAAAAATAAACGTAACAAAGGAGGTCAATTACAGAATACATATTTAACACAAACAAAGTTAACAAAAAGAATCTTAAATATTTCAAACTGAGAAGATCCAAAATTGAGAAGATCCATTTGGAGGCACCAAATTTTGGCCTACAAAAATTTACCAAAGTCTGCCCTTGTACACACCAGCCCCTCTCTCTCTTGCCTCTGAAATTATGTTTTGAATTATGTCTGTCTATTGCAGCAAGATTAGTGTTTCACGGCCAAGTCTCTAAATTTCACCTCAAAGCTATTGTGATACATTAAGTGCTCATTTTGTACTTTGTAAAATGTTTAACAGTTACATTTATATTATTTTACCCTTTATTAGCTTGAAAGGGTTCTTGGAAGGCCAAGCTATATCAGATTTATGTGACGTTCACGACAGAGTAGAAGAAGCAAGCCGCGAATTGGCCTTCTTCTTCCCTGATTTTTCCAAGCCGAAGAAAGGCCCAGCTCTTGAAAAAACAGTGGCCTTGATTAGACCTTCTCTCTTGAGGGAAAGGAGAGGTTAGTGAACGTCAATACACAATTCTCTCCGTATTCTTGACATGTTGCTGGGTCCAGAAATGTGGCCGCAGAAGGCATTCTTGCATTGACTCTGTACCAGGGACTGCTATGCGCAGGGCAGTATCTTACAATACCCAACATAATAATAATAATAATAATACCTTTATGTACTGAAGTTCTCACCCTGGGCCAGCAGCGGGATACTGTACATAGTTATGCAAATAAGGGATAGAAAGTGACGTTCAGTGACTGGATAGTTTTAGAAAATTGTTACTGTTGCGTTGTAGTGGAGCTCTATATAATCAGGCTGGCTGAACCCTTCAGTTCAGTTCTGTTCTGGCCTGTGAATAAACAAGAGCTGTTTGAAGAATCGCTGTGTCGTATGATATGTTCACCCACAACTTAACAATTGTCAATGTACAACCCGTGTACAATGAAATTAACCGAGCCTCCGCCCCCCAAACACTCAGTCTCATTGCACGGTGTGTGCTTGTCGCACAACACACCAACCCTGAAAGTCAATTGCACTATATTATTTTCCGTTCAGCAGCCTAACATGGAGAGAAACTGTTTTTTAGCCTGTTGGTACGACTGATTATTATACTTCTATATCTCCTGCCTGAGGGTAGAAGATTAAAGAGGTGCTGGCCAGGGTGTGAATCGTCCCTGAGAATTTTTCTCGCTCTCCTAAGGCAACAATCCCTTGCAATGTCATCTAACTGGCTCAGGGGACAGCCCATGATATCATGTGCTGTGTTCACCACCCTCTGTAAAGACTTTCTGTCTGTGGCTGTCAAGCCAACGTACCACACTGTGATACAATATGAGAGGACACTTTCTATTGTGGACCGGTAGAAGGAGGTCATCAATTGTTGTTTAACATTGTTCTTTCGCAAGACCCTGAGGAAATGGAGTCTCTGTTGGGCCTTCCTAACCACCTGGGTTATATTGTTTTTCCAACTGAGGTCTTCACTAAGGTAAACTCCCAGGAATTTAAAGGAAGAGACTCTCTCCACACAACCCCCCCCCCGATATACAAGGGTGACAGTTCCCCTCTCTTCCTCCAAAAGTCCAACACCATCTCCTTTGCCTTGCTAATATTTAGGTGCAAGTTATTCTCTAAGCACCATGTAGATACTTTCTGAACCTCCCCCCCCCCCCGTGTACGCTGATTCATCTCCACCTGTAATTAGACCCATTATGGTAGTATCACCTGCAAACTTAATAGTTACAGTGGATGGATCAGATGAAATATAGTCATATGTATGTAACGAGTATAGGTAGGGACTCGGCACACATCAAAACACAATGGGTTTTGATGTTAAAAGCTGCATAGCACAATATGGCTGCCACGAGGGGCGTGGCCTAACAAAAAACTCGAGAGGCAGCCATTTCCAATGGATGTGATGGCAGTGGCCTGGCTGGGTGGCTGAGAATGCCCCCACTTTTTGAAAGCAGCCGCCTCCCCAGTCTTGCTGTATCCACAGAGTACTGAGGGGTGGGGTGCCTACATGTGTTAACTGTTAATCGTCTTTTGCGCGCAGATTCTATTCTGAAAAGGATTGAGGAGGATGGCTTTCAGATAGCGATGCAAAGAGAAATCGTCTTAACAGAAGAGCAAGCTCGTGAGTTTTACAAAGAGCACGAAGGTCAAGATTATTTCCCAGCTCTCCTGGAACAAATGACCAGGTGTGCCGCTTGAGAAACAAGAGCTTTAAATGCAGGGAGATAAATTTATTTTACACACTGCAACTCTGAAACTTGGTGGAAGGGTGAGAATCAAATATTAATCAGGGATGTATAAAATGAGTACAAAATTGCAGGTACAGAATGTATTACATACACAGCCTCTGGTTCAAGCTGCCCTCATGGGATCCCAAACTGAGCAGTGAATCATATTATTGTCTACTGTTCAACTTCATGGGGCATCTGCCATTTAATTTAGCCCTTCCCAGTGATGGGATTGGCGCCACCACTAGAGTTCCAGTTTTTCTGGTAAAATGGACAATCAGATGGTGATCAGTTTTGGGGAGAATGCCGGGCAAAGTTGAGATTACTTCCAGACAAGGAGGGAATCTATTTGGTCCTATATTAAGATAAAGTTATGTGTACGGGTCCCATAAGTAAAACAGACCAACAGAAAACACAAAAAAATAACCTAGGCTCCTGCGTATCCACTTTTTTAATGAATAAATTTATTTAAAATGCTAGGAATATTGTGCGTAACATATTTCTCAAACTAGTGGGGAGGCTGCATTTAACCAAGTATTTCCCCCTTTTTTCTGTGTAGTTTGTTTAATAAATTCCTTACTTTATTGGCAACCCTGACTTAGCTATTTCAGTTAATAGCAGAGCACTTAGAATCGCTTTGGTATGAATGATTCACATGGAATTTGTTAATGGTTTTATAAATGCAAAAAAGAGAGCTAAACATGAGTTTGTAACAGGTCTTTTTAAAAACCTTCTGCTGTATTTGCACCGGACAGCGGACCAACTCTTGCACTTGCTTTGGTACGAGAAAATGCGATACAGAAATGGAGAGCTTTACTGGGCCCAAAGATAGTAGAGGAAGCAAAGGAACAATGCCCAACAAGGTATTTAAAAAAACAAACAAACCACACATACAAATACATTGCATTCTGATAGATGGAGACGATAGAGCATAAGTAAAGTTAAAGCATGTTGTAACTTGTTTGACAATAGTGCCATCCTCTGGACAGTGTTGCATGCTTTCGTCTGCTACATTTTCCCCCCTGTGCCATTGAACCCATATTTTAGTGGTTAGCGTATTGTAAAAATGATTGCATTGTTTTGTCAATGCCCTGATTTGACAAAGGTGAAAAAGTTGCATCTCTGAATAATGCAAATTCGCAGATCCCTGTGACCTAACCTGTCAGTAACGTGGGGGAGGGGGGACTGTTTCCCCAGGCTGAACCCCAACTACATCCTTTTGTAGGGGGATAACTTGGAAACGGGACGGGGGTGGCACTGTGGTTTAAACCACTGAGCCTAGGGCTCGAATCCCCACGACAGGGTGAGTTCCTGTTGCTCGGTCCCAGCTCCTGCCAACCTAACAGTTCGAAAGCATGTCAAAGTGCAAGTAGATAAATAGGTACCACTCCGGCGGGAAGGTAAACGGTGTTTCCATGCCCTGCTCTGGTTTCCCCAGAAGCGGCTTAGTCATGCTGGCCACATGACCCGGAAAAACTGTCTGTGGACAAATGTCGGCTCCCTCGGCCAGTAAAGCGAGATGAGCGCCGCAACCCCAGAGTTGTTCGTGACTGGACTTTACCGTCAGGGGTCCTTTACCTTTTTTAACTTGGAAACATAAAGCTTCTGTGTCCTATATCTAATTTCCTGATTTTGTGGTCTCTAGTTTACGCGCTGAGTTCGCGATTGACAACGCACCCATCAATCAACTGCATGGAAGCACAACCCCTGAACAAGCTGCAAAGGAACTGGAATTCTTCTTCCCTGTGCAAAACACTTTTGCTGTCATTAAACCCACTGCTTTTGAGGAGCACAAAGGTAAACAGCCGGAGGATAGCACACCCACCCACTCTTAGGCATTCCTTAGGCCAGGGGTCAGCAGACTTTTTCAGCAGGGGGCTGGTCCACTATCCCTCAGACTTTGTGGGGGGCCGGACTATATTTTGAAAAGAAAGAAAGATGAAGAACAAATTCCTATGCCCCAAAAATAACCCAGAGATGCATTTTAAATAAAAGCACACATTCTACTCATGTAAAAATCCACGGGCCGGATTTAGAAGGTGATTGGGCTGGATCTGGGCCCCGGGCCTTAGTTTGCCTACCCATGCCTTAGGCATTTCAGGAAGGAGCAGGATAGTACCTTCAACCCTTCCCCCCCTCCCCATGATGCTGATGTCTCTCCCAGTTATTTCAAACACGGTGATCATGTGTTGATGAGAGAGAGAGTGCCTTATGTGCAAAAAGCTTTTTCACTGTGGAGGAGGTGGCCAGCAAGTGGGCAACATCTGTGCGCATGGCCACTGAGTGTGATCCCACTCCTCTGCCCCACACGTGCTTGGTAGGCATGTGAGGATGTCATGTGTCCAGGCTTAAGAAGAAAGAGACAGTCCCAAGGGACGGATGGACATGTACAAAATGCTCCCCCCCCCATTTCCAAATATTTAAAAAGTCTGTGTGATTATCCTACCAGAATTTATGGTAGTTGCCTTTCAAAACCTACTGTGGTAAGGCATTATGGCAAAAGAAGGAAATTGTGGCGATCTAGGCCTACACTGAATAGCTGATGGGCCAAATTTTGACTGGGAGATTACAAAAATAACAATCTTCAAAATTTGCAACTGCTGTTTTACAGCAATGCAATACTGATTGCCGTTGGGCATCAACAACAGCCAGGAGGTATTTATTTGCTATCCTAATGAGGGCAAGTTGCTTATTGCTCAGCTTCAGCCTAGTAGGAATAGCAATTTGCAGCCTGCAGTGCTAATTTGTTTATTGACTGTGCGCATGGCTTTTGCTTTAATGGTTACATATGGCAAGTGGAACCTGCAGCCAAATGTTGCAGCATAGAGTGCTCCTGTTCAGAGTTACAGCCACTATGCCCTTTTTCAGGATGTGCCATTCTGTTCCCACTTCCTTTGCATCCCCATGTTCCCAACAGCCAGCATTTCTTGCCCATTGAGTGTATGCAGACCTTCTAGGACAGCTTTGGGATCTCTCCTTGTGTTTCCCTCCTTTCTGTCTTTCTTTCTTTCTTTCTTTCTTTCTTTCTTTCTTTCTTTCTTTCTTGCTTGCTTGCTTGCTTGCTTGCTTGCTTGCTTGCTTGCTATTTTGCAACCTGTCCAGCTTGCTCACACCTCCTTCTTGTGCATTGGATGATGGGATTGCCACTGAGCTGCAGTCATGGGGGTTTAATGCACTGCTCAAGCAAATGCCCTGGGAATTCCCTTACCTGGCTTGGCCAGGCAGTAGCAGGTGTAGTAGCAGAGGCGCCAAGCCTGCCACTCCTTCACCGCTCCCTCTCAGGAACAAGTCGTGATGTGTAGCATTGGGAAGGCAGGTGAACAACACCCCCCTGCTGCTGGATGGGCTACACACCCTATGAAGGAGCTTGCGGGTACTTCTGGATCCTTTGCTGTCGCTTGAGGCTCAGGTGTCCTCTGTGGCGCAGAGTGCCTTCCATCAGCTTTGGCTGGTGTCCCAGATGCCAAAATCCAGCATCGCCTGAGCTCTGTGAGTGCAGCTTTCTCCCGCTCGAAGTGCAGAGTGTTTGAGGACCGGGACGTTCGCAGGGAAACCAAAATGCTTGTTTACAAAGCTATTGTACTACCAACCTTACTGTATGCTTGTGAAATGTGGGCCACATATAAACGCCATCTCTGGCTCCTCGAAAGTTTCCATCAACGGTATCTCTGAAAAATCTTACACATCACTTGGGAAGACAGGCAAACTAATACCAGTGTACTGGAAGAAGGAAAAATCACAGTGTCGAAGCAATGATTCTTCAACATCAACTTTGTTGGACTGATCATGTTGCGCAGATGCCTGATTATCATCTTCCAAAGCAACTACTCTATTAAACTTAACTTAAAAATGGTAAGCATAATGCTGGTGGTCAACCAAAGAGGTTCAAAGACTCTCTCAAGGCAAATCTAAAAATATGTAGTATAAACTAGGAAACACTGGCCTGCGAGCGCTCTAGTTGAAGAACAGCCTTGACCAAAGTGTCCTGGGCTTTAAAGATGCTCAAACTCAGGATGAAAGGGAGAAACGCTCTAAGAGGAAGGCATACTTGGCAAACCCTCACCATGATCAACTCCGCCCAGAAACCTATGTCCCCACTATGGAAGGACATGTGGATCCAGAATTGGCCTCCACAGTCACTTACGGACTGACTTTTAAAACTGTGTTTATGGAAGGCCATCTTACTCGGCTATGAGTGATCGCCTAAGAAGAAGTATCTGGACAAGGATAGCCTAACTTCCATTGTCAGTGCTCTGCTAACCTCTAGGGTAGAATACATCAACACATTTTACGTAGGGCTGCCTCTGAAGACTGTCCGGAAACTTCAGTTGGTGCAAAATTTGGTGGCCAGGTTGCTCAATGGGGCAAGACGGTTTGGGCATATTACACCGATCCTGGTCCGACTAGCTGCCGATCACCTTCTTGGCCCAACTCAAAGTGCTGGTTTTGACTATAAAGCCTTAAATGGCTCAGGACCGCAGTACCTCAAGGACTGCCTCTCTCCACATGAACTGACCCTGACCCTGTCATCATAATCTAAGGCCCTTCTTTGTGCGCCTCCTCTTTGAGAAGTCTGGAGGGAGGCAACACAAGAAAGGGCCTTCTCTGCAGTGGCTCCCCCCTTGTAGAATGCTCTCTCTAAAGAGGCTCACCTGGCACCTTCATTTTACACCTTTCAGTGCCCGGCAGAAACCTTCCTTTTCAACCAGGCCTTTGGCTGATAAATATTCTATGCCCTTTTAAATGTGTTTGTGGCAGGGGGTGCAGGGAGAGGAGTTTATTGGTTTGTGGTTTTTTCTTCTTGTTTTTATTATGCATTTTGTGTTTTTATCTTGTATTTTTTTGTTGTGAACTGCCCTGAGATCTGCAGATTAAAGGCAGTATACACATTTAAAAAAATAAAATTTAACAAATAAAAAGGGGGAGAAAAAAGTTGGTTTCCAAGCTAATATCATTAAAATAATAAACAAAGGTAAGAGTATAATTTACTGGTCTTTAAAAGTTTAAGAACTTTTGAAGTTCTCAGTTCTAAACACACTTTCCCCCCTTTTAGATGAAATTATACAAGAAGTAAAACAGGCTGGATTCATCATATCTGAAATGAAAGAAACAAACATCTCTTCCGAGTTGGCAGCGCAGTTTTATAAAAACCAAGAAGGAAAACCCTTTTATGATCAGCTTATAAATTATATGTCTGAGTAAGTGCCTGTTTTTTGTTTTAATTAAATCCACAGGAAGTATAGCAGGCCTAACTTGGAAGTCAACAAGCAGGCAGACAGCTTCTGGTACTGTCATGGATGTTTTAGGTATTTTTTGCACCTAGGGAGGAGACTCTTCCTGGACCACTTTGGACTAAAGATCAAAGAGCAACCCCATATTACGACATCTTCCTTCGCTCAGAGGTGGAGGGTGGGACCGCAGCAGTTCCAAAATGGTGTTCTGGAACTTTATGGCTGGGTTTGCTAAGGTGGTGGCAATGAATATGGCAAACAAAGCAGCATAAGGAATAGAAAGGCGGGAGCTTGCTGCTAAGTCTTCCGGGACAAAGGAAAATGACTTGTTTTGAATTCCTGTATAAAAGGGTTTGGGAACCACTGCATTTAGTATCCAAAAAACCATCCAGTCATCATAACACTAATTTTATGCTCCCTTCAACGTTTACAAAATATATCTTTAAGCATGGATGAACAAATATTACAGATTCATAGATGTCAATGTCATATACTGTATTTAACAGTCAACCCTGCATTTTTGTTTTAGTGTGTGTTTTAAATCCTTAACTTCCTGCAAGGAATACTTCCCGTATTTCATGGTGAAATACATGTATATCTTCTGGATTTTCTATGATCCAGTTTCCCAAATTTAACTGGGAACTCCCTTCCTGGTATCAAATTGCACCTTGTCAATTTTTCCTTTGTAGTCTTATCCAAGTTACAATCCACCCATCTAGATTTTGTAAAGCTAATTTTATATGCAGAAATAGCGCTGAATTATTATTTAAACTGGTTTGAAAGTTATTCAAAGATATTTACAGGATGCTGTACAATGTCTGAACTGGCAAAAAGACTCAACAAAACTCCTTTGGGAGTTAAGGTTCAGCAGTATCTGGAGGGCCAAAGGTTCCCCACCCTTGTCTTAGGATAAAAAAATCTGTTAAAATTCATTAAGAACCCTGAACTATCAGTTCCTTGCAGGATTAAAAAGAAAGTTCCTTGCAGGATTAAACCTAAAGTGGCAGAAGTACATAATGTGACTGATGAAACTTCATCCAGTTTGCAAAACAATTTTTCACACATGCAAATAGTAATTTGGTGAAATTGAAACGCCCTGTTTTTAAAAAGGTTTTTCATCCAGAGCCTTTCAGCTGCTGCATGTAGAAAAAGAGTGCTCAGAATGTGCACTGTGCAACATCCTGATGTTCTGTGGTGCAAGCATGTTGCAAAATGGCCTGTCTTATTTTTGTTAGAGGAGAGAAGGTTGTTAATCTACCTTCAGGAGTAGTGTAATTATCTCATGTAAAGCTTTTAGACAAATGGGAAATGCGTAGGTCACTGGTACATAACTGCAAAAATGAGTGAAAACTGCCTCACCTATATCCCATGCGTAATTTGGATACCATGAACTGTGCTGCTTTAGGATAAACATATACCTCTGATATATTACAATAGGCAGCATTCTGATATGAACTTGCCTTGCTCATCTTGTGCAGAATGTCCTGCTAGTTATGTCAACACCAGCAGCTACAGAATCAGATTGTTAGCGTAACATAAATCTTTGAATGCCTTGGTTTTTCCAGTGGCCCCTCAATGGTGATGATTCTAACCAAAGAAAATGCTGTGGAGGAATGGCGGCAATTAATGGGACCGACAGATCCAGAACAAGCAAAAGAAACTCATCCCACCTCATTACGGGCTAAATTTGCAAAAGATATTTTGCGCAACGCTGTTCACGGATCGTCTAATGCAGAACATGCTGTGCAGAGCATTAATTTTGTCTTTGGAGATATTGATCTAGAGGACCTAAAACACAAATATGTCTATGTCTAGTAGAATGGTCAATGTGATTTTTTATTTGCAATATATGCCATAACTAATAAATGAGTTAGACTTGTCTTTTTCTGATTAGCATTGTGTTACTAGTCAATATTGCAACGTGGAACTGTTCCACAGTGATAGCAGTGGAAATCTTGCCTTTGGCTTCAAGGAGGAAATTGCATGCTCTGATGGGGGCTACATTACATTCTAGCAGAGTGGTGTTCTACACAGACACCTTGGATGGCGAGGCTTAACGACAAGAATTTCACCATCATCAAACATCGTTTGTATAATACAAATGTGACTGAACATTGTGCTTGTAGTTCTTTCTGTGGTTAATATTGCAAAGTAATTGCATAATACGCCACTAACAGCTTTTAGACCTATTGATGATTACACGTTTCAGGAAGCTATTACTTCTGGCAGTTTGTATATGGCTGTGTTGGTGGGAAACTCTGGCACTTTCTACCCCACAACTTAGTTCAGTAATATAAAATTAAGCAAAAGTGGTATTTGATTCTTTTTAAAAAACCCTCTGTCTCTCAAGGGCAGAACTAGTTGCTTATAGCAGACACAAGGTTGTTACCAAAAAACCAGTCTTTGGACAAACTCCTCATTCCTCAGTAACATATCAGGGATATTTGGTGAATGGCATGATGCTGTTATGCTGGTGCTGTCCCGACCTTGCTCCTCTTCATTGTTTCCCATTCTCAGGCTCACATTTGTGATTCGAGGACCCCCCACCCGCGTGAGGGTAAGAAAGACACATGGACGCAGTATATTAGGTTAATGGGCTAAAAAAGGCCACACCTTTTTTGATTACAGCATGTGAGGGGTATTGGCTTAGGCATTGGATAAACAGCAGAGCTTGACTCCACCCCCTCAGGGAGGGGTTAACCAAGAAGGGTTAACCACCCGTAGGGGGAGCCTGTTGACGCAAATACAACTGTAAGCTCCCCCCTGATGTCACCGGGGGTCGTTCCATGGCCCTAGCCACCAGCAGGGCATCGGACAGGATCCACGACTGCCGGATTCCTTTAACAGAATACCCATAAAGTAAAGGGGTAGGCAATGGCCACACCCTGCCCTTCCATACACCCACAACATATTCCAATGCCTAACCGCCACCCGAGCAAACCCGGCAGCGCAATGAGGGGAAGAAGCTGCAGTGGCCGCATTTGAGCGGCTAAACTCTGCCCCCAAGCCTCCCTTCGATTGGCAGGCTGACCGGGGAATGTGGCGCGGCAGCAGTGATGACAAGCAGGGGCCGGAATGCCCCCTGCAAAGCGCGGGAACAGCTCCTGATCACAATCCCTCCCCTCCGGGAGGAGGAGAGGCTTTATGGGCCAACATCAGCTCCCTTTGCCTTTTGCAGGAAGGCGGAATGTGTGTGCCTTGAGCACTCCTACAAAATGAGTGTTGGCTCATAAGGAAAATTCCAAAATCCACACTAAAGCAACCAGCCCATCCCTAGACAAGGGGGCATCACTCCAGAGACTTGGATTCCAGTACCTGCTCTGCCAAGGAGCTATTTTGATCCACCTATTTTTCATGGTGGATGTGAGCATGAAATAATAATAATAATTGTTGTTTGTTTGTTTGTTTGTTTATACCCCACCCATCTGGCTGGGTTTCCTCAGTCACTCTGGACAGCTCCCAACAGAATATTAAAAACACGATAAATACATCAATCATTAAAAACTTCCTTTAGATGTCTTCTAAAAGTCAGATAGTTGTTTATTTCCTTGACATCTGAAGGGAGGGCATTCCACAGGGTTGGTGCCACCACTGAGAAGGCCCTCTGCCTGGTTCCCTGTAACCTCACATCTCACAGTGAGGGAATTGCCAGAAGGCCCTCAGAAATGGGATGATTCCTGTGTAGCTCCTTGAAGGAAAAGCTGGATACAAATTTAAGACAAAAATGTCAGATGCTCAGTTAGGTTTTGTTTATAAGTATATTGTTATGAGTTTTTTTGTGGGGGGGGCACTTGGGCATAGCCAGGATTTATGTTAGGGGACAGACTTTATGCTGGGGGCAGAACTGAGTTACCTGTGATGTGATTGGTCAGTTAGTCATGTATTTTTTTTTTGTTTACTTATTTAGGGGGACAGCTGCCCGCTGCACCCGCTAGCTACGGCCATAGGGGGCAGACACCCCATAATCTCTACATTCAGTGAAGGGTTAGAATTTGAGCAAACTCATAAATTCATGAATTTAGCAAGGGCTGGAAATAACATCGTCTAGTTTCCTCTTGAGATCAACCTGGTGATGGCTCGCTGGAGGTGGGTCACGGAAGAAACAAGAGGCTGATAATGGCCTGGATTGTTTGATAATGGTAAGCCATCTGCAAAACATCAGACCCTCTGCCCAGTGGCTCCTGGAGCAGGATTACCCTTGGCCTGATGTAAGCAATGGGGGCCTTTTGCAATTGGCTCAAGAAACAGAGGTTGCCAGGGTGATGGATTGGGGGATGCTGGAAGCGGAAGGGGAGGGCTTGTTTCCTGAAAATGATTCTGGGAAAGAAAAGGAGGAAGTGGGCAGAGAGATACAAGGGTGGCGCTTAAGGTAAAGGTAAAGGACCCCTGGACAGATTAAGTCCAGTCAAAGGCAACTATGGGGTTGCGGCGCTCATCTCGCTTCAGGCCAAGGCCGACGTTTGTCCACAGACAGCTTTCCAGGTCATGTGGCCAGCATGAATAAACCGCTTCTGGCACAGCGGGACACCGTGATGGAAGCCAGAGCACACGGAAACACTGTTCACCTTCTGCCTATTTATCTACTTGCACTGGTGTGCTTTCGAACTGCTAAGTTGGCAGGAGCTGGGACAAAGCAATGGGAGCTCACTCCGTTGCGGGGATTCGAACCGCCAACCTTCCAAGAGACTCAGTGGTTTAGACCACAGCGCCACTCGCATCCCTATGAGGATGGCGCTTAGGGTGCCTCTGAATCCAATGCTGCACTGCTGGGGAAGACAAGCTTTAAAGAATTAAGCTTTTTTTGTAGAGTGACATTTCAAAACTTAAATAAAAATACAGTAGTCAAATGTATTTGACTATTAACACATTTATTGACTCATACAGCGGAATGTCATTCATGGTCACTTACATTAGAAAGAAAAGGTGCAAATTCTATGCTGGCAATTATTTTACATCCCCCTGCCCTTTAATTTAAAAAAAGAAAAAAGAAAATAAGAGATTTTATTTTCACAGAAGTGAAATAGCAGAAAACTAGCAGTGTTCCAAATCATTGCAGAAGTTTCGGGCAACCCATTTGGTTTATTAAGAAGTATCAGAGCTATGGTAGTTCTTAAAATAGTGTACACTGAAACACTTAAGAAACAGATGCTTCTACGCTTCTACAAGTGCAGTCAAAAACTTACTCTGTCTCCAGGATGACGGTGGGTTTTGCTGCAGAGGCAGCTTGCAGGAGACTGGCTTTCAGCTGCGGAACCTGCCCAGAGCACTTTTACAAATGGATTTTGCTTTAAGAAACAGCAAGAGGGTGACAAACAAATGGATAAACACATGAAAGTTCATGTGGTACCTTTGTGGGTGTAAAGAACATCCCAATCCATTCATAAAATGCAAACTAATCTAGGACAGGGGAAGGAGGCGAGATCACAGCCAACGGCCAATCAAAGTTGTGCACGGCCAGCTGTGAGCTAATCAGCATTTTGGGCAACCTATATAAAAGCTTGCAGAATCTGACAAAGCAAAAGGAAATCAGTATTTCCTTACTAATAGAAAACAATAGAAAAGAAAAGAAAAAAACTTTGTGAGGTATGTACCTCTTACAGATGAATGTGTTTAAAATTAAGGTGCAAGAGATTTAAAAAATTCTCCCTGTAAAAAGATTGCTTTGACTAAAGACTTACAGACACTAAACACATTGGCCTAGCTCCATGAGATCCTAACGTACCAGCATGCACAGCCAGCTATTTTGTTTACCTTTGCACTCCAAAACCTCCCATTAATGAAAACGCAAATTACCTTTTTCAAACTGCCCAGTGTTAAAAAACATGGATAGCCTATTGGCAATTACCCTGGAGTGCAACTATGAGCGAAAATGCACAGCAGGCGACCTTTTGTCTCTGGGTTATATACATAATGTAGAACCAGTGGAACTAACTTAAATATGGTGGGGCCACAATCCAGAAAACTGCATGCATAACTGAATCCCACTGTCAGATACAGGCTGTGATGGCTGCCAACTTGGATGATGCTAAAAGAGGATAAGACAAATTCGTGGATGATATTCCTGGCTACTAGCCATGGCGGCTATTCTCTGCCTCCACGATCAGACAGTATGCTTCGGTGCTGGAAACCACTGGAGGGGAAAGTGCTCTTGGACTTTGGGGTCCAACTTGTGGGTTTCCCACAGGCAACTGGTTGAGCACTGTGAAAACCGGATATTGGACTACATGGGCCATTGTCTTAGGTACTTAGACACAAGGCAAAGAAACTCAAACCAAGCCTGACTCTGTTTCTCAGTAAAGCTATTGAATCTCGATCACCAGGCATGAACGGCAGCCTTTGGTACCTGCTGCAAGAAATTGGATGAGATGGAGGGTTCGGTTGCAGCTTCTCATACAGTGCAATGGGTACAGGAATAGTGAGGGTGGCAGCAAACTCATGTTTTAGAGAGAAACGAGAAAATCCTGTAGTTGCCGATCTTTCTGCAGGTAATAGTACTGATCTAGGGATAATTTATGGGCACAGGAGATCTGGTGCATCAAAAGATTTCCCTTCTTTCCAAAACTTCCTGTCCGTTTCAGCTACCTTCCCCCTCATCCATGCACACAATGGCAGGTGCTTGCTAACTGGCCATTTAAACAAAGGAGGCGTTTCAAAAGTGAAAGAGATCCACATGGAGGGTGGTTTCCCGATTAGGGCAGATATGTTTCAGATCAAATTGCTAGTAACATTTAAAACATGCTTAGTTCTCTAATTTTTAAAAACAATATCTCAGAACCCCACAATGGAATTGTTGCTCACTCTGTTTTAGGAATCTCTGTTCATAATAAAACGACATGCTGTAAATATGTAGATATGGGGTGGTTTCCAGCTAAGTCTTGTTCAGAGTAGAGCCATTGAAATTAATGAACCTAAGTTAGTCAAGTCCTTTAACTTCAGTGGGTCTACTCTGAGTAGGACTAGTATTAAATACCACCAATTATTCCTAAACTTTCCACACACCCCCCCAAAAGGTACTGGTTTTTAAGTACTGCAAAATGAAACATTACAACAAAAGCTGGTCCAAAGGAGAAGTTTGATTTAGTATGTTACAAAATCTGATGACAAAGAAGGCTAGCCAGGAGCGGTGGTGGTTCAGAAAAGCCTTTGTATGCTCTCACACACTTCTGCAGAACACCAGAGAAAGAGGAATATTTTGCTAGAATTCTTTTGCTAGAATTCTTATTAGGAATCAGGATGACCAAGTGATATTCCCCTGGTGGGGCTCAACTATGGAAACGTGAATTATAGTGGCTGCCCCCAATGTAAAATGTGCAAAGCCAGCCTTAATAGCACGTAGACAAATTTCCACTACACACAATTAAACCACAGGATGCTCTCCAGATGCAAACTGGTAAACTACGACTGGTTGTGCTAAGCATACCCCGAATCACCTGCTTTTCAACCCACCACATGTTAATGCAAAGCTATATCTGCAGCTTTAAAAAATCCTGTAAAAGTAAATTGTTCAAAGGATGTCTGTTTGAAATACAACACTGAACATTTACGTCGATGAGTTCAGGAAACACACCCAACTCAGCTTCTGGGAAAATTCATATGTTTTTGGGGATGATTTCTTTCTGATCACTTCTGAGCTTGTTGGTTTTCTTGGGACTAGTGAGCGCTGGGTTGGTGTTCTTCAGGTTTTGCTTTGGCATCCCGCTGCGCCCGGAGTTTCTAGCATTCTGGTTTTTATTTGGACCTGCCCGTTGCTTCTGTTCTTGGAGTCGCTGTTCCCATCTCTAGGAAAACGTAAATTAAGAAAGCGGGTTAGGGGGAGTTGGAGTCACATACGTATATCCTAATTTAGAGGTGGAACTGAAAATTCAGGCTCACTTTCAGAAATAAAGCCAGCCTGTAAACATTGTAATTTTTTTTGTATTAAGGCTGCAGATCTGGGACCCAGGCCTGACGATGCCCCTGTCTCCATCTAGTATGAGGAGGAAAGAGCCATGAAATGCAGTACGTACTTATTTCTAAAAGCTTATCTCTCCACTAGATGCCAACTTGGCATTATTTCTCATGTTTTGTGAAGTGCGAGGAAAGAAGCCTCAGAGGGAATTTCCAGCAAGGCAAACAGTGGAAGACCAAAATTCCCTGGAACCGTTTGGAAAAGGGTTTTGACAAGCCTGCCAAGGAAGTGGTCATTGCAATACAATAATATCCTCCTGAAATCTTGCGGTGCAGAAGGGAAACTGCAGGGTTGGGTTCATACCATAGCAACTTGTTTATATACAGACAGGGTTTATGTTAATATGCTTCTTGATGCAGCTTCTTGTATATATGTTCTTAATTGTATCATCCACAACAATAGCTGCATCCAGTGATGAAAATGGGCACATGGTTTTTTCCTAAAATCCCCATATTTTATTTTATTTTTGGTATTCTAAGCTCACTGAGGAAGATGGACAAAACGTTTTATTGAGACTGTATACCCCCGCAATACATATATCTCTCCACACCATCCCACTTTCCTAATGACTGCTGGCTACAGTTTTTAGAGTATAGCTGTTGAAGAGTGCGGTGAGGCAGTGCATCCTATTTTTTGAAGATAAAATATTGAGAAGCTTCATGTGGTCTTACCTTAAATCGTTTACTCAGCGGATCCTTCCATTTTTCAACTGAACATCCATCAAGAAGCATTAACCTGAAACGTTAATTGTAGAATCAAGAAGGGCACAAAAGAAATATCGTTTCCTGAATATAGAATAAAACATTTTTAAAATGCTGGGCTCATTTCAGTCAAAATCAAGCACTTCTAAGTTTTGTTTATTTCGGTGGGGAAGATGTGCCTAAGGCTGAAATCCTACACCCTCCTACCTGGGAGGAAGCCCGACTGAATTCAGTGGGTTCAGTTTCTTCGCAGAAATCAATGGATGGATTTCAACTGATTTTTACTCAGAGTAAATCTATTGAATTTAATGGACCAAATGTAGTTGTTTCCATGGGCCTGCTCTGAGTAAAACATAGCTGATTCCCACCCAGAAGAATTTATAGTGCAATTCCTTGTCTATCTATTAAAAAGTAAGTCCCTTTGAGTTCAGTGGGGACTTATTCACATCTAAACATGTCTAGGTCTGCAGTCATATGCATTCTTAACTTCTCTGGACTTTGCCCACAATATTTGATTTAGTTGCCTTTTATCAATATTCCCATTAGCAAATACAATGCAGAAGAAAAGGTGTGGCTAAATAAAAATACTGATGGTTGTCTAAATTAACTGCTACAAGATACAAGTCTCTTTGTTTTCTTATTGATTCCAGAAGAATCTTACTGATTATTTGACATCATCGTGTTTCTAGTAACATATAAAATAATTTAAAATACATTGCTTTGCTGTGAGGATAGACACCTTCCTCACGAATCTATTCCAGAAATGGTCTGAAGGAAGTTTATTTATTTTAAGATTAAGGCCACATTAAGCTCTAGAGAGGGCCCAGTCTGGTGCAAGGACTTCGGAGATTCATTTTGGACTGGACTCTACAAACAGTAGAAGAGTCAAACTTGAAATGCATCTCAAGAATGTAGCCAAAGCATCCAGGTTTCCCAGAGGATGGTTATGGATGACCTCCTTCTATGCGGTAAAAGAGAGTCAGTGCCAATTTTTTTGTGTGGTGTTAAAACAGAGGGCACAGCAGTGCAGAGCAGCTGTTTAAAAGATGCAAGATATGACTTGCACAGCCTTTGTGCTGGCATATGTGGGTGCTTGTTGTGTCAGTTCATTGTTAGATAAAATGTTTTCTTTTAGAATTAGTATTATTTTCTGCTCTGCAACACATGTGGTAGACACCCTTTCACCCTGTACTGTATCAGTCTGAGTGTTTGTGATGAGTTTTGCTGTTGTGACCCCAGTCAAATGTGAGACTTCTGCGTCTTTGAATCCAAGGCTGAGGCCTGAAATACTGTATAATCAGAAAAGGGGGAAACTGCTAGAAACAAGAATGTGGTATTTCCTTCAGCACTTTTCCAGCAAGAGACTGTTACTTCTAACATTTTTAAGAAGCCACTGTAACTCAAACCCTGTTTACATATGGCTAAGTTCAAATGAGAAACACAATATTTTGTTTTTGCTTTCTTTTTCAGATCCTTTAACAAAGCATATAAAATTAAAACCTCAATGACCTTTAAAAACATCGCTGGCAAACTTGTTCCATGAAAAACAGAATTCTTTCTAATCTTTTCCCATTCCTCAGCTTAATTTTGAAAGCCTTCACACTGATGGGTTGGCATTCTCAAATAACTCAAGATTAGTCAAGAGCAGGGCTTTTTTCCCCCTAGAAAAAGAGGTGTTGGGACTCAGCATGAAGTTGTTACAGTAACTGCCACACCTTTTTACAACAACAAAGACAGATGCCGGTACTATGTACCCTTAAGCATCCCCTGGAAAAAAGCACTGGTCATTCCCACCACCATCTCCAGAATCAAAACAGAGGAAGTCTACCTTTGCTTAAGGGTTTTCTATCCATCTTCTCTGGCTTCCTATCCCAGTGTTTTGCAAAGCTAAGCAGGGTCCAGTATGGTTTCAAACTGGATGGGGGACTGAGTGTTGAGATTCTTGCATGGCAGAGGGCTGCACTAGAGATGACCCTCAGGGTCCCTTCCAAATCTATAATTCTATGAAATCCTTGATCCAATCCCTCCTATGTATATGAGAGCTCACATTTAGAATCAAACAATCACAGAGCTGGAAGGGACCCGAGGGTCATGTAGCCCAACCCCCTGCAATACAGAAATATTTTTGCCCAACGCGGGGCTTGAACCCACAGCCCTGAGGTTAAGAGTCTCATGCTCCACTGACTGAGCTATCCCTCCATATTATTACTAATTCTATTTCTACCTCACCCTTCCCTTGAGGAGTTCAGTGCATCATGCAACCCTACTCACTGGTAGGATAAAGTGGATTTTAGTCATCGGCTCAAGGCCAGTCCTAAAGTAAAGGTAAAGGACCCCTGACAGTAAAGTCCAGTCACGGATGACTCTGGGGTTGTGGCGCTCATCTCGCTTTACTGGCTGAGGGAGCCGGCATTTGTCTGCAGACAGTTTTTCCGGGTCATGTGGCCAGCATGACTAAGCCGCTTCTGGCGAACCAGAGCAGCACACGGAAACGCCGTTTACCTTCCCGCCGGAGCGGTACCTATTTATCTACTTGCACTTTGACGTGCTTTTGAACTGCTAGGTTGGCAGGAGCAGGGACCGAGCAATGGGAGCTCACCCCGTTGCGGGGATTTGAACCGTCGACCTTCTGATCGGCAAGCCCTAGGCTCTGTGGTTTAGACCACAGTGCCACCCACGTCCCTCTAAGGCCAGCCCTACCATGAGGCAAAATGAGGCAGCTGCCTCAGGCAGCACATGCTGGAGGGTGACAGTACCAACCCCCTAGGCCAGTGGTGGCCAAACTCGGCCCTCCAGATGTTTTGGGACTACAACTCCCATCATCCCTAGCTAACAGGACCAGTGGTCAGGGATGATGGGAATTGTAGTCCCAAAACAGATGGAGGGCCAAGTTTGGTCACCACTGCCCTAGGCATTCTTTGGTAGTTGTTGCATGGCAGCATCACTGCTGCTTACCTGACAAAGGGGGTGGTAGTGGCAGCGGGTGATGTGGGCGGGCTGAGCATTTTGCTGGCAGGACCACCACCAAACGAAGTCCGCCACTTCAGCCATGGCACCCAAAGGCTCTTGGGTGCATCTGTGGGGCTGCCCTGCCCTCAGGGGCATTCTTATGTTTTTCAAGGGCTGGGGCAGCTCCATGCATGTCAAAGGGTGTTGTTTGTTGGGTTCGCCAAAAATGCAAATAAAACATGTTAAAGCAGGCATCTTGGCAGCGGTTTCTTGCCCCCGATCCTTGCTTACCTTGAGCGCCACTCATAACACATAATGAGGACATCTTGGTTTGGTAGAAGAGGAGGACATTGGCAGGAGGAATTTGTATGCAGAGGCATGAGAGAATGGGGAACAGGAGTTGAAGATTTCAAGACGTCTTTCACGTCAACCATTGTGGTTATTTCATTGCAGCCTCCTCTCTCTAAGCTCTTGACTTTAGCACGAATAACTGCAACACATAAAGCAAAGATAAACCATAATGCCACTTAGCTAACAGCCGATACTATATATGGTTACTCAGAATCCAGTCTCGCTAAGTTCCACTGCAAGCGGCACATTTGCTACAGAGTAAGTCCCACTGAATTGTGAGACTTGCTCCTGCTTCAACAGACTTCGGATCTCTCGCTGCAAGCCTGCAAGTACCATCTCTGAAATTATAAAACCTTTTAAAAACATCTCTAAAATATGAAACAGGAAGGAGTATTTTTTGCTTTAGGCAAAAGTTGATGGAAGTTGAGATGACACTTTATTTAGGCACATAAATACACACATAAATGTATATAAAGATGCATTTATTTTTATTTTCTTGCTTGCTTCTGCCCACAGCTCATTCTACTGATTTCAAATGATTACACCAGTGAGAAAGAATAGGAGACTGATGTGCAAATGACTGGTTTTCAGTTCCTAAATGCCCTGTGCCTAGGATATTTGAGGGCTGCCTGCCTGAGTAGGATTCCTACCTCCCCTGAGAGCTGAGATCAAGCCCTATTGTGAATCCCATTGCCTAGGGAGACAAGGTTATCATTAACCAGGAACAGGGCTTTCTTGGTGGTGGCTTCTCCTTTGTGGAATTGCCTTTGAAAAGAAGCCTACCAAATCCATTCTCACTGATCTTTTAGAAGGTCAGTTTAAACACTGAACTTTTATCTGGCCTTCTGTGCTCCATCCTGTCTCATGTTTGCCGTGCATTTATGGGTGGCATTGTACCAGAATGTGGAGATCCATGTTCATTCAAATGAACAGCAGTGTCTACCTTTGAGACATACATTCTGACGCATGCTTAGATAAACATCAGACCTACGGCTACCATTCCTGGACCAATAAGTGAGACATGTGATGAAGCCTGCTGACTCTTTGGAATCATCAAATCATAACACTGTAGATTTGGAAGGGACCATGCTTTAGTATTCTATTCAGAATCGCTAATAACCACTTTGGGGACCAATGGCGCAATCCTATACAGACCTTCCCAGTAGTAGGTCTCATTGAATTAAGTGGGCTTATTTTGAGTAGGCATGCATAGGGTTGCTCATAATTGTTGAAAAGTGCCACAGGTATAGGAAGAACAAATGATACAATTTTGATACCAGTCTTGTTAATCCAGTCTTTTCAACATCTCCTTTCTCATCCCATTCCTGTCCCTTCTCCTGCGCTTCCACAAAAAATGTAAACACAAAGGCAGGCAATCTTTTATTTCCCCACAGAACCTTGTATTCTGGGTATTGTCAAAAACAACAATGGCTTTGAAACCTGGATATTAGCACTAATTTTGCATTGAAACACATTCCATTTGTCAGTACAAACACATTTCACATGATCAATTTATAATAGATTTCTAGTGAGATTTATCCAGTGTATTTGTCCTGTGTATGGATTCATTTATTTTTACCCTTCCTAAAATAATGCCCTGCTAATTTAATCATCTGAATTTATAAAGTAGGTATTTGGCATTTTAACACAGGGAGTGCTTTTATCCTGCTGTTGATTTCAGCAGAACTCAGCTGAGTTTTCATCTCTGCAAGATCATATCTGGACATAAGATATTTGGGAGCGGAGGTGGATTCTGCAGTCCTATACAACTTACTTGAGAGTAAGCTCCAATGAATACTTTTTGCCCACAATTCTATGCAAATTTTTTTTAGAAAGCTAATGTTTACTGAACATAGTTATGATTGAGTTTTTATTCCCTTCAACGTGATGGGACTTACACCTTGAATCTGTGCATGTTTACTCAGAAGTAAATACCATTGAGTTCAATGGGGCATACCCCCAACCACTGAGTTTTCCAATATTAAACATGGAGCTGTAAAATGTGTAGATTTCACTGGCATCTAGCTTATTCAGGAATGCACCCAAATATCCTTTCTCTTAGGTATTAAATCAGAAGTATTACTATTATTTGAGAAACACGGTGTCTTATCCGGTTGTTGTTTTTTAAGCAACACTTTTGTGCCTTGTCCAACTGAGACCCCCAAAGTCGCAATCCCAAGTGATTTGGATCTAAGAAATAAGTTATTTCATTTTCTCTCTTTTCTTTCCCTTTAAGAAGAAATAACATGCATTTCGGTAAATCTCGGTGTCTTCAAAAACCACTGAAGTCTGGTTCTGATGTGGGAGAAAACCCAAAGTTCTGGAGGAAAGAAGCAACGATAAAATCGCTGCCACGATTCGTTTTGAATCGTGTCTTTTATATGTATATTTTTTCTGAACTCGGATAATTAAAGGGATCAGATTTCCCGAAGAACCGAAGTCCGCTGAACGAAAAGGGCCAAAAAGGGAGATCCCGATGATACGAAACCAGCCACGAGACGGGAGAAAAGATAACGCAGCAACTTTTCACTTTTTAAATAGAAATAAAGTGTTGCCGACTGACTCACCGTAAGAGTAGTTTTTGGTCAGATACGTCGCCAGAGTGGGCTTGACCTTCTTGCACTTGCAGCGCTCTGCATTGAAAGCAAAACAGAAAAATATACATATATATAATGGAAATACACATATTCGGCGAGCTGATCGTGTCCGGTCTTAGAAAGAGGCGCTCACCGTGGCTCGAGGTCTTGCACTCGGGAAACAGAGGCTTTTCGTGGACCATCACGTCGTCAGATAAATCGATCCACTTCACGTCTTCTTCAGGAGGGAACACACAAAATGGAAAAGGAAAAGAAAAAACAGAAAAAACCCGGGAGCAATTAGAAATTTGATGGGGGGGAAGGAGAGGGATTTTCCTTTAATTTTTAGAAAATATATCCTCATCGGAGAAAGCTGGTCTGACAACTTCTCAAACCCCGGAAAAGCGCGCACGTCCTGGAGCCCCGTTGGCAAGCTGAACCCCAGCGCAGTTACTCCCAAGTCAGCCCCTTCGCTTTCCATGGGATTTACCCTCCGAGCAAATGTGCTCAGTCTCCGGGTCGCACTGAGGAGTGCCAGCTCGCTTGGAGGGTTTCCTTGGGAAAAAATCCTTTGAAACTGTAATTACTTGTATGTTTTTAATAGATCTTTTATATATACGTATAGTTTTAATTCTATTAGTTTAATTGTTTGTTTTTAGCTGCACTTTTTAGCCGTTCTTATTTAATCTGTAAGCCGCCTTGAGTCTCTGTCGGGGGAAAAGACGGGGCATAAATAAATATTATTAATAATAATGGCGAGCGCCTACTGCCCTTGTTTCCGAGGGAGGCTGAACTTGCGTCTAGGTGGGACCTCTTTGGCAAGGCGTCCCAACCTCGTGGGAAGATCTGACCTGCCTCGTTTCCTCCTCTGCGGGGAGGCTTGCTTCCCTACCCGGGATCAGGCCGCCAGGGGAAAGGCAAGTCCCTCCGAAATCGCGGGGGCATCTTGCTCCGGCAACGAGGTTGGGGTGCGCCAGCCTCATTTGGGAGGCCTGCCTGGGGCTCTCACAGACCTAAGTGCCATCGAACTTACTCCCAGGTAAATATGATCATAGAATGGTAGAGCGGGATGGGACCCCCAGGCTCATCTAGTCCACCTCTCGCCCTGCATCCCTGGCAGACGGCCGTCCAGCCTCTGCCTCCAAACCTCCAATGGACTCGTCCTTGTCCGGGGCGCAGACAAGTCCGTGCCCTCCTGCCCGCCCCGTCCCGTGTAGCTCTGCTCTCCTCACCTTCCGGCAGATCCGTGACGATGGCCTCGGGGGCGATGCAGACCCCTCGGTCGTAGACGGGCAGGTCTTGGCAGGCCAGGGCTTCGGGCCAGCTGTGGTTGTACCTCTTCATGAGGGGCTCGCAGCCGTCTCGGGCGCGCTGGCACAGCGCCTTGCAGGGCTTGATGGGGTCGTGCAAGAACTCGACGGCGCAGATGGGCGCGTACATGGCGCACAGGAAGAAGCTGAGCACCGGGCTGCAGCCGGCGGCCACCAGCTCGTGGTACTGCTCGATGGCCAGCACGGCGTTCTCCTGGGTGCTGTGGTGCAGGTGGTTGGGCATGCGGGTCATGTTCCAGGGCATGTGGCGGCACATGGGGATGCGCACCGGCTCGCAGGGGGAGCCGGGCAGCCCCGACGTGGCGCGCCCCAGCCACAGCCCCAGCCACGCCAAGAGAGCCACCGTCGCCATGGCCGGAGAGCTTCGCGGAGGGCGCGCCGTCGGTTGTCTCTTGGAGAGGCGGCGAGGGAGCCGAGTGCCAGCCCTGCCTTGCTCTGCGCGCAGCTCGGAGCCAGGAGGTTGCAGGCAGAAGCGGACTTGGCCGGACCCGCTTTATAAGCGGTGCCGCCGATGACGCGCGAACGGGGTCGCCCGCTCGAGGCCGTCCGTCGGGCCGGGGGGAGATGGGGGCGCTCTTCTCCCCAGGCACGCACGTTGACATCACTTGCCTCGGCTCCCTTTAATCCCGGAGCGACATCATCGCCGGCTCCACGTTTCTCCCGGGGCGTCTCCAAGCGCCGATTCGTTTCCCCCCAACGAGAGGTTTGATGCGCGCAATAAATCATGGAAAGAGATTTGGGGAAAGGTGGGTGGCAGCGGGAAAGGGAGGAGGCGAGCTGGATCTCTCCCTCTGCGCCACGGCCACAAATTCAGACGAAGGAGCTTAGCTACTGCTGCTGCTTATTAAAAGCCAGGTTTAAATTTTCCCTCCTCCTGCGCCTGAAAGCCGTATAGAATCATAGATGGAAGTGCAGTGGAGCTTACTCCCAGATGATAGATAGATAGATAGATAGATAGATAGATAGATAGATAGATGATAGATAGATAGATAGATAGATGACTACACAATGATAGAATTGTACAGTTGGAAGGGAACAGGAGGGTCATCTATTCCAACCCCCTGAAATGCAGGAACCTTTTTCCTTGAACCAACAACCCTGAGATTAACTCTCATGTTCCACCGACTGAGCTGTCCAGCCACAGCAAGTATATAGGGGAATGTACATACATTTATAGATAGATATACCCCTTGGTATTCCTGCACTAATTATACACCATTGGGCACATTAGGTTGCCATGTGTCCAGGGCTGGAGCTTCATGCTCCGGCACTGGTGGGGGCCAGGCTGCTGCACGTCCTGGGGGTGTGGCGCGCCACCCGCAGGGGCATGGCACCTAGCGTGGGCGGGGGGCAGCCACGATAGCACCCCACCAGGATTGTGCTGCCGGGGGCATTCCTCTTCCTCTGCCAGTGCAAGTGTCCTCTTTTTCCAGGACATGTCCTCTTTTTCATGAATAGAGTCATAATAGCGATCCATAGTTAAAAGTAAAAGGTAAAGGGACCCCTGACCACTAGGTCCAGTCGTGGCCGACTCTGGTGTTACGGTGCTCATCTCGCTTTATTGGCTGAGGGAGACGGCGTACAGCTTCCGGGTCATGTGGCCAGCATGACTAAGCCGCTTCTGGCAAACCAGAGCAGCGCACGGAAACGCCATTTACCTTCCCGCCGGAGCGGTACCTATTTATCTACTTGCACTTTGACGTGCTTTCAAACTGCTAGGTTGGCAGGAGCAGGGACCAAGCAACAGAGGCTCACCCCGTTGCGGGGTTCGAACCGCCAACCTTCGGATCGGGAGAGCGATGCTGCACCAGCAGTGAGCAGTGTTCAGACATGAGCCTGAACAGCACCAGTGCACTGACAAACGAAAACTTCTCACAGATGTGGAGATGGTAGGGTTATTATAGTGGTCCACAGTACATGTATTCATTTTTTCCTGTCTCACTGTGATCATTAGTCAAACCAGTTCTGCATATTTTCCATCTAAGCAAAGTCTAAGCTGGAGTTTGTTGACATGACTGTCCATATACATGTGCATATGGCTGTTCCTCCCAGCTACTAGCGGGACAATGCAGGTGACTTTAGTGATGAGGACCACACTCCATCCCCCCTGGACCTGGAAAGTCTTGGTTCAATTCAAGAGGTCAGTTCTTGTGTTCTTAATAGGTATGAGCACCAGAGCTGACCTTATGAATTAGACCAAGATCCGCTTAGTCCAGAATTTGTTTCCCAACTGTGACCAGCAAGCTGTTTCTGGGAAGTTCACAAACAGAGCATGTAGGTAACAAGTCTCAACAGGGAGCATTTATTTATTTGATTTATTTCCCACTCTCTTCATAAACAACCTTGGGGCAGGTCACGTCCATTCAAAGGTTTTTTTTCTTATAAAAACAACAAGAAAACAAAACAAAACTTCAAAACATCAGTGAGCACAACTCCTCAACTGTCTGGCAAACGTAGTCCATTAAAAATATACAATCAACCCTAGAGTCCATTTTTTATGAGATAAACGTTTTCACCTGGCACAGGCAAATCAGTAACACCAGTTTAACCTCAGGGAAGACAGTATTCCACGAGCTGGGTACCACTGCCAAGAATACCTTGACAAGTTCGGGTAAGCTCTTGGCAATGATGAAACCAAAATAGCTGCACCAGTAGATCTCACTTATCACACGGATATGCTGCCACTCACATGGAAGTTTCTGGTCAGCTGTCGTGACTAATAGCTGCTGGTAGACCTCTGCTCCATGAATTTGCCTCCTTCTGTAAGCCACCTAAGTTAGTGGACATCAATTGCTGCTTCTTGTCACACTGAATTTTATTGATTGATTGATTTGTTAAATTTATATCTCACCTCTCCTCCCAAAGGAGCCCAGGGTGGCAATCAAGAATTGATAGAACAATAGAAACATATTTAAAACACATTAGAAGCAATTCCAATAGAGATTCAGACTGGGAAAGATCTCAGCTTAATACTCTTGTTGAAGAGGAAGGTCTTCAGTATGTGCTGAAAAGACTAAAGAGACACTTGTCCAATATTCAAGGCCCAATTCCTACATGGAGTTGGACAGACCTCCTGATAAGGTGGCATCTGTAGGAAGCCCTCACCTGCAAAGTGTGAGGTATATAAGGAGTCTTTCATCTTTCGGGCATCCTGGTCCCAAGCTGCGTTGGGCTTTATACACCAAAACCAGCACCTTGAACCTAGCACACTAGCTAACTAGCAACCAGCGCAATTCCTTGAACCATGGGGCAGCATGTTGGCGACATCCTGCCCCAGAGGGTAGTTGACCCATTGCATACTGCATTATTTGCAGCTTCTGTACCAACATCAAGGGCAGCCCCACACAGAGTGCATTGCAATACTACAAGCTTGGAGGTTATCAGCACAGTTATAAGGCAATTGGCCAATTATCCAGACTCTGGACCACTCACCAACAGCACCTCAATCTTGTGAGGATTCAGATTCAGTCTCTTGGCCCTCATCCAGCCCACCATTGAGACCAGGCACTGTTTCAGGGTCTGCACAGCCTCTCGTGATTCATATGTTACAGACAAGTAGAGATGGGTATCACCAGCGTTCTGACGACACCTTGCCCTCAAATATCATAATGACCTCTCCCAGAGGCTTCATATAGATATTAAACAGCATTGGGAACAAGATGGGACCCTGCAGCACCACACAGCACAACTGCCAGGGGGCTGAAAGACAATCATCCAATGCTATTCACTGAAACCAACCCTGGAGGTGGGATTGAAAGAACTGTGGGTTCCAATACCTAACCCATCAAGTCATCTCAGAAGGGTACCATGGTGAATGGTATCAAAAGTCAAGTAAGAACAACAGGGTGACACTCTCTTTGTCCCTCCCCCAATAATGTTCATCCCTCAGGGTAACCAAGTCCAATTTAGTCCTGTGATCCTTCATCCTAAGGCCCCAGGTATTGTGGTCATGTGGGCACACATGAATGGCTTTCAGCCATGATGGCTATACTACCTACAGGTTCAGAGGTGATGTGCTTCTGAATACCTGGGCCTAGGCTGAAAGGGTCAGGATAATCCTCCTTCTGGAGCAAAAATCAACTTGAGGGTGTACTATGCCCTATGTCACAGACTGGAGGCCATGAAATCCTGAGCCAGAACAATAGAGGCAGCCTCAGCATGGATGTTGAAATCACCAGGAATATTGTTCTGGGTTCCTTCAACACCACACTCAACACCACCTCCACTGCATTGGTCAGAGAAGGTGCAGGATGGACAGCACACCAGCAGCAGTCCTAGTCTCCTTTCTCCTGGGCCCAATATCAGGCCCAGGATGTGCCCTCAAAGCCAGCTCCAAGACAGAAAAAATCCTTGGTGATAGAAATCCTGGGGACCACGGCAACTCCTCCCTCCATCCCTGCAGCCTGTGCTGATGCTACAGCAAGTATCCAGGTGGGCACAGCTGGGTCTGATAATTTTGTCCATGCTCGCCCACACAGGTCTCAGTAATACACACCAGACAGGCACTAAATCATGGATAATGGTGGTGTTATCTTACAAGTAACCAGGAACCTGTCCATGGGAGGAATGGGAGTGAAGAACAAGACATAAATAGCCTTCTGCTCCTCTTCCACCGTAACCTAACACTTCCCATGGCTGTATCTTCCTCTGCCCATGATCACAGAAACTGGGGTGACATCACACATGTCTCTTCCTATCCAAACTCATCCCAAACACATTATGAAAACAACACCAACAAAATCTACCACAACCAAATATTTCAGAAAGAATTTGGAACAGTATTACTAAACATTGTATGTTCTTAAGCAGAGGTTGGATGGTCATCTGCCACGCATGCTTTAGCTGAGATTTCTGCATTGCAGGGGGTTTGGACCAGATTCCTTCCAACTATACAATTCTGTGGTTCTATGAAAGTCTACAGAACCTACCAAGTCACAATCACTTCTGCCCTCCAACTCACACCCGAAGAGGGCCAGCCTTCTGCCAGAAACAGACTCTCACTCTGAAGGCACCTGCAGACTTTCTTCGGACCCTGGGTCAGACAAGGAGTCCCAGTCTTTGCAGAACAGTTAAGAGGGACCTCGGCAGAGCACCCATAAGTTCACAATAGTGTTCTATGAAGAAGTATCCTTTATTAATGCAGATCTTTAGAAAGAAAGAAAGAAAAAAGAAGTGCTCCTGAGAGTAGTAATTGGGGAAAGGAGAAACTGGCACTCCACAACACAAGCACTGCTGGTCTAGAAGGGTGTACTAGTTGCTATAGGCACCTATTGGATAATGCCAGTGACATCACTAGTGATGTAAAACATAATTATTTCGGCCATGTCACATTTGATTTTTATTTATTTACATTATTCAGTATGGTGAGATATATATGCTCATCAAATTGTCCGGATTCATATTCATATTGTCCTCAAAATACAGCAACAATCACCTTCCATTTCAAGTGTGTGCTCATATTTTCTGAAACCCATTTTAATTTTGTGAACCAATCCAGCCTTTGATTTCCTGGGGCACAATCCAATCATCCCCTGAACACAATCTTGACCAAATAGCCTATCCCTGCCTACGTGTCCCATCTAGGGAATGAACTAAAACATATCTCCAATATGTTGTTCTCCTTCTTCATTAGCTACTCATCCTAAGCATAGCTGTCAACTTTTCCCTTTTCTTGCAAGGAATCCTATTCAGAATAAGGGAATTTCCCTTAAAAAAAGGGAAAAGTTGACAGCTATGATCCTGAGGCCCCAGGTATTGTGGTCATGTGGGTACACATGAATGGCTTTCAGCCATGATGGCTATACTACCTACAGGATCAGAGGTGATGTGCTTCTGAATACCAGTTGCTGGCAAATACTAGTGTAGAGTGTTGTTGTGTTCATGTTCCACTTGCAGGTTTCACATAAGCTTCTGGTTAGCCACTCTTGGAATGGGACCCAAGCCTTTGGCCTGACCCAGCAGAGCTCTTTTTATGTTATGTGGTGGATTCAGGGACACAGAGCACCATCTGAAAAACATACTTACATTGTCTCCACTCTCCACTTCCATTATGGAGTTTTTTAGTTAAATCGCTGAAAAGCTGTCTGTGACACCACAGCTAGTAAGGTTAACATCTCCAAGATGGAACAACGCACCCACCTGACTCCTTCAGGATAGCACCACATGTAAATTGACACTAGTGATGGGGAAACCAAACCCAAACACTGCAACATGGAGCAGAAAGAGAATTTGCTGTTCATATCTTCTTTTTTAATCTTTAGCTGAAATATATATATATATATATATATATATATATATATATATATATATATAATCTCAACAATTATGTAGCTGCATAGTTGCAGAACTATCTGGACACATTATACCCTTTCAATTAAAGTTAAATGCGCCCATTCTAGGAAAGCTGGGCAATGAAATATAGGTCAACAAGGATGCATGTACAAACCTTATTTACTGCACAGGAACCCAGAGCCTACTTAGGGTTTTTATTTGTTTGCAGTTAAATCTCAGTGGAATAAGCTGGACTGAGATCCTTGTAAATGGGTTTTGGTCAAGACCTTATATTCACATGTGACTCTGTAGATATTGCTGGTCCCTGACACCCATCATTTGCCGTCACTGGTTATGCTGGCTGAGGCTGATGGGAGTTGAAGTCCAACAACACCTGGGGACTACAGGTACTCCATTGCTGCACCAGTACTTCCCATATGCCATTGTACTGCCAAGTACTATGAGTACAAAGTACTAGCTGTAGTAAGAATAGTATTGTATGGGTTAACAATGGCAGGATGCCCATTAAGATTTTGTGAATTCCCACTGTTAATGATGCAAACATCATCTGTCCTTTCTTCTGACCTCACTATTTAATATTCCCCACCCCCTCAATCTGTTTATATAGCTGCAACTTAGGATAACACTTCATGCATCTGACGAAGCACACACTGGTCCAGGAAAGGTTATGCCATAATAAATGTGTTAGTCTGTAAGGTGCCACAAGACTTGGTTGTGTTGGCTACAGCAGACTAAGCCAAGCTTTCTGGACTTGGTATTCGTAGACTAGGGTGGGATCCCAAACACAGAGCATAGGAAACTGCCGTTTATCATGGGTCCACCTAGCTAAGGATTATCTATAGCAGTGGTTCTCAAAGGGTGTGGCATGGCACACTGGATGCACAACCAGAAACTAACCACACCATTCTTCAAGAGCATTGGCTATTGTTCTACAATTCTCCAAGACATATTGCTGAGAACAGGGATTTTCAATTCTGACAAATATGAGAGATCAGAAAAGAGACTTCTTTGTGGTGATGAGACAAGTTTCTTTGTCTCAAATTAGTTAGTACACATACTTAAGGTGCATATGTAAGAGGCTCGTTTATCATCATATATTGAGAAAGATACATGTTCTTATGTAGCTGCATTGTTTTATATTTTCTGGATGTCACATGGTCATATTATAAAGTACTTGTGTTCTGTGTTATAAATCAAGCACTGTTAGGAGTTGCTTCTTTTGTTTTCCAATGTGTTTCTTATCAATAAAAAAAGGGGGAGCAATTTTTTATTCTCAAAGTGTGGCTCAGAGAAAGAAGTTTGGGAACCACGGGTCTGTAGTGGCAGAAAGTGGCTTTCCAGAGTTTCAGACAGGGGGCATTCTCAGCCCTACCTACAAGTGCTGGGCACTGAAACAGGGACCTTTCTGCACGCAAAGCAGACACGCCATTCTTCTACTGAACCAGACCCCTTCCCTCTAAAAATATATGCATGAACTCTTATTTATTCGGAAGGAAGTCCTAGAGGCTTTACTGCCAAAAAATTATTGCTCAGTGGCAAAATTGAGGTTTTTTTGGAACCAGTTTTGTCTGGAACCAGTGTTTTTTTTCTTAAAAAAATGTTTAGGGGTACTCCCATTTTCCTACTCATATTGAAATACTGCCCCTCAGTGAGGCCAAACTTAGATTCACAAAATGTTTAGGGGTATGCGTACCCCTGTGTCCCCCCTCAGAAAAAAGCACTAGTTCCAGGACTAGATTGTTTGGTAAAGAGACACCACCCAGGTCCAACATCTATGTCATTTGAAACGGGTTTGTGGGAAGTGGGGTGTTTTGGTTCGTTTTGGTTCTAGTTTTTATTGTGTATCTTGTGTTCTCATTTTGTATTTTTATGTTGTGCACCACTCTGTGATGTTCGGATGAAGGGCCACATACAAATTTAAGAAATAACAACAATATTTGGGTTTTGGTTCTGCAACGTGCGGTTTCCAGATTATATACTTTTGGGGGGGGGTATTAAAAATCGTTTAATTAGAACGCCGAACGAATCGCAGAGACAACACACTGAAGAGAGGCATTTCGGATTCCTCGTTAGGAATACTGCATCCGACACGGCCTCGGTCCGGACTGATCCGGACCCCTTTGGGTGCCAAAATAATCGCGCGAAGCGATGGAGCCCCGGAGCCTCCCTTGGCGCAGCTTCGAGATGCGCTTCTACTCCGCGGCCGTTAGGAAGCGCAATGCGGCGGCGGCGACGTTTTGCTGCCTTTCCAAGCCGAGGAAGGCGAGTGGAGCGGGCTCTCTCTTCTTCTTCCCTGGCGCAGAGGAAGCAGAGAGCTTGTTGGGTAAAGAGACGGTGCCCGTTTGGGCTGCCGCGGGCTCCCTCTGCAGTTCCCGTCCCTCGGCTGGTTGCAGCAGCAGCAGGCTCGGCCCCGCGCTCGCTCCCCAGCCTCTCTCGCCGTCCGAAGGGGCCCTTGGAGAGCGAGCGACCCGGCGCCCTTGCAGGAGAGCGCGGCGAGGGACATGGCCCTGGGCGCCTTCCCCGGGCGGCTGCTGCTGCTGGCGCTGCTGCTTGGCGGCGCCTTAAGCCTGGCCGGCGGCGCCCCGACGGCAACAAGCGCGCCGCCGGCCGTGCCTTGCCAGGCCCCGCTGCAGTGGGAAGGGCGCACGGTGGTGTACGACCACAGCACCGGCAGGAACACCCGGGCGGCCGTGTCCTACGACGGCCAGAACCAGCGGCTGCGCATCCTGGAGGAGAGGAAGCAGCTCATTCCTTGCAAGAAGTAGGTGCAACGCGCCCCGGCGCAGGTTCTCCCGTGCGCTCTCGGGGGGGCGCAGCAGCTGCAGCGCGGGCTCCGGGGAGGGCTGTTCCCCCCTTGGCCGCGCCTTCCGTGGGGTGGGGATGGGGATCCTCTTGCCACCAGCCAATCGCGGCTCCCCTGCCGCTGTCTTGCGTAGGGGAGCGTGTGAATGATGCGCGATCCCACGGCCAAGCAACGGCGACAAAAGCGCACCAAGTTCCCCGGCCACGCTGGGCGCGATTCTCAGGGCTGCCCTTCTTCTCTGCAGGCTGCTTGAATTTGGGGGGCTGTCGTTGGAATGTAGCTCGTGAAAACCCCCAAGTCGGGGAGGGCTTTGCGCGGGAGCTCCTGTGGAGCCCCCGAAACGCAGGCGGTGTTTTCAGTGACGGGTAGCTGAGATCTTGCAGGGGTGGAACCGGCTGTTGACAAGCGCAGTTTGCAGCAAATCGCGCGCGCGTGTTTTTCTTCTGTTTTGGATTCCAGCCACCCACGCCCCCTTTCCAGGACACTCCATTTCATCAACCCTTACCTATGCACTCAGTAGAGATCTAAGTGACTGGAAAGACTCTACACTTTTTGGGCTTTTTCTTTAGTTACCCACAACCCCGCTTAGATCTCTCCCAATTCTCCCATACAAAGCCTATTTTTTGCAAACTTAGAGATTCCCGCAAGCCTCTGTCTGGATGGTTCCATTTTGGCCATGTATGGATTTATGATGGTGACAGATATTTGTGTCATTTGTGTCATTGACCAGAACCACAATAGTCCACCTATTGTAGAGATAGAGTCAACAGAGATAGAGTTAGCCATTAAAATATTAACCAGCCCATTTTTCCCCTTCTGAGTTTGTATCTTTGGTACCCTAGGGAGCAAGCAAGGAAGAGGCCTGTCGTTCTTGCAGTGTAATCTGAAGGATATTACTTGTCTTCCTTCCCCACATGTTTTCCTTCTACAGTTCTTCCATTCAGAACATTTTTCTGATAATTTAACAGATACTTAGAAATGCATCGGATGCAAAACGGAGTTCATCCAATCACATCACACTTATTAATATATGACTCTGACATTTAGCATATTTCTCTGCTACTCAAAGCAGTTTGTTTCACAATATTTATATACTGCTTTCCAACAATAACGGTTCTCAAAGCAATTCACAGTAAATCAGATTTAGAAGCAGAGTGTTATAAAAAAATATTCCATAATTAAATTTCATGGAATAATTAACTGCTGTATGTTGCACTTGGTGATTTGAGAGTATGATGGGCTGGTCAGAAGCAGGAAGGGTCAGGGCTAGGATTAGCCTGCTCCCCCCACGCTCCCTCCCAGGCCTCCACAGCTACAAGCGGCCAGCATACTTGTGTCAGTCTTCCTTCAGATCTGATAAGGAAGCACCATATGGCAGAGTGAAAATATAACAGCAAATGTCTGGAGAGCAGAAGGTACCTCTCAAAACAAACAGTGTGTGAGCAGGTGTCTCTTAAGTTTCTTAAGTTTAAGGATGTGTTATAAAAGGTGCAAATAGTTTCTCCTCTATTAAAATTACAGTTATTATTATTATTATTATTATTATTTATACCCCGCCCATCCGGCTGGGTTTCCCCAGCCACTCTGGGCGGCTCCCAACTGATTAAAACAGAATAAAACATCAAATATTACAAACTTCCCTAAACAGGGCTACCTTCAGATGTCTTCTAAAAGTCAGATAGTTGTTTATTTCCTTGACATCTGATGGGAGGGTGTTCCACAGGGTGGGCGCCACCACTGAGAAGGCCCTCTGCCTGGGTCCCTGTAACCTCACTTCTCACAGTGAGGGAACCGCCAGAAGGCCCTCGGAGCAGGACCTCAGTGTCCAGGCAGAATGATGGGGGTGGAGATGCTCCTTCAGGTATACAGTTCTGGTTCAGAAAACGTCACATTAACTTCAGCCACCTAGGATTACATCTGAAATATTGTTTTGTTTTGTTTTTAAAATAATATTTATTATTTTTCCAAAAACTTAAACACTAAAAAGAAAAAAAAAACCAATACAATACAACACATCAAATTAACAAAACAAGACAAAGACAATAAGATAAATCAAACAATTTCATTATCTCCTCTTTCATTTACTTATTTCCACGACCTCCTCACACCTCCCTTTTTGTATTCCACTTCTGTTAATTATTTCAGCAATTCCTTTCCATCTTCCTCTGTTTTCTATCCTATAATTATCTTAACTCATTCTAACCTTATTTTTCCTTTAATGCTCTATTAACCTATCTGTACTTAATTCCTTATAATATTTCTACTAAAGCCATATAACTTCATTCCAACATTTTTCTAGCATTCATTAATTTTACAGTATTTCTGTAGATAGTCTTTAAACTTTTTCCAATCTTCTTCCACCGACTCTTCTCCCTGGTCTCGGATTCTGCCAGTCATTTCCGCCAGTTCCATGTACATCAACTTCATCTGCCATTCTTACATCTGAAATATTGTGATCAATTGTGATTCAGCGGTTTTTGCCTCTGGGTAGCTATCAAGAAGAAGACCATACTAGTAGCAATTCCTACCAGTTTCAACTGCTTACTCTTGAGAGTTATCCAGGGATCACAATATTTGTCTGCAGAAGTGTGAACACCACCCACCTCTGCTTACTAGAGACAGTGCACTATTGTTTACACCAGGCCCGTCCAACTCCCAAGAGACTGGGATCTACTTCCAGTATAACAAAACTGACAGTGATCTACCCATTGTCATTGAGGATTGACCAGAGTTGCTGAGATTTGAGAGTTGTTGCTCCACTAACTAATGTATCCAGTGCTAAAAACACTCGTGATATTCCCAAACGCCAAGAGAAAACGCCTAATGCTGCCCACTTGACGCGACGGAGGGACAGAGTGAGGGGGGCGGGGGGGCACGGAGACATTCATTCCCCAGTTTTTTTAATCCTACGATCGATCAGGATCCCGCGATCAACCAGGATCAACGGGGATCTACCTGTCAATCGCGGTCGACCAGTTGAACATGTCTGGTTCACACCAATCCAAGAATGAAATAGATGATTCAAGAGCAGCTGATTGGCTCTCTTTCGACTTGCACCAGGTTCCCAAATGTAGATCTGTAGTATGGTTGCTAGAGGTTAGTTACTTCTAACTTGTAACAACGAGGCTCCATCGTTGGAGGCCCAGAATGGTGGGGAAACCAAGGGGGGAATTGAAGTGAAGTGAACTGATGGCATAACTTCCTTCTTGACCTTTGCAAACAATGATTGAAAGGTGCGTGGTAGATTCAATTCACCAGTTTGGGAAGGGGTGGGGGGAAAGTAACTTGGTAAGAGTAGCGTTATTGATCATTATACTAGTCAGTTCTGGAAAACTTTGATCTTGGGAGATGTTGAGTCATTGTGGCCATTGTCCAGCTAAGCACTCAAGGATGGGACGAACTCTGCACAGTTTAATGGAAGATCTGCCAGCTCTCTGGCACTGCTTTCTCCAACATCACTCAGTTTGGCTTGGCACATAATCTGGTAGAGATACATGAATTGGTTTGTGGCAAGGACTATGAAAGAGCAGGAAATGGAATGCTAGCATCCCCGCTAGTGCAGAATTGAGAGAACCCAACTGTTTAAAACTGTTTGGCAGTTGAATAAAACCTTATTCTTTAGCTCCAAGGGACAGTTTATACAATCAGCAGAATCATGGAAAAGATTACCAAGCTGTAGGTAGAGTTGCATGTTTGAATGCTCTCCCATTTCCTTCACATTGAAAACCAGCATGTAGGGGAGAAGGGTTCAGCCTCTCCCTTCCTTGTCTTCCTCTATAGGTCTGAAGTGCAGTTTCTTTTGTCTGTGAGGTGGGTTGTTCAAATATACAGAGCTCTTTCTTTTGTCTGTGAGGTGGGTTGTTCAAATATACAGAGCTCTATCTGCAGCCTGAAGTGATACAGTAAAAGGTAAAGGTAAAGGGACCCCTGGCCATTAGGTCCAGTCACGGACTCTGGGGTTGCGGCGCTCATCTCGCTTTATTGGCTGAGAGAGCCGGCATACAGCTTCCGGGTCATGTGGCCAGCATGACTAAGCCGCTTCTGGCGAACCAGAGCAGCGCACGGAAACGCCGTTTACCTTCCCGCTGGAGTGGTACCTATTTATCTACTTGCACTTTGACGTGCTTTCGAACTGCTAGGTTGGCAGGAGCTGGGACCGAGCAACGGGAGCTCACCCCGTTGTGGGGATTCGAACCACCGACCTTCTGATCGGCAAGCCCTAGGCTCAGTGGTTTAACCCTCAGCACCACCAGGTTGTATACATGTCGTCATAATTCTAAACCATATAAATTGGCTCTAGTAGGTGCAACTGTCGGTTACAGTCTCTGCTGTGACACTGCAATTGCATTATAGGACAACATGTTTATTTGCAACACGTAACTTTCTGGCATCCTGATGATATCAAGCTAACAATGTTCAGGTCTGTACCAATGCATGGGACAGGGCTGGTCTACATGATGAAATACTTGAGGTTGCACTGTCCTCTCATGGTTGTCAGGTGCGTGGGCAGTCATATGTAGATTCTGTAGAAATCTCTGATTCTAGATTTCTAAGCTAGTATTCTTGATACAATTGTTTTCTATGTGTGTAAGTATCTCAATAGACACTTTCAAATATGTGATGGTTAGTACACCCTGAGCCCAGTCTTGGCTGGGAGGGTAAAGTATAAACAAAGATGCTTATTTCTGAACGTTACTTACTTACCTTACTAGAGCTGCAGGGCAAGTCAGGATTTGCATCATGAAATGCACAAACTGCCATCTCATCTATTCTCTCAGTTAAATAAATAGCCTAGGAGAGTGGAAAATCGTGAAGTGAACTGCTTCACCAGTGGTATAGCTAGAGCGCTTGGATTCTAGATCACGGACTGCAGTTCTTGAAGGTGGACTTCTGGCAAGCGTGGACTGCCCTGCACACGGTTGGGAGACATGTTCTTGCCAAAATCTCAGAAACCTCATCAGAGGGCTTAAACTGACTAGTGGGGAGGGGACAGTGCTCCTGAAGGTACGTCTATCAATTGATGAAGATGATCATCCAAATGTCATAGACAAATGGAGCAAACAGCACGCAGACCTAGTGGTGGGAGGAAAAATCCTTAAATAAGAGACACGGGGAATGATTAATGGACTTCAATGTCTGTACATTAATGCACAAAGCATGGGAAATAAACAAGATGAGCTTGAGCTCTTGGTACAGCAAACTAAATATGACATAATAGGCATCACTGAAACCTGGTGGGATAAGTCCCACGATTAGAATGTAATAATGGGGATACAATCTATTTCAGAGAAACAGACCGGACAAGAAAGGAGGAGGAGTGGCGTTATATGTCAGGGATGTGTATACCTGTGAAGAGATCCAAGATTTAGAACCTCAAAGCCAAAGTGAGAGCATTTGGGTCAAAATTAAGGAGAGAAGAATAACAGTGACCTCATTGTGGGAGTTTACTATAGATCCCCAAGCCAAACGGAGGACATAGATGATGCCTTCCTGGAACAGATGGCCAAGCATGCAAAAGGAAGGAGATAGTAGTAATGGGGACTTCAATTACCCGGATATTTGTTGGATGTCAAACTCAGCCAAGAGCATAAGGTCAAACAGATTCCTCACTGGCCTTGCAGACAACTTCATTGTCCAGAAAGTGGGAGAAGCAACAAGAGGAACAGCCATTTTAGATCTGGTCCTAACCAATGTTGATGACCTGGTTAGTGGGTAGAAGTGGAAGGATCATTAGGCGCGAGTGATCATGCTCTTCTGAAGTTTACTATACAGCGGAAAAGAGCAGCCAAGCATACTAGGACTCAATTTCTTGACTTTAAGAAAGCCGACTTCATAAAACTTAGGGAAGTGCTGGGTGAGATCCCATGGACAGTAATACTAAAAGGAAAGGGAGTTCATGATGGCTGGGAGTTTGTTAAGAGGGAGATAGTAAAGCACAACGTCAGGCAATACCAATGAGACGGAAACATGGAAGGTGCCTAAAGAAGCCAGGGTGGCTATCTAAAGAACTTTTAACTGAGTTAAGATTAAAAAAGGATGTGTACCAAAAATTGAAAAGGGGGGAAAACCACCAAAGAGGAATTCAAACAAATAGCAAGCACGTGTAGACACAAAGTCAGAAAAGCTAAAGCACAGAATGAACTCAGGCTTGCTAGAGAGGTTAAAAGCAACAAAAAGGCTTTTATGGGTATGTTCGTAGCAAAAGGAAGAACAAAGAAACAGTGGGTCACTCAGAGGAGCAGATGGTGAAATGCAAACAGGGACACAGAAAGGGCTGAACTCCTCAATGCCTTCTTTGCCTCAGTCTTCTCCGATAAAGAAAACAATGCCCGACCTGAAGAATTTGAAGCAAATGATTCAGCAAAGGAAACACAGCCCAGAATAACTAAGGAGATAGTACAAGAATACTTGGCTAGTTTAGATGTATTCAAGTCTCCAGGGCCAGATGAACTGCATCCAAGAGTATTAAAAGAACTGGCAGATGTGATCTCAGAACCACTGGCAGTCATCTTTGAGAATTCCTGGAGAACAGGCAAAGTCCCGGCAGACTGGAGGAGGGCAAATGTTGTTCCTATTTTCAAAAAGGGGAAAAGAGAGGACCCAGGGATTCGAACTGCCGACCATGCGATCGGCAAGTCCTAGGCACTGAGGTTTTACCCACAGCGCCACCCGCGTCCCTGATTCGGGGGCCTTATCCAGCCCCAAACCACATTTTTCGGCAGCAGCAGTCATATGCACACATCATATGGGAACTTCTGGCGAGGAAAAATGGTGGGCGCCACAGCAGCGAGCAGCTCCTGAAGCCAGCCAGAGCGAACTGCACTACCAGGCTGGCTCCGGGCTGCTGAGGCTGCCGCTGCCACATTTCCCAGGGACAGATTTGCAAATCAGGGGACATTCTGGGGACGGAACTGGGGACATCTGGTAACCCTAAGTTAGCCACCCCAAGCTATGCTCGGGACACACTGTGTATTGGGAGCTGTACTCTTCATGATTTTTAAAAATAGATTGAGCTTATTGCTGGCCCTCTTAACTTTTAACTCTGTTTACTAAGAGCATAATCCAAAATCGATTGAACCAATTGATTCAGATCACCTAGCCTTCAGATTTGCATTTTGCTTTAGGATGGTTTGATGGGTGGGATTATAGTAAATAGTCTTCGCCTTATATTTGGAGAGGGAACACAGTAAATATAGATTTTTGAACTCCCCCTAGAAAGGGTGGTGAACTGGAGGCGGTAAATAGTAGCAGGTGTTGGAAGACCTAGAGAGAGATGCTTAAAGGTTGCCTGCGGTCTTTTGATTGAAGTGGGAAATATGGGCGATAGGAGGAATGTGTCTGAAATTGAATCTGGAGTAAGGATTCCAAAGGCGCCAGGTTCTCCGAAAAGAGCTCAAGGGAAAGATACAAAGATGTCCTTTCCTGTAGTATCTGTCAGAAAGAAACCTCAAAAGAGGTGCTCAACTCTTTAGGCAGAGGCGGAAAAATAATATTGGTGATTATCAGAAAACCTAGTCTGCAGCTCAGGACCATGAAGTATATTTCACATGAACGAGAAATATACAGTTGCTAAAAATGAGTAAAACTGTTAAGTATCACTGGATGAAAACCATTAAATCTGGTATTCAACAACCTTCACTTGCTCAAAATACGCTTTCTAGAGTTGCACTCTCTGACAGAGCTGTATCAGATTTGACTGTACCTTGTTGGGTAGGACTGGACAATGGAGGTCTCCCTTGCTTTTCCTCACCCTGTAGCTCGGTCTACAGCCCAATTTCCTCTACTTGACTGGTTGTTTAATTCCCCAACTCTCCATTTCCCCATTTATCTTGCTTATTAAGTTGTCTTGAAGGTAGTTAGAGGATTCTGTGCTATGGTTGCCTAACAGCTGTGCTTCAATCCTTTTCTCTTGAACCTGAGAATATGGCTGCCTCTGAGCTGAAACAGGCACACGTGCGGCCAACCTATGACGATAGGAACGGAGATAGTGGAAGGGGCATTGAGAACAATGCTTCTTCTATCATAAAAATTCTGATATTTGTGGAAGATCCGGAATGGATCACCAATATTTTCATTTGTCTGGCATGTGCACAAACATAGTCATGGTTTATGTGGGTACTCTGTTGATGAGTGTAGTTTGTGGCCTGTTATGCACCATTTCCCTTCCAGTTTGCAAGCCCAGTTCAGAGGAGATGAGTGGCAGGGGAAGGCAATGGCACTGAGTCCAAGGTTTGCCCACAATAGCGGTCTTTAGCTGAAGACGACATTTCAGCACAGTAACCAGGTTCACCATAACTTGGGCGGACGCAGAGTTCTCCTCATCTCTTATGCTCCCACAAGATTAGAATTATGGAACACTAAGTATTAATAATGCAGGGGTACCTTGTTCCCGAATTTAATCCATTCCGGGAGTCCGTTCGATTCCCAACATACTTCGAAAACCAAGGCGTGGCTTCTGATTGGCTGCAGGAGTTTCCTGCACTCAATCGGAAGCCACGTTGGACGTTTGGCTTCCGGAAAACATTCACAAACTGGAACACTCACTTCTGGGTTTGCGGTGTTCAGGAACTGATTTGTTTAGGAGCCAAGCCATTTGCGTACCAAGGTAAAGGTAAAGGGACCCTTGACAATAAAGTCCAGTCACGAACGACTCTGGGGTTGCGGCGCTCATCTGGCTTTAAAGGCCGAGGGAGCCGGCGTTTGTCCGCTTCCTCAGACAGTTTTTCTGGGTCATGTAGCTAGCATGACTCTGGCTTCTGGTGAAGCCAGAGCAGTGCACGGAAACGCCATTTACCTTCCTGCTGGAGCGGTACCTATTTCTCTACTTTGACGTGCTTTCGAACTGCTAGGTTGGCAGGAGCAGGGACTGAACAACGGGAGCTCACCCCGTAACGGGGAATCGAACTGCCGACCTTCTGATTGGCAAGCCCTAGGCTCTGTGGTTTAACCCACAGCGCCACCCAAAGTGATACAGTCTTCATCAATTACAAGCCCAAGCAGCACAGTGGTTTAACCCACAGCGCCACCGTTTACCCACAGCGCCATCCGCGTCCCAAGGTACCACTGTGTTATTTCTATGGACATGCTCATAACTCAGACATTTGTGGACTGAAGGAACACGGAGGCATGTAAGGGATGTGACTCCAGCCTCAGAACCTATCTCAGTTCAAGAACAACCCTTCATTCTTGTGGAAAGGAAAACCCCATACAGACTGCTACAAAAGGGGCAGGCAATCAACTGCAAATGCACTCTTTTGAATGTTGGCTCAAACAGCAACTGTACCACAATAAAATGATGTGTGGAAAGCGTTCTGCCATAGGAAACTAAATTTCTTAAAGCTGCCGTTGTGAGCACTTCCATGGAACAGCACTCAGGATGCACGGCTGTTTGTTACATCGAAGTCCAAGATAGAAGAATCAGAGTGAACTCCAAATCTTTTCTTTCTTTCTGATTTTCTCCCAGCCTAAATACAGGTTGTTAGAGTGGGGAGGCAATTTTCTTTATTAGGAGATACTTAAAAGTAGCCAAAAGAGCAGTCTTAAAATATACTGGGTTTTTGCAACTGGATATTCCAAGAGCAGGTCTTTGAACTTTTCCTTCATTATGCCCCACTGTACTGACAGTTCCTTCTAGTTTCCTGCTACTATTTAGGCTTAAAATTGCATCTGTGCAATGCACGTCTTACTCTTTCGGTTTTACCTGACTTGCTTTTGAATTCATGTCATCTAGCAAATAATAAAAGTGTGCTTTAAATCTGCTTAGGGTTATCTAAACACGCTCAGTAGGTTCACTGACCTTTTCCTGACCAAGAGAGAGCATGTAGCAGTGACAGGCTATATTTTTAAACCAATATTATTTACAGGTCTTGTCCCCCTTGCTATTATTTCTTGGCCTTGTCCTTGGGTGAAAAATAAATGTGTCATTCTTGATTTTTACTCACACCTGCTTCCTTAATACAATTAAAACTAGACTTTTTGTTTCTTTGAAATAGAAATGTATTTTTAGCCAGTCTATAATAGTAAAGGAAGTCTGTGTGTTTAGGCACCAGTTGCTTGTGAGTATTTTTGGAAGCATTATTAACAGATAATGTTATGTATATATTGAAAACAGTTATGTACTTCTTTTCAGGTGAAACTCACAGAGCAGTTTACGAAAATGCAAATATTAATGCAGTAAGCAGCAATTATACATAATTATAATAATTTATTATTTAAACCCCTCCCATCTGGCTGGTCCATGGGTTTACCCAAGACGCCTTGGAATTGTAGTCCGCCAACGGTGTTTAAACTCTCCTATTTGAAATCCCTTGCCCCCCAAGAACTACAGTCCTAAGGGCTCCCATGAGCCAATTTAAATCTCTGGGGTCGATCTGTCACGTAATGATGCACACCCAAGAATTCACAGATATTACCTTTGCTCTTGGTCTGCTTCTTTCAGATTTTTTGAATATATCTACCTCTATAAAGACACGGTGATGTTTCAGATTGAGCAAGTGACAAAGCTGTGTTCCAAGATTGCCTTGACTGAGCCGTGGGATCCTTATGATATTCCCGACAACTCAACCTACGAAGATCAGAACTACATTGGAGGACCTGGCGACCAAATTATGGTACAGGAATGGTCCGACAGAAAACCAGCTAGGAAATGTAAGCATACTTTGGTTAATGAATTAATTGGGAGGGACTTTTTCTCTTTTTGAGAGAGAGAGAGGGGTTAGCTGATGGAAATGGATCACAGAAGGGAAATATGCTGTTGTTGTTATTGGCGTATTGTTTGACATTTGATATGGTTTAAAATGATTTTATATGTTGTAAGTAGCCATGAGAAGATAGCATTTTTGGGCACAGCACACCCGAATCTCTGAGCACCAATGCCTGCATGTAACCAGGGTTCTGGTTGTCCATGGTTATACCTGGTTAAGCAATTTAAGTGGATAATCCTCAGCAGATCCAAGAAGAGCTCAATTAGCCTTGACTTTTAACTTGAAAAACAGCTTAAATTTAAAACAAATCTCTGTATCTTTTGGGACCACAGTCCTCCCAAGGATTTCTGCAAAGCAATCCCACAGAAACTGATGGGACTTATTTCCAGACCAAACGGGCTTGATGATTGTAGCATTAACCCTTCATTTGGGGAAAAAAATGACTTCTTCTTGCTGGCATAATGAAAACTTGAAAATTATCTATGCTTCCCCTATATAAACTCATACTTTGTGCTTTGTTACAGTTGAAACCTGGGTTGGCGTTTATACAGTCAAAGACTGTTACCCAGTGCAGGAGACCTATACCAGGAACTACAGCGTGACAACCTCCACCCGATTCTTTGATCTAAAGCTTGGGATAAGTGATCCATCTGTATTCACGCCTCCCAGCACCTGCCAGACAGCACAACCAAACAAGATGAGTGATGAATGCTAATCATGGAAATTGGCTTCTACATGCAAACATATGTAATATAGTTATCATGAATCCTCAGCTGCTGATGTCTTAACATGGTGGTTGCACTTTGCAGAATGGAGGGCTTTGGGAATGAGATCTCTCGTTGACTAGAAAAAATGAGAAAACCCATCTCTCCACCAGAGTCTCATTCTAATATTGTCCTCATATTCTACACTTACCAGTGAAGCATTTGTTTTAGCCACTACATTTGTTGGAAGAACCCGTTGCTTATATTTCCCAAGAGACACATTGTGCTCTTAAAGCATATTAAAATATCACATGCATTTGCTCGTTTTGGAGAAGCGAGCAGACATTGTGACATGTAGCAGAGAAGGCATTTCCATAACATGCCACCATTAACCAATTATGTAGAGAGATTTCCTTAACGTCTTGGAAGTTGTTACAGTAAATGAATTTGCTTTTTTGGGGGGGGGATCAAGAATAACTATTCATATAATAAGTGACTGGTGTGAGGCTACGAATACTACAATGATGCCTCTGTTCTTCTACTTACTACTGCTTTCATGGGATCTGATGGGATTTCCTTCTCTTTTATGCACCCCGTATTAAATATGCTTTGTTAAAGCAATGTTCCTTTGAATTTATGCAAAAAAGGATTGCTTTACTTGTTTAACAGTCTCTCATTGAAAACCTATAGAGCTGGCGTCTTGTCAGAAATATATATTTGGCAACATTAGATATATTTAGGATTCAAGTGCACTGCACCCAATGAATATATATATATATATATATATATATATATATATAGTATTTTTTGTAGTTATTTGTAGTTAACCTCTGCCAACGAACTTCAACTGTTCAACAGTCCCTTGCACTGAAGTCTGCTGCTATTCATTAGCTTTGTTTTATTTTTAGGATTGTTTTAATTTTGTTGGCATTTATTTGCTTTTCGTCTGAAAAAGTATGGTGCAAATAAGTCAGTGAAGGGCACTCTTGGAATTGCAGGGGCCTCTGTGTGCTCAGCAGTCAGACTAAGCTGAGCATCGGTATTATTTTAGACGTCTCAATGAAATTGGGGGTCATTTACCCTTACTGGCTAGGAAAAGAAGACCATCTTTTGTCAAGAAAGCAGCTCCTTTAATACATATAAGAACTACACACCCATCAGTGGTAACATAGATCATGGGTAGGCAAACTAAGGCCCGGGGGTCGGATCCGGCCCAATTGCCTTCTAAATACGGCCTGTGGACGGTCCAGGAATCAGCGTGTTTTTACATGAGTAGAATGTGTCCTTTTATTTAAAATGCGTCTCTGGGTTATTTGTGGGGCGTAGGAATTCATTCATACAGTATATTTTTTTCAAAATATAGTCCGGCCCCCCATAAGGCCTGAGGGAGAGTGGACCGGCCCCCTGCTGAAAAAGTTTGCTGACCCCTGATGTAGATCTTCTGTAGCTCTTCCCTCTGTGTGTTCAGTCTGCGTGTGATTGGGCAATGCCTCCTGTGCCTTCCTCCCAGTCGCCGCATGTTCACTGGAAGCATGAAGGAAATTCAATGCATGCACATGACACCCAGGCACATAGCACCTATCATTCCTTTTGCTCAACACATCAAGGTTGGAAATGGGGCTTCAGGCGCATCCCTGGACCCTAGTCATGCGCTGACTGAAGTCGTGGAAGGGGAGAGAACAGGGTCCGTTTCTTGCATCAGACAGGGTCAAAACGAGAGTGCTTATCAGTGCCTTTAAATATGACGCTTGTGTGTATTACTATATAACGCCATTGCACTTTATGGAGTAACAAAGACAGGCGCTCGGCCTGAGCAGTTAGCAATCTAAAATTTGAAACGGGGGAAAGAGGGGATAAAGATGGCGGATGAGGGTAATTGGAAGCATACGCTTACTTTGGTCACACATACTTGGCTTTGCCATCACAGGTGTTTTTGGGGAAAGATTTGAAGGAGAAGAAAAGCACAGATAAGTGTTCTAGGAGGGAGGTTTAGCTGTGAGAAGCAGCAAGGAGGAAGGGCAGAGTTATTTGAGGTAGCAGGAAACCTTCAGGCAACTGAGAACAGCGACGTTGGTGGCTTTTACGGTAAGGAAAGGGACCTTTTGACGGATCCATGAGGATTTCAGGAAGGCTCTCCCGTGGTCTGAAGGTGAAAAGAGACGGGTGGTTTTGGTGGCAGAATTCTGGGTGGAGGTGAGAAGGCCAAGGTGTGGTACTAGAAAGTCGGATAGGAGGTTGTGACGGTAGAAGAGGAGGGAGATGAAACAGGTACCATATAAAACAAGGGTGAGGAACTGCCAGCCTGCAGTATGGGGCTTCTGTTTCTGGCTTGTGAAAAGCCTTCTGCTGGAGGCCACACATACCCACCCACCCCGTCAATTTGGTTTGTGAAAAGCCGTCTCTTGGGGTTTGCCTTTCCTGTGTGCTGTGCCTACTTGCCCAAAAGGCTGTCCTGCCGCAGTGTGATAATGGGCGGTGGCAGGGGGAAGCCTGTTTTCCAAGGCTAATGGTTATGGAGAGGATCTTCCTGGAGAATGCAGTAGAAGAAGCTGGGGATGATGGGAGGGAGAGACCAGAACATACTGTGGGACATCAGGTTGGCATCGGCTGTAATACAGAAATAGTTTTACAAGTTAGTGGCCTGCCCTAAACAACTTAAGCAGCACAGCATATATAATAATCTGTCAAGAGTTATTGACACATAAATTCAGGTAGTATTTGCTGAAAGCAGATGGGTAATAAACGTACTCAAATGTATATCATTTCTCAGATTCTACTACTAATAATTCCCTCATACATGAGCCAATGTGTTAATGTTAATGTTTATTATTATTGTTATTTGTATGTAACCTATGTGGCCAATGTATTTTTGAACCGCCTTGTGTGTAGCAATATAGAAAGGCGGTATACAAATTAGAAGTGAAATGAAATTAAATGAACAAATAGCACATTCTGTCAAGACAGAAAACATCTCCCCTTCATTAATGTTGCAAAATGTACTAAGAATCTTGATTAAAAGCTATAGAACTGAGTTTTTTTGTGATGGTTTTCATATGATACACCACTGCTCCACGATACTGTAGATTAGGGAGATGATGGTTCCTATCTCTTGATGATAATTGTTCTTAGTTTGCCATAATAATCATTCTAGCGAGTTTATTTTATGCACCTTTGAATAAAACACCTTGGAATAGTGCAAACACCTTTGAAAATGTTGCACTGGGAGCTGGGTAAGATCAATATAGACTCTCACCTAGGGAATCAAGTCATGGATGTATTTCTCAGTTTTGTCCTGCCAAATAAATAAAGCTGTGCGTGTGAAAGCATGGAGAGGGTTGCACTTATCCTTTGTCCAGATTTCTGATGATTGTATTTGTCTGGATTCTTCGAAGCCCAGACCCAAGTTTGAGGAAAGCGCTCTTTGCTGAGAGAACCCATCAGATACTTAATGTTGCATAACATGTAGCAAAGGAAAGTATGTATGGAAATATACGCTGTATAGCCTTTAAAACGTGCCCTTTCTATTGTACTAAAAAATGCCTGGTTTGAATAATTCCTTCCAAAGTATCCCACTACCCTAGAATAGAAAACGACCACACATTCGGTAAGTTATTAAGTAGTTTACTTACAAAATTCGTCAAAGGTCAGAATAAAGGTGCACAGGAAGTTAAATGTTGGTTGGTTACAAAAGGTAAAAGTGCCTAAACTGTTGGTATAGAGAAAATGCTGGTTTCAGGCTCCGTTCTTGACTGAAACAAAAGAGGATGGTTAAAGCCATGTGACTGGAGGTAGCAAGCAGCTCAGAGCTCCTAATATAATATAATATAATATAATATAATATAATATAATAATTATTATATTATAAACTTTCATGTAAACTGGAAGAACAAAAGGCTTGGTGGCCCATTTCCTTCCACGGTGAGGGGAAGTGGCACAGACTAAGCCGTGCAGGACAGTTTACTCTATGGTTTTAACCCCTTTCATGCTTTAATTAGACTCAATAATTTATTTTATTTATTGAATTTATTTATTGAATTTATATACCGCCCTATACCCAGAGGTCTCAGGGCAGTTCACAGAATAAAAATCAAAATATAAAACCACAAAATACATAATCAATATAAAAACAACAACCCAATAACCCACCCACCCCCAGTGCTTATATGAGGCTGGTTACCATACACAACACAATTTTGGAATATTTACTTCTCTGAATTACAGGCTGTTCCACCCCAAGGGTCTGGATCAGGTAACAATGTTAAAATCTTAAATCCTCAGTTATATTATAAATAACATAAGAAGAGCTCTGCTGTAGCTGACCTATCTAGTCTAGGACCATTTTTCACAGTGGCAACTCAGATGCCTCTGGGAGTCCTACAGATGGGACAACTGTGGTCTTTATTGCCCCAAGAACTGGTATTCAGAGTCACATCCTGGGGCTGGTATATAGCCATGATATTCGAAGAATCATACAACTGTACAGTTGGAAGGGGCCATGGGAGTCATCTAGTCCAACCCCCTGCAATGCAGGAATCTTGCCCAACATGGGGCTCAAACCCAGAACCCTGAGATTAAGAGTCTCATGTTCATGGCTGAGCTATTCATTGAAAGCTTTATGAATTTCAGGTAGGAATTTTGGCTTCTCCAGTTTTCTATTTGCTATGGTTTCTTTGTTTTGCTTTTTAAATTATTTATTAAATTTTGAAACACATAAAAAGACAAAAACACCATCAAAACAATATTATGCACGTCTAAGAAATAAACTGACACAGCGTAAGATTGGCAGCTGATAAAGTACTTCAAGAAAGAAAGAGAAAGCCAAGCAACCACAAAATAATTAGTCAGTTATTTACAAAAACAACATTAAATCAAGAGTTCTGCAGTGTATACCGTATCCAAGGCATATCCATCGGGCAGGTATGTTTGTTACTCATTTCTCTCAGAACGGATGGGTTCAAAATAAAATACAAAGATTATACATAAAAATCCATACTTGTTTTGCTACTTTAGATCCAATCGTGTGAAAAGGAAAGAAGGGGCTATGTCAACCACACCTTAGTATTGCCCGTGCTCTTCAGTATTAGTAAATATAAAATTGAGCAGTCAATCTTGCAACATACGTCCAATAAGCTTCTTACTGCAGGTCTACGCTGCCTTCTGTAAAAATACCCTGTAAAGCCAACTGTGGTGTTGCCTCATTTGCCACACAGACCGTTTGAAAATCCTTTGAGACAGCGTGAGGTTAACCAGCTGTACCATGCGTCTGTATTCTGTACTTGAGGGGCGTATTCTACTTTATTATTTGTTTAATTTCTATGGGCAGCCTGGGGCGAGGGAGTTCACCCCAGGATTATCACAGTGCTTTGGGTCTCAGTGTGGGGCAAGAGCACGGGAACACCAGCTAGCCTAGTCCTACGCAAGACTAGGATGAAATCAGGATTTTGCTGGAACATTGCCTTGGCAGCAAATGATCCCGAGTGCTTTTAACTAAGGGCTGGATAATTTTAGTGCAGAGCATGAAATTCAAACCCCTCGCCTTTTGAAAGTGACGCGAACTGTAACGCAGAGTGTCAAATGAGCCAGGGAGACTTCCAGGGTGTCAGGACTGTTTGTTTATTAGAGCTGGCCAAGTCTGCCCAGCCCAGCTCAAACCCGAGGTGAGCTCAGTGAAAGCTCACTGGCTCTTTTATAAAGCCCCGCACACAAACACACCCCCCCCTTCTCCAAAGCACCTTTGAGGCTGCAATCCCATTCATGCTTCCCTGGAAATAAGACCCATGGAAGTTCTGATGAAACATGCATAGGTTTGTGGTATAGAGACGAAGCAATAATGTGCAACTGTGCAAAGATGGTGTTGTGTTTGGTGTCATCTAGACCTTTGTAGACAGCCCACACTTGCTTATAAAAATGTTACATAAATACAAAGCTACATAGAGGTAAAGGTAAAGGTAAAGGGACCCCTGACAATTAAGTCCAGTTATGAACGACTCAGGGGTTGCAGCGCTCATCTTGCTTTACAGGCCGAGGGAGCCGGCGTTTGTCTGCTTCCGCAGACAGTTTTTCCGGGTCATGTGGCCAGCAGGACTAAGCCGCTTCTGGCAAACCAGAGCAGCGCACGGAAATGCTGTTTACCTTCGGTAATGCGGTACCTATTTATCTATTTGCACTTTGATGTGCTTTCGAACTGCTACGTTTGTAGGAGCTGGGACCGAGCAACGGGAGCTCACCCTGTCGCGGGGATTCGAACCGCCGACCTTCTGATAGGCAAGCCCAAGGCTCTGTGGTTTAACCCACAGCGCCACCCGCGTCCCTTCACAAAGCTACACATCTATCTATCTATCTATCATCTATCTATCATCTATCTATCTATCTATCTATCATCTATCTATCTATCTATCTATCTATCTATCTATCTATCTATCTTCTATCTATCTATCATCTATCTGTGTATGTATCAATTCATTTTCCTTCTCACACATCTCAGTCTCCGGGTTCTCACAAACAAACAAACTCTCAGCTCACCCACAAAAGTCTCACAGTGAGGAGACTTCCTGGAAATAGCGGGCTTCACCCTGCTCTCTCACTCTAGACTTGTTTTTTTATGGGCAGGCCCAGGTGGATGGTACTTCTTCAAGCTGCCCACAGACGTGTCCCATTCAGCTGCGCTCTCCACATCCAGCTCCAGGGGCCTCAGCTTTGTTGTATATCCAAGGGGTACAGAGGGTGGCAAAAGGGCCCCCCTCCACCCAAAAAGCTACATGTGAAGAGAAATAAAATTGAAATTAGTAAGATGTTTTGAACACATTGGGACACGGGTGGCACTGTGGGTTAAACCACAGAGCCTAGGACTTGCCGATCAGAAGGGTGAGCTCCCGTTGCTCAGTCCCTGCTCCTGCCAACCTAGCAGTTTGAAAGCACACCAAAGTGCAAGTAGATAAATAGGTATCGCTCCAGAGGGAAGGTAAACGGTGTTTCCGTGCGCTGCTCTGGTTTGCCAGAAGCGGCTTAGTCATGCTGGCCACATGACCCGGAAGCTGTACGCCTGCTCCCTCGGCCAATAAAGCGAGATGAGCACCACAACCCCAGAGTCAGCCACGACTGGACCTAATGGTCAGGGGTCCCTTTACCTTTGAACACATTGTGTTCTTTAAATTGTGGCTTTAAATGAAATCTTTCTTTGATTGTCTTCCATGAACATGGGCTTAACATTGATTTGGTAAGTAACTGTGGAGGACAATTCTGGATCTACACGTCCTAAGACAGTGGGGACATGGGTTTCCAGGTGGGAGTTGATGATCACTGTGTGGATTTGCCAAGCCTGCCTTCCTCTTAGAACGAATCTCCCTTTCATCCTGAGTTTGAGCGTTTTCAAAGCCTCTAAGGTGCTACTGGACAATTTTAAAATTTTATTTATTTATTTAGACTGTATCAGACCAACACGGCTACCTACCTGAATTCATTTTTTTTTAAATAATTGATATTTATTGAATTTTCAAAAAATAACAACAAAAATTTCCAAAAAAAATTTAAGGATACAAAAGACAAAATTAGTGCATAAACAAAAAAGAAAAGAAAACCCAGCCGCAAAGAAAAAGAAAAAAAAAGAGAAACAGAAAAACAAAAATATAAAGTCCTTTACCATCTCTATTGACTTCCTTTCTAGACTTCCTCCTCCTCCCCTCTTTTGTTTCTTAATTTTTAATTTTTACAGCAAATCCTTTCTGTTTTTCATAACAATCTGTCATTACGTTTCCTTATTCTATTTTCCCTCTTGTCATATAAAAACTTTAAAACTCATAGCTTATATTCAATATTTACCAAGTTCTTGCATCATTACCTTTTTACGAATCATTTACCAATCCTTACTTAAGTCATGTAATTTCATTCAACATCCTTCAAACATTTGTAAGCATTCCCAGTATTAAAAAGTAAAAAAGAAAAAATAATAAGTCAAATTCAGTCCAGTCAGCTTCCAACCTCCCTCCCCTGGACCCGGGATTGTCAGTCCTTTTAACCTCGGTAATCCGGCTCCTTAACCTGGTTGTCTCGTATCCGAGGCCCTCAAGTCTCTTTCTTGCCCCTTTCGCCACTCTTGTTGATGATTCCTTTCCAGTCGTGGATGCTCCAGCAAGAAAATGCTTTTGACCCTTTGCAACAAGTCCATCCCAAACCCATTGCCCAAGCCAGACAGCAAATAATACCACTTCAAATTTCCACAAAGCTTGGAGACTTCGGCTACTCCAATCCTCTGATAGCCCATCACCAGACTCGGAAGGTCCAAATAACCATATGGAGGAGGGTCGATCCATCCCCCCATTTCCAAATCTGACCACATTTCATCTTTCCGAATCTGGTTTGTCCCAAGTTCATTTATCAAGTTCAAAGGCTGATCTTGCCCGTCCAAAGGTCCCTCCATCTCTGAAGCCTCCGTCACTACAGCAGGTTCATATGCTTGTATAGCCTTTAACTGAATTTCATTTGTTTGCTGCTGTGCTCTGGTAACTTCCATCATCAAGGTCGTCTCCTGACGCATCTGGTCCAGCTGGGCACTTAGTTTTGAAAAACCTTCCAGGAACAATTGTTCAAGCCTTTGTACTAGCATTGTCCTTCAAGGTCAAAGAAAATTCTTTCCCACGAGAATAGTCCAATAGTCCTTCTCTTTTAATCTCTCTGCGTTGCAATTTCACTAAATTCCACTAGATAGAGTTTTTTTTTTTTTAAAGGAATAAAATCAACAGCAACAATCTTTCTTTTCCAGAAACACTTTATCCAAAATTCCCCTTCCAAATTCAAGAGGCAACAGTAGAATCAAAATGTTACCCTTCTTTTAACTAACTGTCGAGCTGGATAAACTTCAGAACGTCAATTCTGACAGCCCGCTCCTGGTTCAGGGCGGTGGAAAATTGCTTTATTTTAAACTCACTTCCGCAGGATTGAAAAGTCCAAATACAACCCCTTTTTCTCCTGCAGTCAAAGGGGGGGTTCAGAAATCTTAGATGTTGAATTCTAGTTCTCTTAAAATTTAATTTTCAGACTTTAGTATATTTTGTCTTTGCTTTCTTCACATAACAAAAGAACGGAAGGCGACTTCCTGTTTAGACCTTCCCATTCCGAGTCCCAATTAAGTTCAATTTCAAGTCCAATATTATTTGTTTATTCACCAGTCTTAAAAGTAGTTCAGCTCTTCCAAGATCAGGTACTCACGGATAGATGTTTTAGATGCCAAATTGTCCAGGAAAAAGGCAGCGCTCTCCGATAACGGCAGTGCGGCTTTGCTGCACGGAGGAAGCAGACGACTCACAGCACCACGCACCTCCCACTCCGGAGCCCGTTACTGGGCTCCTGTACAAGGGGAGAGAGCGCTCTCGGTGCCCGCCGAGTCCCACGTCCACAGGCTTCTTCCGCCTGTGGTTTTTGCGGGTCCCCGCTGCGCCGTAGCGGCAGGACCCAAGCCTCCGTGCAGCGGGTTCCCTTCAGTCCGAAGGGAATTCCGCCATTTTCCGGAGGCGCCACCCCGGAAGTCTCTACCTACCTGAATTCAAAGCCCACGACACCTTTGGTAAAGGCTGTTCTCCAACTGAAGGGCTCACAGGCCAGTGTTTCC